TCTGGCTTCAAACCAGCGCACTCAACAGAAACTGCTCTTATAGCAGTGACAGAGAAGCTCCGGTCAGCAACACAATCCTTCTGGACGTCCTCACCAACCTTGGAATCACTGGCTCTTTGTGGAAGTGGTTCAAGTCCTATCTGGAGGATCGCTCTTATCAGGTAACATGGAGAGGGTCCACATCCTCTCCATGCAGGCCCTCCACTGTTGTCCCACAAGGCTCGGTGCTAGGTCCTCTTCTCTTTTCTCTTTACACTAGCTCTCTTGGCAATGTAATATCATCTCATGGCTTCTCTTATGACTGTTATGCTGATGACACTCAACTAATGCTTTGTTTCTCACCCTCTGACACCCAGGTTTCCAGTCGGATCTCATCATGTCTGTCTGACGTCTCTTCATGGATGGCAGCTCACCACCAGAAGCTCAATCCTAGCAAGACTGAGCTGCTATTCATCCCTGCAACTACAGGTCCTCATCATGATCTTGCCATCTCGTTTGAGAACTCTCTGATTGTCCCATCTGTAGAGGCAAGAAGTCTTGGTGTGGTTCTGGATGGCCAGTTATTGTTTTTGACTCACTTTGCGAACCTAACTCGGTCATGCAGATTTCTCCTGTTCAGGATCCGACCCTTTCTCTCTCGAGAGGCCACCCAGGTGCTAGTGCAGTCTCTTGTCATCTCAAGGCTTGACTACTGCAACTCGCTCTTGGCTGGTCTTCCAATGCAGGCCATCAAGCCTCTGCAACTCATCCAGAATGCAGCAGCACGACTCATCTTCAATCTCCCAAAGTTCAGCCACGTCACCCCACTGCTGTGCTCCCTTCACTGGCTTCCTGTAGCTGCACGCATCAGATTTAAAACCCTTATGCTTGCCTACAAAGCCAAAAATGGACCAGCCCCTCCCTACTTGATGGCAATGGTCAAATCTCGAACTGTACCACGAGCCCTTCGAGCTTTGAGTACAGCTCGGCTTGACCCGCCATCCTTCAAGGTGCGGAAGGCAAGCATCAAGACTGTTCTCTGTCCTGGCACCCAGGTGGTGGAACGAACTCCCACTGGCTGTCCGTACAGCAGAGTCTCCCGCTGTCTTCAAATGCAGACTGAAGACACATCTGTTTATACAGCACTTAAATGAGCACTGAATTAAGTATTGACTGTAATGTATTGTACAGCACTTATGTATTGTATTGCATTGCACTGCTTTGTGTTTAACTCTGTTCCTTTTTCTCTAGGTGTCAATGACTTTCTGATTCTAGCAGTATCTGAGCTTAGGACTGACTTTCTCTCTAACCTATTGGTAACTAGCGAAGATACTTTCTCTGGATAGACAAAGCACTTTTGTAAATGTAAATGTAAATGTATTATAATAGGTCCAGCTTCTCTCAAGCAGGTGGAAAATGAACTAGAACCATACGTTCAGTAAGTTCTCATTTGGGTCGGTTCTTGTTTTTTAATGTGCAGTGGACAAAACTCCCTTCACTGAACCCTGCAGTGAAATGCGTGGCTGCTGCAGGTTCGTGATTATATGAAAGAAATTAACTGTACAAAAAGTCTTTGTTTTTTCCAATATCTTGGTTAAATAACCAGTGCAGTGCTACCTGCATTATTCACCTGAAAGTAACTTCATTGCTGTTGTGATGTAATGCCTATTTGTCCTGTTTGCCATAACTACACCACACCACAGCTTATTGTTAATTATCCAGGGTTTATTTTTTTCAGTATAACTATTATGAGTTTTCTTTTTTTAAAACCGTATTAATCGCTTCCCTTTGGTATTTTGTCTTCCTTGTTCTGGCACTAATATGTAAAAGAGATATATCATCACTGTCCAAAGAAAAACAAGTATCTCCAAAATACTAAGTTTACCGGAGAAGACAAAAACACTCTTACCTTTTAATGTAACTTAATGTAAAGAGGTTCTTTTCCAAGTGATTTTGGAGCATTTCTATTTGACCAATCATCAAGAAATTTTCGCACACAATAAAGGACGGCTGGTGTCTCAAAAAATCCAGATACATGGTTTTCTTTGGGCAGGGACGATATACAAACATTTTGTTTTTACAGTATGAATTGTCTATGGCCCGGATACGTCGTACCCCTTCCAGTGCTGTGAGTAAAGAGCAGGAGGGAATGGTTGGGGGTCCGGGAGTTAAAGCTGTGGCAAACAGAGCTCTGTCTGGCTCCGTTAGCAAAATTAAAATCAGTCTGCAGGAGAGAATTAGAGCTGACAGGTCTTAAACTGAGTCTCTGTCTCCTTCACAATAATACAGATACAGCTAATCTCGTCACCGGTTCATGCTACTAATGTTATGTCTAATTACAGAAAAGATTACTACAGTCGACTCCCATGACACCAATGATTTTAATCATAGTAGAAATTAATAAAGTCGAATCCCATGACATAAGTGGTTTTGAGATAACAAGGCTATGAATTGCTCGAAGACAGTGACAGATTTGCTGTTGTATGTGGGTGCGTGACTTTTCTCCAAACACTCTCTACATTAAAAGCAGTCTGAAAGACCTTTCAATGCTTCTAACTTCTCTTCTAAACTTTAAGTGTTACTGATGTGAGAATGTGTTCAGTTCATTCAGCACACACTATATATTAAAGAGCCCAAATTCTACATTCTTCTTGCATTTTATATTTTTTCCACTGATAACCAACCAACCTCTCTTCATCCCTTAGAACTGAACAGATTTTTGTTATCACTGTGCCTTTAAGACTGATTTACGTAAATAAGCTCTGTTCTGATTGGCTGTCCTGTATTATTCCTCATTCAAAAAGCAGTCCAGTAACTTCAGCACAAAGAGGCGGAGCTACGCTGCTGTACAATGAATGGATGGATATATGTAAATATGCAACCCTGCAATCATTTTTTGTGACATCACAAAAAAAATCAATTCAACCCAGGCTGTTTTTGAACCTTAGTTTCCATGTATTGAGTGTACAGACTGGGGAGTGAATGGTACACTTGGAAACTTTAACCATGTGTACATACTGTATCAAATTATTATTTAATTTAAAAGTCAGTTTTCCATTATATGGGACATTTAAGATGGCTATATGTAAATTAGCTTTGTTTTGATTGGCTGCCCTGTATTGCATCTCTTTTAAAAGACAGTCTGGTCTGAAACACTGCTTTTAACTGTAATGTAATTGAGTGAGCTTATCTGCTGTAAGCTGAATAGGCAAATGTATATATAGTGTGTTGGTTTTTATGACATCACAAAAACGGTGAATTCAAAACAGTCTGTTTTTGCAGTTTCCATACACAGACAGTACGGATAGTGGTATGAATTGTATGTTTTGGAATGTTGACAATGTTTGCACTTTAGATCAGTCTGTTAAATAAAGACTGATTTAATGAAAATCAGGCCCATATCTTGGAATTCTTTTTCATAATATGCTCCCTTTAAAATCAAATGCATCAATAAAGCTCATGGTGAGTATGATGGAAAAAGAATTCCTAAGAAAGCTATTAAACTGTACATGAATGATTAATATTACTTTTCACGTTATGACTGACACAAACGGAAAACAACATTATATCGTCGCTGTCCGAAGAAAAAGATGTATCTCCAAAACAGTAACTTTACAGGAGAAGGCAAAAACATTCTTCACTTTCAGAGTAAGATAACAGAAAGACATTTTGTACCAAGCAATTTTAGAGCATTTCTATTGGTCCGTTCATCATGAAATTTTCACACAATGTGAAGGACAGCTGTCTTGTATAAATAATTTAGAAAAGTAAAAATAGCGAAAAATAGAGATTTAGTTTTTCTTTGGACAGTGACGATATATAATCTACATATTTAATATACAGTCCTATACACAACAATAGGGAACCCTGGTCAAATTACATGTTTTGTTGGTTTCTAAGTGAAAATAGGTTAACACGTTCTCTACAGAGCGCATGCTTAAATGTGGCAGTTTCCTAATAATTTTGTGCACAGATTCTATTTATTTAATGTATTGGAGAAAAAAAAAACATAAACATAAAATATGCCATAACTTTTGCATAGGACATATTTTATGTCTTTTTTTCCAATATGTTAAATTCAGCAAATGAACAGTACACACTCAGAAATAAAGGTCTCTGGGGCAGGACCCCTCTTGTCACTGGGGTGGTACCCTCAAGGGTACATCTCAGTACCTTTAGTCAGGGAACATAACTGTACCATAATCCATTGAAATTATATTTTCTAAATTCTATTGACTCCACACACCCCGTCTCATCTCCAGGCTTATTTTATTGTTCTGTTTTAAAACATTAGGTTATGAAAAGGTACAAATATGTTCCTTTCACCTGGATAAACTTATTTAAGCTTCAAAATGGACTTTAAAACCACTGTTGTACCTTTGAGGGAGCATTTACATTGTTTGTACTTTAATGAACGAAAAATGTACCTGCACAGAACCTTTATTTCTAACAGATATGTGTTCACTTATTTTAGTAAGTATCTCCACATCAGGTGAAATACTGAAATAAAAGAATAAGTATTTTATTTCTTTATTTAGTAGGGATCTCAGTTGGCTCCCTGCTCCCTACATAGTGCACTGTGTGGGTTTTGACTTGTATACTCATATAGGGCCAGTAGAAAAATAGGCACATGTGGCTGAATCCTAAATAGCATGTTTTTAGGCATATTATGCACTGTTTGGATGCAGGAGACATTATTTTAAAGACCTACGTAGTGCACTACATAGGGAGTAGGGAGCCATTTGAGATTGAGCCACAGAGGGTCCTCAGTGTAAACCTCTTTGCACATATCAGTTCTTTTAGGACATATAGGGCATTTATTTCTAAAGAGTGTCCCACATTACCTGAACTCATCCTGTGTTTAAAGCTGAATACTTTTCTACATTCGATGCCCATAAACATTCACAAAATACCTCATTTCTAAACGCACAGATCCAAATGAACCTGATAACAGCGCCCTCTGCTGGACACTGACTAGCAGGATGGTTTACAATCTCCATGGCAACAAACCAACCTGAGACCTGGCTGTGTTTTGCCCTCTGTTTCTGTTAGCTTAGAAGGCTAAACTTAGTAGAAAATATTGCAAATTAAAAGCAGTGAATGAAGCTTTAGGCCTAACTGCGTGTAGAAATGAGTGTCTCACTGACATTTCACAAGAAAAATGGGGGTAACAAGGGATTCAGGGAGCAGAGAGTGTATGATTATCTGTACGGTAAGTTCAGAAGAAGCTAAATTGAGCTCATTTGCTGGCTGCTTCTCTAGCTAATGTCCTTTTCTAACAGGTTTCGTCACTTTAATCCACCAATTAGCGTACTGCAGTGTGATAACAGCCTTAAAGGAATGTCCCTGAGTATTTTCATGCTTCAATAATGCTAAAATTACACGAAGTCAACTTATTCTCCAGTTTCTTGTTCGAATTTTTCCGTTCCACCTTAAATGGTGCAGCAGTTACATTCCTGCGACTCAAGCACCATAATGTAACTGCTGCACCATTTAAGGTGGAACGGGAAAATTCGAACAAGAAGCTGGCGAATAAGAAGCCAACTCCAGCCTCGTCTAAAATACAGATATTTCACGGGAATTTTTGTTCATAGGTGCATAGGAGAAACGCTTATAAAGTAGCTTTGCGGCAGCGATAGCTTACATTTTATGCTCATAATTATTTTGACATATTTAAAGGGGAATTCCACCGATTTTGTAAAGATTTCTGTATACTTCCGTGGTTGAAATATAAACAGTCGCCTTCAGAGTGGTTTGATGTGAAATGGCTCATTCCCAGAGAAACCTACAGACTCAGATTTCTTTACAGTGGTGGTGATAGGAACCAGGAGTCCTGATGTCTACAACACAAATATAGCCATTTTAATTACTATCCAAAACTGCCAATAAACCTGCATGTATCTTCTGAGTTTTTATATGTAATGTTGATAATGGTAAAATAATGGTCAATTTGAAAAAATAAGCTTCCTTGGGGACTATTTTGCCTTACAACACCCTGCGTTTATTAAAATGCATTTTAAAGTAACACTTTATCACAAAACTACTGTAAAATAAGGTCTCTGGCATTAGGCAGTGCATTCATATCCATTTCATGTAATACCTTTCCATGAGGGAGCTTTTAGTGGTGTTAAGTTCCTCAGACGTCTGGTTCGTATCACCACCACTGTGAACAATTCTGACTCAGCAAGTTTCTCTAGAACAGAGCATTTCACACCAAACCACTCTGAATTACTCTGTTTTCCCCTTCACAATTTAATTATTATAAAATATTATTAAAAAATATTTTAAAAATTGCTGGAATTCCCTTTAAAGTGTGTAAATTACTGTGTGTTCTTCTCTCTCTCTGTGTGAACACAGGAATCAAAGCCCTGTTTTCCAGTAAAGGAGCCCAAACAGCTCTCTCTGCTGGGATACAGGGGCTCTGCTACAGAGTACTTAACTTTCCATTTGTAACTTTAGAGACAGACTAATTTAATAAATATTACAGTTGTCACTTTTATGTTAAGACATTATTTAGGAGTTGTAGCATATATCTCACATTTAGATTCACGGGTCCCAAATCCCTTACTGTTGTGTGTTTAACTGCAAATTTTAATAGAGTAATATTGATAGAAAGTGCCAAACTGATAGCTAAGATAGTTATCACCTTATACACCATATAGCCGTAAGTATTCAGACACCCCATCAGTGAATTCAGCTTCTTTAAGGTATATCTGGTACTGACACTGAGCTCCATCAAGCACCTTTGGGATAAGTTGGATTGGTATTTGTGATCCAGAACTAACCATCCAACATCAGTACCTGACCTCTCTAATGCTCTTGTGGCTGAATGCAATCAAATCCTCACAGAAGTGTTCCAACATCTAATCAAGAAGAGTAGAGGCTGTTACTGAAGCAAAAAGGGTCAAACTCCCTATTAATATCCTTGATTTTGGAAGAAACATTGAATAAAACGATGTCTGCAAACTTCTGTGTGTTTGAGTCGGTGAACAAGTGTGGCTTTATCATAAGGGCAGGAAATGTCCATACTGTAATGAAACTAGAGTCATGGCATCTTTATTTTGTGTTTCAGATCCAACTTTCACAGTGTCGAGTGAAAGAGACCACGGCAGGGTGGCCTTCCAGGCCCAGGCCTCCTCAGATCGGGCGGTGAGAGATGGAGTGCTGCTCTGCTTTCTCCAGGAGAATTCAGTCGATTTTTATCAACATTTCTGCATAAACACAGTCAGTCATTAGAAGTAGATGTCCAGTATACTTAATATTTCACAGCAGTGCAGAAAGTTAATGAAAACGAATGTTCATGGCGGAGGTATATGTGGGGTGATGTAAGGCAACATACTCCTGAAAGTTTTTACCACTATTGTATCATTATTAATATTACATATAAGAAGTTACGTGTAGGTTCACTGGTCATTTTGGACAGTAGATAAAGTGGCTATTTACATCATGGCCCCTGGTTCCTATCATCACCACTGTGAAGAAATCTGTAAGTCTGTAATGACTTTGTTTATATCTCAATGATTGATATCACATCAAATCAAATGAGCTTATTTATATCTCACTGATTGAGTTGTGCAGAGATTTTGAAAAATTGGTGGAATTCCCCTTTAAAAGCACCTCGCTAACAGCTATAATATTTAGAGCAAAGTGTAATTTGTGCAGTCTAAACTGTTCATGACTGACTCAGTTAACCTATCATTCTTTATTTCGGAAAGTGCTGCAGAGGTGTAATCAGATTGCTTTTATTCATATCTCTCCCTCTAGATCTAAATTAAAGTTAATTGAATTTCATTTGCACTGTCCCTGGAAACCCAGCAGGACCCCAAATCAGCATTTAAAAGAAAATAAAACGCTTGCTGGTGCTGGCACACATTGGCATGATTAGTTGCTTACTGTACAGGATTACTGATTGTAAAACCATGGCAGACTTCCAGTAGCCTCTTTCCCAGAGCATGAGGCTGCATAGCCTTGTGATGAAAGTGTTTTTTTTTCCTCTCTTTAGTTGAAATAGGAAATAATAGGTACATTTATTCAGTTTCAAGCTCATTAATTATAATCAGCCTCTGTCTCCTTTTAACAGTGGCCTACAGGCCATTACTGTGTTTATCATCTTTTAAGCGACATACTGTATATGAATAAACCTGATCATGTCTCTGTGACTCCAGACGAAGGTCCCGGAGTTTAACTCCATGTTCAGTAATCTCCTTCACCACCCACGCTTCACGCTGCGGCTGGACGCTGCTGACCGCGTGCCTGGCTTCATCGACCGCCGATGGAGAGGTCATTCAGAGCAGAGGAGAGAAGCTCTGAAGACACTGGCAGGGTAATCACACACACTTATACGGTGTATACACTTATTAAGTGATATTGTAAACGTTTACAAAAGAAGGTTCTTCAAGGGTTCTTTAGTAAAGAAAATAGTTCTGTCTAGAACCATGAACACTCAAAGAACCCTTTGCATGATTAAAGGGTTCTTTGCATCATTGCATCATTGCATCACAAGGTTCTTCAGACTGATGGAGAATGTGTTGTATAGGGTTCTATATAGAACCGTTTTGAAAAGAGCACTCAAAGAACCTTTTGCATGATTAAAGGGTTTTTTGCATCAAGAAGTGTTCTTCAGACTGATGGAGAATGTGTTTTATATGGTTCTATATAGAACCTTTTTGAAAAGGTTCTATATAGAAACGTGAACACTCAAAGAACCTTTTGCATGATTAAAGGGTTCTTTGCATCAAGAAAGTGTTCCTCAGACTGATGGAGAATATGTTTTATATGGTTCTATATAGAACCTTTTTGAAAAGGGTTCTATATAGAAACGTGAACACTCAAAGAACCTTTTGCATGATTAAAGGGTTCTTTGCATCAAGAAAGTGTTCCTCAGACTGATGGAGAATATGTTTTATATGGTTCGATATAGAACCTTTTTGAAAAGGGTTCTATATAGAACCATGAACACTCAAAGAACCCATTGCATGATTTAATGGTTCTTTGCATCAAGAAAGTGTTCTTTACACTGGTGGAGAATGTGTTTTGTATGGTTCTAAATAGAATCTTTTTGAAAATGGTTCTATATAGCACCCAAAAAGTTTCTGTGATTGTTACGATGTCATACTCGTAACAATAGAAGAACCCTTTTGGGTGCTATATAGAACCATTTTCTAAAAGGTTCTATAGAAAACACATTCTCTGTTAGTCTGAAGAACCCTTTCTTGATGCAACCCTTTAATCATGCAAAGGGTTCTTTGAGTGCTCATGGTTCTATATAGAACTGTTTTCTTTACTAAAGAACCCTTATAGAACCATTTTTTTAAGTGTGTACCTACAACACACTCTGGGTTGTCCATGCAGGCGCAGACGCAGCTCAAAATGTGCCTTAATGTGACGGCAAAAAAGGAGCAGTGAAATAACGAAGCTGTCGACAAGCTCTTTAAAGTTCAGTGATGAAGTGATGAATGAAGATAGTGGTGATAATACATGAAGTTCTTTCACAAACTAAAACCCTCTGCAGTGGTGTTATTTCACTCGAGCTAAGAAAATAGAGTTTATGAAACAGTAACACAAAGCGCATGTGCATATTGCAGCTGCAATACGGCATGTTTTCCATCACATCTTCTCACATGCCTACATCTGATCCAGTGAAATGGTTTTATTCTGAAGGTAAACCTTATTTCACGTTTTCAAGGCTCATGTCCCCATTTTGTTGTTGTATCTGCTGCCATCGTTAAAGGAAATATCTCAACAACACATCTTTTGAGACCCTAACACAAATTGACACCAGGTTTTGAAAGGAGGAGGAAAATTGTCTCTCGCAAGTTGCTCAAACTTTAGTAAATTGAGTGCAGTATATAATATGCATATGCATTTCCAATATCTCCATCAGCCTTTTCCGTGATCCTCTCATGTTTGGGCCGCCCCTTCCTCAGATGCATATGCGTGAGGAAGAGAAACGCAGTTTATATTTTTCTAAGCATGCAGCCCATAAATTTGTGTGCCAGGCTTGTGTGCCAGTTTTGTACATAACACATGAGCAGAGTGCGTCCAATTTGCACCTAAAATGGGCACAAAAGGCTTAGTACTCATTAGGCCCTCAGTGTGCTGTAAAGGGAAGGTTTACACACACACGCACACACACTCTAGTGCTAGCAAGCAGTGTTGAGGAGTAGTGAACTTCGTACAATTAAACTAGTAGTTTAACTACATTTTGCAGTTGCTGGTAGTTCAACTGCATTCATATTTGCATAGTGATTCAAGTGGTTAAATAGCTTTTTTGCCATTTTTTGTGTAGCTTTAGTTAACCAAACTAGGTTTCTGCCTGTGGTAGCTTTGCTGTAGTTTGATGTAATTGTAGGCTTGCAAAGCTGTGCTTTCAAAGAAGCTTCCCCAACACTGCTAGCAGGTGTGTTTGGCAGAATAAGACCACATAACAAGCATGACAGGACAGGGTACAGTCACACTCACACACCCTACCTTTGGCCAGAAAAAGGAAGCACATAGACGTGTATTTTCTCTATCTGAAGCTAATTCTACCACAACGTAAACAAAAACCACTGACACTTTTCTGACACTGTAAAACAGACCTGGGTCTTCTGTTCTCAGCATGTGTGTATCTGGTCTCATTGTGATGATCTAAAGATGATCAAGTTATTAATAACCAGACAACAGTGATTCACAGATTCGCAACAGTGTTAGGGTTAGGATTAGGATTAGTACCAGAGTTCGATTTAGGTCCAGGGTTAGGGTTAGGTCTTGGATTATGGTTAAAGTTAGAGTTAGAATTAGTATCAAAGTTAGATTCAGAACGAGCGCAAGAGTTAGGTTTAGGTTTTGAGTCGAGGTCCAGATTTGAGTTAGAATTAGTACCAGGGTTAGATTTAGGTCCAGAGTTAGGGTTAGGTTTTTTGTTGAGGTTAGAGTTAGAATTAGTGCCAGTGTCAGATTTAGGTCCAGGGTTAGGGTTAGATTTTGGGTTCAGGTTCAGGTTAGGTTTAGAATTAGTACCAGTTTTAGATTTAGGTCCAGCGTGAGAGTTATGTATAGGTTTTGGTTTGAGGTTATAGTTAAAATTAGTACCAGGGTTAGATTTAGGTCCAGGGTGAGGGTTAGGCATATATTTTGGGTTAAGATTAGAGTTAGAAGTAGTACCAAGGTTAGGTTAAAATCCAAAGTCCAGGATGAGGATTAGGTTTGGATTTTGGATTGAAGTAAAGGTTTAGAGTTAGATGTAGTAGCAGGCTTAGATTTAGGTCCAGGGTGAGGCTTAAGTTTAGATTTTGGAAAGAGGTTAAAGTGAGTGTTAGTAATAGAGCCAGGGTGAGGTAAATTCAATAGATATTTATTTGAATGTGAGTTAAATGCAAGTTAAGCATTTGCAAAGCATCTGCAGTGGGCTGTCTGAATAAAGCGTATGATGATCAGGAGTGTGCAAAACTGCATTTCTAAAATAATCTAAAATAGAAGGTTTTGTGTTTGATTTGTTTTGCTTTGTTTTTTTTGTTATATGCCTAATGCCACATGTGTTATTTCATAGTTTTGATGTCTTCTAAAATGTAGAAAAATAAGCATATCCTTTCCATGAGTAGGTTAGGTGTCCAAAACTTTGACTGGTACTGTACATACGCTTCCATTACTTGTTAGATACATTAACCTCATAGCTCCAGGGCAAAACTGCGGAAGCAAAAATGTCCTGGCTGATCGACCTCGTCTGGAGTAAGAGAAATATTGTGTAAACTTGACTTCTGGCTAAACCTTCACTTTAAGTGGGCTGTCAAATATAATTAAAGACAAAAATCTGGTGGGATTTTTTTTGTTTTAATTCTGGCTATTATGTTTTAATGTTTCAATGCTGTGCTAACAAGCAGTAATTCCAAACCTCTCTCACCTTTTTCCTGCATGTTTTGCAATTACGTGTGTTGTGGTAAACATGTTATAAATCAGCCTCTGTGTCTGTGTTTGTTTGTCTGTCAGGGTGCTGCCTGGGGTTCAGCTCCAGCAGCCGAAAACTGAGGACGTGGCCGGAGTGGACCGATGGAAGTATTTTAAGCGGTGAGGAGGATTCATGAAGGAACTTATTTATAAAGGAACTCAGTTCAGCACACATTCAAACACAGAAACACATTTTAATTAACAGTGAGTCACCCATCGAAATACCTGACGCCTTGACTCTGCTTCGAGTAGCAATGCGTTGGAGTGAATGAAAAGGACATAAGGGACAAATGTGATAAGCAGCCTTGATTTTTTTAATTACTGTTCTAGCAAAGAAATTACTTCCAAACATGCACTAAACATGTCTTATTTTTATCGCTTCCTGTTCCCCCTTTCCATCTGTTCATCTCTCTTTCAGGCCTCTCGTTCCCTTTTCCCAGCAGGTCCCTCCTGATGTTGTTTTTGCTTTGCCCAAGTAAGTCAAGGACAGGATGTTTATCACAACGTTTTAATATGTATAGGATTTAGCAGCGTAGTGTGACTCTGATCTTTCCACACATCTTTTATTACCTGTTTGAAGGCTAGAATTGTTATTGTTTTGCTAGATTTTTTTTACATTACATAATTATATGTGTAATTACATAATAATTATCAAAAACTGATGCATTGAATTTACGAGATTGAAATATGTACATTGAACCATGGCAAACATGTACAAGGATGTTTTTTTTTTCTTTTTCATTCTGCAAAGCAAGGCTACATGCACAACAATAATGTTTAATCAAATTAAAACCACATTTCTTTTCTTACCAAAACAAATGTGGTGTCAACTGAAAATGTATAATCTACACTTTTGACTGAATTTCTTGTGACTTTATTGTGCTACAAGTAGGAAATAATTAAACAAGATGTAAGAAAAGAAAGATGTTTCAAGGTATATACAGTTGTATGCAAAAGTTTGAACGCCCCTTGGTCAAATTACATGTTTTTCTGATTTTCTAAGTAAAAACAACACATCCTTTACAGTGAACACACTTAAATATGTTTTTCTGTGTGCAATTTCTGTTTATTTGCTGAGTTTAACATAAAAAAATCCCACAAATATAATTTGTAAATATGCCATACATTTTGCACAAGCCACTTTTTCTGTTTTTCTCACAATATTTCAAATGCAGTAAATAAAGAGTAGTTATGCATTAAGGTGTGCAGAAGTGTGTTCTCCGTAAAGGATGTGCTTTCACTTTGAAAATCAACAAACCATGTAATTTGACCATTATTTATAATCCTGTGTGCATGGGGGATATGGGAGGGTTCAATTAAATGTGTATTTGAGCACAGTGGTGTGCTGTATGTCCACTAAGAGGTGTGTTTGGCTGCTTCTGTCTTTTCTGGCAGAGCTCACCTCCTGTCTGGCCAGGCTGAGCAGCCCAGCAGTCCTTTCCAGTGCTCAGTGGGGGTGCAGACAGATTATCGGGACAGCGAGGCGCAGACAGAGCCCTACAGCCCTGGATACACACTGCGTCCTGGGACAGCTCCCCCTGAACTCCTCACCTTGGCCACACTAACATGGGGTACACACACACAGGCCTTACACATACAACACACACACACTACACTGTCAGAAAAAATCTACAGTGGCACAAATGATGTAAATGTACTCTCAAAGGTACGACAATGTACTTAAAGAGGAAGTCCACTGATTTTTCAAGATATCTTCACTATTTACTCTCACTATTGCTAAGATGTAAGCAGTGTCATCCAGAGGGGGTTGATGTGAAATGTGCCATTCTAATTGTTCACCAGTCGTGATAAGAGCCAGATGTAAACGGTATAAAGTGATTCTGATTCAGATGTCCGTAGCATTAAATACTTCTAAAAACGACACAGAAAGCTGTTAGACAAAATGGTTACAAATGCGATGTTTGATGCCTGAGACATCATTTCCTGATCACTTTGAGATCTGATTTAGGTTTGATACATGTATTTAAAATCCATTTATGGCAGAGAGGTACAGGTAAGGTATTCTATAGCAAAATGATACCCAAAGAAAGTGCAGTTTTTCAGATTTACCACTTTTTTACCATTATCAGCATTACATATGAAGGCACCTGTAGGTTCACTGGTGGTTTTGGATAGTAAATAAAATGATTAAATTTGCAATGTAGACACTGGGACACCTGAGTCCTATCATCACCATTGTAAAGAAATCTGTAAGATTCTCTACAGTGAACCATTTCACATCAGACCACTCTGTTTATTTTCTTTATATCTTAATAATTGAATTACACAGAAATTTTGAGTACCTGAAGTAAGTTTTAAAGGTACACTACATTCACTTTTCCACAGGAAGGGTGCATATTTCTAACTGTAACATAACTTTTTAGAGCTTTCTAAATAGAAAATAAAACAAAAGCTTGGCGTCAAACAGTGCTTAAATATGTAAAAAAAAAAAAGAATAAAGAAAAAAGGGAACTGCAACAGAATATGATACAATTATGTTCTGCAGCTTTTTTCTGAGAATGTACAGTACCAGTTGAAAATTTGGTCACATCTGATTGAGCAGGTATTCTTTCCATAATGTAAAACCCATTATCTTATAAATGCTTATGCTTCTATGCTTGAAGTGTGTTTCTAAGACAAATGCACATAGTGAAATTAATGTCTATGGATTAACTTATGGTAAAAATAAATTAAATAAATAAAAATACTTTTTCAGCATTTGTGGAGCTTCTTTAAGCCTGTTGGAAAATTAGTTCAGGTGGCTCCTCATAAAATGTGCTTGAGAAAACAGTCAAAACCTGACTAAAAGCAAAGGGGGCTACTTTGAGGAATCTAAAATAGAATATAATTTAGATTTGTTTGACATATTTCTTATCACTGTATAATTCCATAAGTGCTATTTCATAGTTTTGATTTTGTCAATAATACTGAAAAATGTGGAAGATGGTTAAAAAAAAGGAAATGTGTCCAGACTTTTTACTGGTGTACTGTGTGTACACATATGCAAGCATGCTCTCACATGCATGACTTACTTACTGACCACAAACATACAGAAGCTAAAGCTGGTTTTTGAAAATCTCATTAATATTTCTTGTTGGCAAGAATGTGTTTGCTGATTAACTTTCCACGACTTGGATATAGGCTAAACCAGGATTGTGGAAGTGTGTTGATCCTTACTGTTATTGTAGGGACCCCATGATAGAATTAGGAATTTGCAGCACTGTTAAAGTTTAGAGTGCTTTTATTCAATACATCTCTCCTCCTTAATAGATTCACACTGCAGAGCATGTATGAACTGTGGCCTGCTGTGATAGATGCTGTTATGCTGTCTGCAATGAATTACATTTCCATGGTCTATTGACCCTGGCTATCAGCTGGACTCCCAGTAGTGTAAAAGAGGCAAAGAGCCAGCATGGACTCTGCTAGTTGATTTTTATTCTTCCTTTACCTTCCACAAAGAAGCAAAGCTGAGGGTCATGCTCAGTGGGAGTGGAATGCGGCATCATGTTTTTCTAAATCAAACTAGTGCTTGAATGCAGTGCAGAAGAAGCAGCCAGGAGACCTTTAAATATAGCTTTTAGTTTGGGGAAGCTAAGAGCTCTCTAACCCCAAAATGTTTAATCAATACATCCATGCTTTAAAAATGATAACATTACAAGTGAAAGCATCTTAAATGTAGGCAACATGTCCAATATTTCTCATTATGAGCTAGTCTCAGCTTATTGTCAGAACATCTGGTAGGTTTTGTCACTCAGCATGGAGAGGGTCTATAAGCTAGCTGAGCTTTTTGCTCTTTGATACACTGTACAGCCAAAAGTTGACACCCCTTCTTATTGTTGTTTACTTCAGTTTTTCTATTTATAACTGTTTACTTAGTAGCTCCTCACTTGGCTGTATAAGAGTCAGCACTAACTGGTGTTCTGACGAATTGTGCTACCTAGTCACATTGTCTGACCAAAGTGCAGACTGCCTCTGGAAGCAACATCAGCTCAAGTATTGTATGTCAGGAGCTTCATGAAATGGGTTTCCATGGCTGAGCAGCTGCACACAAGCCTAAGACCACTATGCACAGTGCCAGTGCCACTGTGCCTTGACCTCAACCCCACAGAACACCTTTGAGATGAAGTGGAGCATTGATTGCAAGGCTGACTCAAATGCTGTTTTGACTCAGTGGCCACAAATTCCCACAGACACACTCCAAAATCTTCTAGAAAGCTTTCCAGAAGAATGGAGGCTGTTATAGCTTCAAAGAGGGGTCAGCACCATATTAAAGCCTGTGGTTTTGGAAGGGGATGTCCAACAAGATCATGCAGGTGTGATGGTTAGGTGTCCAAATACTTTTGCCCATATATTGTTGCTGGTGCTGGTGGGAGTGAGAAGTGAACCGTGATATAGGTTAACATAATTTTTCCCCACAAACCAGCGCACAGTGACGTAATCAAAAATCAGACATTGTAGAAGAGGGCAAAAAATATATTTAGATGAAACAAGAATTTTGTCTTGATGGTGTATGATGATTCATGATTAATATGACAAGGCACATGATCTAAAGAGGTAAAAAGGTGAATTTTGATTTTACGCTGACTTTGAAGACTTACACCGTTTTGATTTGACCATCATTTTGTAGCAAATACATCTTACTGTGGTTGGTATGGTGTAGTGGTTAACACCTCAACCTTGTATGCTGTAGACTAGGGTTCAGTCACCGCCTGGGTAAGCACCCTACACTATACCAAGGGGAGTCCTTGGGCAAGACTCCTAACACTACCTTCACCTACCTGTGTAAAATGATCAAATTGTAAGTCGCTCTGGATAAGGCCGTCCGCCAAATGCCGTAAATGTACTCTAAAATCTCACTGTTGTCACACTGTTCCAGTTTCATAAAACACAGTGCCAGATTTACCATGGCAGTAAGAGTAAACAGTGTGACGGTAACACATTTACTCATTCATAAACAAGAAGTACTGGTGTGTTTTACCATTTTTGTGAATTTAGGTGTGACATTGCTATTGTCTTATTTAATGTGGTGGTAGCAATTCGTCACACGTCACAGTCCCACAAAAATAACAGCTGAACCACACTGATGATAATTTTCCCGGAAAGAAGCCAATGTGGATATGACAGAAACACGCTTGGTCCCCACAACAAATATACACAAACTCAGCATCGTGACAAACCTTGTAAATGTTGTTATAGGAGAACAGAGGAGAAAAACACTTGCTTGAGATGGATTTCAGATTGACAGATTTAACTGGCACTCAACTTACAACTGCCTCTTCTTGCTGCATCAGAGTCTGTGTTTGGCGAATCCCCCTTCTGTGTGTGGAGAGTAGGTTTATGTTGTAAACCAAGCAAGTGAAGAGTGATTTAACATGGTGAGATTTTAGTTAAGCTTGAATTGATATTATATCAAGTAGTTTCAGCTTTTAAATGGATTTGCAAATCAAATTCATCATGTGAAGAATAGAATATTTACTAGTTGAAATGTAATTTAGACTGTACAATTTCAGTTTGACAAATCACTTGTATGAACAGAATATACCATCAAAAGTGAACGACATGCTCAGTGGTCATTTTGACTAGAAATTATATAAATGTATAATTTTATAGAAATAAATAAATGTATGTAATTGTTGCCTCTGACTTCTGCAAAGTACTGAAGGTGCATCATGTGGGCGGCGTTTGCCACTGTAGCGTGAGATCGCGCTGGCATGCATGTAACAGGGACTATAAATGAACCAGTCTTTTATACAGTTATGAAAACAACTTGACTCAGTCCAGTTTCTAACTGGGAGCTTAGTTGGACTATTGTGTGCATGTAAACGTTTATTGTTTACACCCCTCCCATCTGGAAGAAGCTCACAGAGCATGTAAGCTAATATTAGAGACTCATGATCAGTTACTTTGAACAGGCTGTCAGGTTACTGAACAGATCTGCTTGACCTTTAGACATTTATGCTGGACAGCAATCCCAGCCTGACTGTCAGCTACTGCAGTCTACCTACCGCACCTAGTCACATTACACGAGGCATACATTTTAGTTTATTTTACATCTAGAGTGGTCATTGTTAGCAAGGACTGTACGTCTGTTTTCTGAATTGTATTGTCTGTTTCTTATTCTGTACTAATTGTCTGCTATCCAGTAGTTGCTGTTTGTATAGTTTATTGTATGCTGTACTGCATAGTTCATTCTGAGTATTTATTGTATTTATTGACTGTTGTACTATTGTCACCTTATTGGTTTGTCTACTGATGTTTCTTGTTAAATGTAGCACCGTGTTCCAGCAGCATTTTATTCATCCCTGGCTGATGAAAACTTGACTTCACAAATTAAGGCAGAAATTGCTTAAATAGACAAAACCAACTGTAAAGAGTTCAGGAAACTGCCAGCTGCAGGGTGTTGTAATACTGCTGCACGTAGCCTATAATCATGTTCCTGTCTTTTTCATGTCTCTGATGAACAAAAGAAACTTTACAGTTCACCTGACAGAGCACTATTTCTTGCGGTTTGCTGTCTCCTTCTAGTACATCAAGCTGCTCAACGATGCTGCAAATCCTGTAATTTTAAAAGGAAGAAAATACAGAATGTGTGTCCTCCCTGGCTGTATGGGTAAACAATGCAATTTGAAGAAAAAGGCAAAAACTGACAATAAAATAGATTTGCAAAGTGAAATCCGTTTTTTAACATTTTGCTCAAAAGTGTACACTATTGTTCAAATGTTTGGAATCACGAGTCATTAATGATTGCTCTTTTTTAATTCAGTAAGAAGTTTTATGGTATAGATTGAAATATTAGGCACCAGAATGTATTTTAAGATGTTTTAAATGTTGTATTACATTTTTTTGAGTTTTTGGGAACACTAAAAATTTGTTAAAGTAAAGGTATTAAATGATAAATGACATAATGTAATTATCTTTTCACAATAAAGCTAAGTAAGCTAAGTAAAGTCATAGAGTAGTAGCATCTTATTAGAATCATTTTACACATGTACCTGCAGCAAGACTAGTTTTAAATTACTGAACACAGTCATTTCAAACTTTTGAACAGGAAAGTACATCTTCTGAGGCTAGACTGGATCAATTATAGCTAACATAATCTGTTTATTTATACCTTGGGATCAGAGTTTATGGAGATCACTGAATAACTGAAGCAAGTGTGTGTGTTTTCCAGGCCGTGGGCTGCCTGCCGGGCTGGAGGAGGTGGAGATGATTGAGAGGGCGAGGATGAAGCGGGCCTGGGAGGCTACACTGCCCCCGCTGAACGATCTGACTCAGCTGGAGAAGAGGAAGAGGATGATGGACGAGATGGAGAGAAAGGAGTGGGCTTTCAGGGAGCGGGAGATCGAGAGGTGAGGAGCAGCTTTCTTGGCTGAGCTCACGGACTGTGCAGCCTGAAGCGATGGTCCCTTCCTCTCTCTGTGTAACCCACTACGCACAAACAAACATATAGGCTCTTAAACAGCATTCTAAACTTGAACAGTTTTCCACTTACCACTGATGTCATCTGTCAGCCAAGAAGTCAGGTGTGAAGTTTTGCATGATAGTTTCTGCCGTTTAAAAGATGTATATCATAGAAAAGTGAATTTTCTTAACTAGTTTAATGTCAAAATTGTTAAAGTTATAAAACCTGTTATTCACTTCTCAGTTAATACAGTCCATATATGCAATATATGCTAAACTGCTTTGAAGAAGTTCATTAAGCCCCAGACAAAGAAGTTATGGGAGAGTTTAAGGAGAGTTTCAGTCCAGAATGCCTAATGTATATACTGTATATCAGTGCAGTACGTCAAGTCAAGTCAAGTCAAAGTTTATTTATATAGCGCTTTTTACAGCTGACATTGTCACCAAGCAGCTTTGAAGAAAATCCAGGTTCAATCCTCAGTGAGCAAACCGAAAGCGACAGTGGCGTGGAAAACTCCTTAAGAGCAAGAGGAAGAAAACTTAAGAGAAACCAAGCCTCAGAAGAGGAATCCATCCTCCTCTGGTCGATGCCAGATAGCAAAATAATAACGCAACAAGAGCAAAATTAATGAAAAATAGGATTTTACAATTAATATACAATATTGAATATAGAGAAAAAGAAAAAAATAAACTAGCCTGTCATTGGACAAAAGTGTCCAGATTAACCAATGACAACTGATGACTACTGTTAGAGGCCTATCAGAGTAACAATGAGAAACAGATATGAATCTGAAACTCAGTCCCGGTTACCAGTGAAAATCACGGACCTACTGTTAGGAGCGTATCACAGTTGAAACCATGAACATCAGTGACTACCATAAGAAGCATATCTTGATGATATGTCTGTATGAATATGAGAAAAGCTCAGTGTATTGTGCGGCAGGTGAAACAATGTCTGTGATTAAATAGTTTAAGTCTGTGCACGTAGTAACAAAAACTGCTGGTTTAATTCTAGGAGATAAAGACAGGTTGGAAAAACGTTAATGTAAAACTAATTTTAGACTGTTTTTTGGTACATATAAACCACGTAAATGTCTTAAGTGGACCTCAGGGATAAAAATAAATTACAAGAGAAATGTAGAATATGGGTCCTCTATTGTTTGTCTTTAATAACATAATTTCTCAGTGCATTTATTTGATATTGAAAGCAAAAACAAAACCAGAATTTCACAGATTTTTATTTTGTTGGTGATAATCTACCTCTTTGAGAAAAAAAAAATCATATGAATAGGAATGTATTTTTAAACTTCAGTCAATCAATAATAAGCGCTTACTGATCTGAACTGTGTTGTGAATGTGTGTGCACACTCACTCAGAAACTTGCACGTGCATCCAACAAGGAAGACAGCATGGTGCAGCGTTAGAAAGACAGCGATAGAAAACACAGGCACATGCAGAAAGCTCCAATTCCACATGCTGATATATTTTACCATGCTGAATGTGGTCTATAGAACGTTCTGCACATATCCTAACTACTCTGGGGGCAGATTTTACAGAAATATTTCTGAATGTATTCCCAGCGAGTGAATATTTTGTTTGTGTGTGGGTGTGGATGCAAATTTGGGCATGTGACCATGTGTGTTTGCGCATGTTTGCTCATAGGTTTGCGTGCATTTGTACGCATATGTGTAGGAGGGCCCATGTGTTGTATTTATGTATGTGTGTGACTGGGGGTTTGCGTGTGTGCTGCAGGCTGCAGGAGGCTCGTCTGGCTCTGCTGATGCAGCTCCTGCGACAGAGGGAGGGACAACAGGAGGAGACCACTGCGGAGCGGCTGGACCAGCGCTTTTCCCAGCTACAGAGACAGAAGGAGGCCCGCCTCCAGAAGATCCACAGTGATTATGTCCTGTGTAAGTGCACATAAATGTATACGCCACCTTCGAACTCTCATTAGCTGTTGCCTCAGTCCATTATTACATAGCTCATAGCTTCACATGGGAAAATGAAGAGAGTTCTCTTTTCCCTTTATTATGTTTAAGGGGCCCTTATCATCATCTTTTCTTGCTTTTATGAAATTCAAGAGTTTGGTGTAGTATGTAAACATTGTTAAAGTTTCGAAATGTACCACTTGCTTTCCAGTCCAAATGGTCCATAAATGGAAATTAGGCTGCAAGAACAGCCCATTTTGAATTCACTGTTTTTGTGAAACCAGTGCATTTACATAGATCTGATTATTCAGCCTACAGCAGTTTAGCTCCAACCACTCACATTTGTTTCAGCCCAGACTGTGTATTAAATGAGGTATCATACAGGGCAGCCAGTCAGAACATAGCTCATTTACATATATCATGTATTATTTAAGGGCGCAGTAACATGTAAAATATGGTCCCTGTAAAAAATTGCTCAAGTTTACATTAAGTGAACTAGCTCACATTAAAGACGTTAAATCATTAGTTTGGCAAAAAAGCAAAATTATTGGATAAATTTCCCTTTACCCCAAATGTAGTCAGCTAAGGCATGGTGTCTGGAGTTTGGTGTCCTCTTTTGTCTTGGACTGGTGCTACAAGGCTAATGTTGTTAACATGTTATATAAGCTTATAACTCATTAATTAGCAGTGTGCAAATTGCATGCTTAGGTCATCAAACACTTTATTCAAACCAGGTCAAGTTGTTTAAGTAATCCCTTATGTGGTTTCTGACACGGATCACATAGTGTTATCTACAAAAATAAAAAATTACACACATTATACAGCTAAAAACACGATAGAAGACATCTTGAAGCCTAAATTATGTCTGTATGTTTGTCAGTTTGACATCAAGCATGTTTTGAGTCATTAACTACAGTTGCAGGATGGCAAACATTGGACCTCATTCACAAACCGTTCTTATGGAGAAATTTCTTTTTAAAACCCACTTACGCAGTTTTCATGATGATTGTGAAATTTACTTACTTGTAATTTGTTCTTAGGTAAGAACAGAATCTACACACAGTTGAGAGCACAAAGATCTGAACAGTTTTGTGGTTTAAGAACACAACATGAATCTGGCATAGACTTTTTCTTGGGACCTTTCTCAAGAACACATTTAAGAAATAACTTAGGAAGATGTTGGAGAATGATGCCCTTTGTCTTTGATGTTTTGGTCTGTGTAGAAACATCACCTCATCCACATAGGAATCTAATAAAATTTAATGGGGAATTCTACTGATTTTTCATAATTCCATCATATAGTTGTAAACGAAGTCGTTCAGAGTGGTTTGATGTGAAATGCTGCATTGTATTTGAGCTTAACGGCTGTCACAGTGTCTCCCCCCTCTGGGAGACTCTAGTTGGACCTGTCCAGACTGGAATGGCTCATTCCAGCTCCTGTTCCACCCTGCAGCTAGTTTATGGGCATAATTACAACCCATACATACACCCCTTAGTTTGGCTTTGTGCCCTCTATGTGCCCTTTTCCTGTTTGTCACCTGCTCTGTTAACTGTTTTTTACTCTATGGATCTGCTTTATGTGATGTTGCCTGCCTGGTTTCTGACCCCTGCCTGTGATGATTTTGGATTGCTCCTAATAAAGCCACTCAGCACATGCAGCCTGCCAGCAAACCCCTTTGTTACACCCACTCGCATTTCTTCACAGTAGTGGTGACAGGCCCAGAGTAGTTATGTCTGCAACACAAATATAGTCGTTTTATTTTCTATCCAAAAGCAAACCTACATGTTTCTTCTGAGTTTTTATATGTGATGCTGATAAAGGTATACTAGTGATAAATCCCAAAAACATAAGTTTTCTTCTGGGGCTATTTTGCCCTTTAACATTCTGCATATACCTTTTCACCATGAAAGAAATTTTAAAAATACATTTTAGACCAAAACTTCAGGACTTCAGATGTGTGGTTCCTATCACCACTACTGTGAACAACTCTGACTTTCAAGTTTCAGAGCAGTTAACATCGAACCGCTTTGAATGACCTTGTTTACATCTTAATGATTTAATTATGCTCAAACTTTGAAAAATTGATGATGGAAGGCTTGTTTAACTGCTGAAACTGCTTAGTTGAAATGTTGCATTAGAAGAAAATCAATATGTACTGTGATGTCTTGGTTGTTACCTTTCTGTCGCTGTGTTTCTCAGCTCTCCGAAAGCTCACAGCAAAGAGGAGAAATGTAGAGGGAAAGCTGGAGCGGCGGGATGTTGTAAACGACCACTCAGATTATGGCTCACAGACGTACGCTCCGCTCTCTCGCCATGGTGTCTTCCCTGACCGAAACTCTGAGCGCCACGTGGTCAAGAACCGCTTCCTCGACACCTACCAAGGTCAGTGTGTATCGGTGTACCTCATCCTTTGGCTCCAGTCCTGGAGACTTTCACGAACGGAATCAGATGCATCAGAGCTGTGCAGTGCTGGAATTTTTAGTATTTAGTATCTTCTTTTATGAATGCTTAAGTTGTAAATCTCTGACCTCACCATGATTTGATTTGATTATGATTTATAAGGAAACAATGTGATGCATTAGGAAAACTGTTTAAAAAGGGACTGCTGCGATGTTCTGTATTTTTGAAATGACCCTTTAGTGGCCATAATAAGATTATAGGGACGATTTATGCTATTTGCACGTTTGCCTCACTGCGTATGAGTGCAACCCCACACAATACTGGGAGGTGATTATTATAATGCACCATTTAGTCTGATTTGCCAAAGCTGATGGTAAATACTGATTTGATGATTATGCACAATATGTAATGACTATGAAATGCTTGTCTTATTTTTACGCTATTTTTATCTTTACCATTGTTGTTCAGAGATGCCCAGCTAACAAAATGGAAGCCTTTTTTCACCAGGTGAAAAAAGTCACCTGTTGTTTTTCCCTGTTTCTGGATGAAGTATGTCAAATTTTGGCTTATGTGTGACCTCTTGAAATTTTGAATTATGATGTCTAAAAAAATAGCATTTTTTTCTCTTTCCTGTCAGAAACAGACTCCCGTACAAAAAGAATGTGAGAAAAACAAGGGCTTATAGTTGCATCTGTGTTCATTTGCATGGAGAATCGTTATAGAAAACTCCCCTTCGAAAGGAAGATAACATCTTAGATTGAGAAGAAACGGTCATTTATGTATCCCAAGCACAGCACGCCTGATGGAAATATTCACCAAAAGCCATTTCAGTCAGTCTCAAAAAACACCACTCCAAGGAACAGGTTAGCTGCAGCTGTCTCATACTAATCAAGACTCTTCCTCCACAATCATGCCATATGCATCGATGCTACAGCAATGCTCTCCAGGAGTGGGTCTAATTTAGCCACTCAATTCTGTATGATAGTTCATTTTGCACACCATCCCTACATCACTCTCTGTAACTGGGCCTGAAATTTTGATCCATAACCTAATTGTAGCCAGAGAACATTCAATGGCAATAAGTTTTGAATCTGAACTCAACTGTATTCCAACCAAATTCTGTCTGACCCCGACTATAGCCGAAAAAATTTTGCCTGAACCTGACCACCAACCATAGACCCAATAAAACTCTTTCTTAATGATAGCACCTGTTAGGTTACCTTGAATAAAACTTTTATAGTCTGAATTAGCTTTACATAAGGCACTCTCATGCTGGCCTTGAGAACCTCTGTGGAGCTCACTGCAACAACCTGAGTGACTCCAGCATACCAGGATAAAAGTCTAAGGTAATAAAAGTAGGGAGGAAGAAAACAGGTGGTAACAAACTAGATTAAAATTCATTAAAGGTGACCAGTAATGCAGCGACTGAGGTGGTGTCCAGCCGTGTTCAGACAAATACATCAAATATGTCAAGCTCTGATGTGTGTATCACTGGCTGTGTCTAAGGTTTGCTGGAGCTTGAGGCAGGTCTCCCAGCATCCGTCTTGGAGCCGAGAATCAGAGCACCTAAACGCGCAGAGAGCAAGGGCTTCATCAAGCGCTCAGCCCGCAGGGAGATGGAGCTGATGAGGACTTATCAGGTAAGAATCACACAGTGCTGCTGATTCCTTTTAATCAAGCGTTCGGAAGAGGGGGAGAGTGGAGGAGCAGCGGGAGTTTTCCACAAAGCAAATGATGTACAGTTAAATTCACACAAATTCACACAGTTTGTGATTGACATTTTCATTCACATTCAGTACACACTGAAGTTCATGTACAGTACTGTGCAAAATCAGAGAGTATTTATGGATTATTATTATTCATCTATGGCCATTAAGTAAAAGTTTTTCAGTGTCCGGAAAAAAGCAGGAAACATATTTAACAGAAAAACTAAATATCATTTTTTTTGGAAGATGGAAGGATTTTGTTGGAAGGGTTACTTATAAAATGTATTCCAGTCTTTTATGGTCTTTTTATGGATAACTGTTTGAACTCAGTTTGAAGTTTGGCAAACAGTTTTTTTTTTCTCTTATTTTTCTTTGACTTTCTTTATACAAGCGGATTATCTTATATCTAATCTCCTGAAAAAAGTAAATCATTTGTAATGTCTTATTTAAACGAGAATAAAGTAAAGGAAAAAAATGAAATTGAACTGACACCGATATCATATCACACATCTGTTGCAGGCTTTGAAAGACGAGAAGATCCGGGTGGAAGAGAAGAAGCCTTTACGCTTCCCTTATAAAAAGGAAAAACCGGTTCCTCGCCCCCCAACGCCCGTCGTTGACGTGCCTCCCGAGGTACTCTTCTCTCTCCCTGTATACAGTTACACACCCTGCTTAGTGCTTTTCAGCGCATCCTGCTTTTCCTGAGCCTGTTCTAGGAGACCGTAATAATAATGTGCATGTCCAAACAAGCTTCTGTCATTTTAAGGCCGTTGTAATCATTGTAATCATTCCTACAGCAATTACCCACAGCATGTTACGCAATTTGTCCGTAGCAAATGTTCATGTGCCGTATAGCAGCATTATACCGTTTAGTCATAGCGGATGTTTGCTTTATATAATGTAAATGATGGTGCATTGAGAGCATGAGAGTTATGTTACTGTGTGAGTCAGTGAGTTACATGAGAATTACTATACACATTGCAGGGGGAGGAGGAGAGAGACCTTGCTGTGATTTACCTGCAGAAGCTGCTCCGGGGCAGATCCATTCAGAACCAGGTACACAGAGATGAGGATGGAGAAAGAGATTTTTATAGCTATGGTTATGTTCATGTTTGGGATGTACCAATTAAATCCTTTTGTCTTAGATCCTGATTATCTATGACCAAGTCCTGATTTTATGAAGGTAATATAGCCACACTGTGCATTAAAGTTAGTACAATCAATAAAGTTTAGTTAGGATAGGCTGCCAGTTATGTTAAAATGCTACAGTAAAATCACTTCATTTGGCATGGAATGTACTACATTTGTATTTTAAATTGCTCACAGTTGCTAACATAAGCAAAATACTCTTTTTTTATTTAGCATTCAACATGCTATTACTGCGAACGTTTTATATGCAGCTGGTTTAACCATGTTCAGACAAAAAGTGGCTAATTAAGCCCCAATCAAAACACTTAACATTGCAGATATTACAAGCGTGCTCATTTTCCACTTTATAAAATTTCCACACTAAAGACCACTAGAGCGATTTAAACCACTTGGTGACGACTGAAATTGTGCACCACTGCAGAAAGTGGAAATCCACAATTTTTTCATAATTTCTTCATGATTTAATCATTGAGGTGTAAACAAAGTCATTCAGAGTGGTTTGATGTAAAATGGTTCATTATAGAGAAACTTACCGGCTCTGAATTTCTTTGCAGTGGTGATGATAAGACCTAGAGGTCATGATGTCTACAATGCAACAGCCATTTTGTTTAGTATCCATAATGATCATTGAACCTATACAGGTTATCTAAATTTTTTATATCTGAAAAAAAAGTTTTCTTTGGGTGCTGTTTTGCCTTACAACACTCTGCATGCATCTGTCTGCCCTGCGTGTCTTAAAACCTTATTTTTGGTTGATACAAAGTAAATACAATGCAAAACACAGAAGTCACAGTTTATATTTAGTTATATCTGTAACCTTTGTTAAACCTACATACAATTGAAAAAATATAATAACGAATAAAAATAAGGGCATTTTAAAAATGTATTTAACAGAAACATTTTTGGCCATTGTCATATATTGAAAATATATTTAATAAAAAACACTAGGAAAATAAATTAAAAATACGCTTTAAAAGTATAATTAATAAATACATTTTTTGGCCATTTTCATACATTGCAAAAATATATTTGATAAAAACATTTGGAAATTAAATTTAAAATGCATTTTAAAGTATATTTTTAATAAATACATTTGGAATATATTTTTCCATAGGGATAATACTTGTTGTAACCGGATATTAAATAAATAAGGGGTGGTCTGTGACTTGAACAGTATTGCTCCTACATCAGGGCATATTTTGTGTTACTGTATGTGTTCATGTACCGTCCACCTTGTTAGAAACATCTAACCTTCACAGATCTTCACTGACCTTTATAAAGTAGGACGTAATAAGTCGAGGAATCCAAAGATCTTTCTTACACTATGTGTGTATGTGACTCTCATACGCCTCTATTCCTGAGAGACTGCTCTGTCTCTCATGGCCGGTGTGAGTTTTTGATTGGCGTGGCTGTTGAGTGAGGTTGTAATTGGTTGTGTTCTGCTGCTGGACAGATCCTGGAGGGGAAGGAGAAGCGGTTGGAGCTGATAGAGGAGGTGCGCACCACCCACGCTCTGCAGCGGCAAGAGCAGGAGCTGCACAGAGCGGACAAACAGGTCACACAGGCCCTGCAGCGCCAGCAAGAACTCCACAGCAGCAGGGTGAGCGTGCTGTTCCCATTTCAACAGCAGCTCCATTCATAAACAAATACCTCCTCAGTGAGCCGTTGCCTTCAGCTGCCGCATGAAGCACAAGACTGGCTCAAAGTGAAGAACATACGTTATCTGATTTCCATAACTGTCTTCTGCTCCTGTTTTTTTTTCTACGAAAACTCTCCATTTCTATAAGCTCTTTATGATGCGTTTAAGTGCATCCTTGTTACCGGATGTGTTCACTCACTGCCTGATTTATTAGGAATCCCTGTCTTGTACTTTACTCACTGGACACTTTACAAGTGTCACCCTATAGGTTCACTAGGTTCACTATATAGGTGTACAATTACAGTCATTTATCAGAGGTAGAAATTATTGCACAGAGACCCTGACTACTACACTTCTTATGTTGGCTATGAAAACTTGTTTGCATTCTATTCCATTTTGAACAAACCTGTTTGGTCAGGCAAAAAAGTATGCATCAAATCAGATTTTGTTGGAATTTGAAAACTGTATTGTGATAGCTGATGTGGTGGCGTGGTGACCCTTGTAGCGCCCCTTGCTACGCTGGTCTCCCTGATATCACAGATGCTGTTCCACTTGCTGAAGTTTGCTAATATAACTCTCAAAATAAAATATATATGTTAATAAAATAAGACATTACCCTGAGAGGCTATCACTAAAGTGGGGTATCGTTATGACACTTAATGAAGTTTTCACAATACATAATATGTCACAAGATTTATTTTTTCTGACATCTGCTAAGTTGAAAAAGACAAAGTAGTATTCATAGTTTTTGATTGCACATTTAAAAAGTGCAATCAAAACTATGAATACAATGACTTATAATCAACATTGCACATACAGTGCTGGTCCAGTTAAACAAGACTGATTGGACACTGTTTATAATCAGACCTACAGTTAGAAAGTGTTTTTGAAGTACTGGCTATATCCATGTTAGAAAAGAAAAGCATATTATCACATAATTGTGATGGAATTTGTGATGATAACAATAAATATTGTCATAATGCCCAGCCATAGCTATCCGTGCAGCAACTTAAACAGCACCTAATGACATAACCTAGACGGATGACAGGCGGACCAGATCATCACCATATAACATGGTCCAACAAACTCCCACTGAATCTGACATGACACCTATGACTTCTAAATAATCGTTTCAGGCTTTACCGAGTGACATGCGGCGCACACACACTATATTTTAGCATGTTTTCCTCCTTACTCTGTAATGCCGCTTCTTTAATTTTTTACAAAAATATCCGGCATGGTGCAGCTTTAAACCTTTTAATAATATTTCGGGTTTTGTAATTGTAGTATGTAGTATGCTTGATAATTGTAAACGCAGTGTATATATGACAAACATGTTTCTGCTATTGTAGCCATACATTTTTAATTTTGGACAAAATAATTATTGGCTTAGTGGCCCAAGAGGCCAGTGCAAATCTGTCAACTCCTGGCTGTATCCCATCTGCTGTCATGCACATTTTGTTTGCCAGCCTATACCCATTTTGATTGGTTAGTTTCTGACTACAGGACCGCTATTATCCAGATATTATTTGGGTGGTGGATCATTCTCACAGCAGTGACACTGATTTTACACGTATCAGTGTCACTGCTTAGTTGAGAGTGATCTACCACCCAAACATATCCAGCTAAGAGCAGGTCTGTGGTCAGAAATTGACCGTTGAAGAAGGGCTGGAGGATGGCTAACACAAATTGTGCATCAACAGATGTACAACTGTATACCAGCAAGGTGGACACTGTAGAGCAGGGGTGCACAACTCCGGTCCTGGAGGGCCAGTGTCCAGCGCAGTTTGGTGATTTACCTGCTCAGCCACACCTAATTACACTCCTCTGTTAATTGGCAGGTTTAATGGGTGTGTTTGAGTAGGGAAACCTCAAAACTGTGCTGGACATAGGGCCCTCCAAGACTGGAGTTGTGCACCTCTGCTTTAGAGGTTTCTACTAAAACTGGATAATACATGTATGTGTAAATGGATACACTGAATGTAATATAATATTGGAATATTGAATATTGCTGGAGCTTATGGTAGAAATTATTTTTGCGTTATTTTTAATGTTGTGTCTCTTCCTCCTTGTCTCACTTACTGACTAATTACTTTCTTGTTTTCCTGTTTAATCTCTTTTTCGTTTCTCTCTCTCTTTCTCTCTTTGTCTCAGATGTCTCAGATAGAGGGCTCTGTGGCCGGACTTTCGGGTGCAGTGATGGTGGACATGCTGGACTTTCTGGCTAAGGAGCTGGTTCGTCTGCAGGAGGAAAGGCGGATCCACGCCTTCACGCTATTGGCTGAGAGAGACCGCCGTCTTCGTGAGGCGGAGGAGAGTGGGCGGAGACAGGTGGAGGAAAGGAGACGGAGAGAGGAGGATGAAATCTTTAAACAGGTCAATATTCTTCTGTTCACCCACACACCATTCTGCAAAAAGTTAGTACTTCAGAATCCTATTGATCAATATGCTATAGGTTAATCACAGCTGATTTTAGCTTTTCGATAGCTTAACCTCAGACTGCCCCTAAGGGACAGTCCCTGATTTGTACAAATGTGCCAGTTAAATGTCATGAAATGTCATAAATCTAATGGGTATTTTTTACTTTGCACTGCTGTGAAAGTTATTTATTAATTTCTTTGTTCTTCTGTTTGTGTTTTGAGAGATTTTTTCCCATTACTTTGCATGCTTTGATTTCTGATTAAGTGTCATATTTTTCTTATATATTTTTCTTATATGTTTTTGATTAGTCTTTCTGCGTAATGGAGTTGTGATTATTTTTGGGGCCTTGATATTTTTTGCTCTAATTCCAGGTGGAGCTCACACTTACGCACACTCAGGACTAATTATCATCATTACAAAAGTGCACTACACTAATTTGTGCTCTGTGGATTCAGGTGGAAGTGTGTGTGTGTGTGTGTTTGTGTGTGTGTGTGTGTGTGGGGGGGGTGAGCTTTCTAGTCTCTTAGTGTGTGTATAGTCGTGACTGTGCTGTGTTCTCTCAGGTAGTGAAGGTGCACCAGGCCACGGTGGATCTCTATCTGGAGGATGTGATCTTGGGCACCATTGAGCGGACAGCCGAGTCTCAGGCCAGAGAAGAGGTCCACCGCATGGCCGAGGAGCTCAACAACATTACCTATGCCATGGAGGAGACGTAAGTGACTCCACAATCTCACAATCTCTCTACAGCTACACTTAACCCCTTAAACCCTCAGGGCCTGTATGTGGGCCCCTTACTTCAGTTGCTCACTCTCAATTACACAACACACAAATTAGTTTCATAGTAGTTACTGAATAATTTATACTTGACCCACATGTTCTGGTACTGTTATAAGCTGAGGGGCTTATATTCAAAATACTGAATGAAGCATTTAATTCAGATGTACATCCTAGAGCTGAAATATCTATATAGAAGATCTCAGGAGATTATGCACCATTGACAAGACACAAGAAAAGCAACTTTGCTTTTCTGTTAGCTTGCAGATGAAGACTGCTTGAAATGAAACTAAAGTCAGCATGGCTCAATGATGTGATACTATTTGTAAAACTAGAAAAGAATACACATACAAATTAAAGCAGGAACTAACAATTCTTTACAATCTGGTATCCCCCGTAAGGTATTTTTGAAAATAGATATATGTCCATAGCACAGACCAGTGTAATGTAGTCTTGAAAGAAAAAAAGTGGCGAACCATGACTATTAGAGCGAGGTCTTCACTTCTGGCCATAAATGTTAAAACTTGGTCGAAGAAGGGAACTGTTACTAATGTCTTTTAGCACCAGTATTTGGATTCTTATTGTATGTTGGCACTAAGCTAATGTCAATTTGCATGAACATTTTTTAGTCATACTAGATTAAACATGGATATTTGCAGCTTGTAAAAGACATTTTATGTCTTATTTGAAGCTTGTAACAGACATATTAACTTTACATCTTACCTTTTTAGTGGCTTGTTCAGTAAAGAGTCCTGGCATAGCGCTGCCGCAGCTGTGTTCCATTTATAACAACTGACTGAAACGCATTGTTTGAGATCTTCCAGAAGATCTAGAGTTTTTCTCCCAAAATTGGCCCCACACATTGTAAATCAAAATGTGATGGATTAAATCCACTTTCATTTTCTAAAAATATTAATGGTTAATCTGATATGCCTACAGATCAGCTCCTGAAGCCCTGCCCAAGGCGAGAGCTTACTTGGCTGTATCTACTTAGAAACCACAGAGGAATATATCCTGATTGGGCAATTTTCCATTTCATTTCCATTCCAATTTAAAGTTTTTAACCTCTTTGTTTACAGCCAAACATAACAATGAAATAACAATATTACCACAATACACACATTTTTTTTTCTTTTCCTTTCTTAACGTTACGTATTTGCGAGTGAAATAAATGTAGGGGGGCACGATTTTATTCTTCAAGATTTGACTGGATCATGAAAAGTGGGCGTTCAGAAACAAAGTCAGAAACAGTCAGACTTTGGTGGTCAGCCGAATCCGTTTTACAGTAAAGGATAAATGGATAAAATAAATACGAATAACCAGATTTTGTCAAAAAAGTGAAGTACTACAATATTTTAATATGTATTTTCTGAAACAAGATTCATTATTTGTTGAAATCTTGATTTTATTTATTTTTTTTAAGACGTAGACGAGGAGAAGTGCCAAGCAAGCCTTTTAGCAGCCTCATTGCTCTTGCTTATCTTACACTTTCACAGCAAAAGCAAGAGAAAAAGACTTCAGGAAAAAAAGGCAGGTTATCATTAAAATAAACACATGTTTTATTTTATTTATAGAGAAATATGGTACGATATTATTGGAAAGTATCATTTTTCCCACCCACGTGAGCACAGTGATGCAGCCAAAAGTCAGACAGTATTTAGAGGCAGGCAAAAGTCACTGCACTTCAGTGAGAGATTACAAAGAAACAAGAATTTTGTCTTTTGAATGAAATGACACAGTGGATTGTGCTTAATGTGACCAGGAACATGAACTAACAAGGTAGATCAAGGTAATAGATTTCAGGTTCACTTTAAATACAATAAGATTTACCACGAGCTCTGAGTTTGCTAAAAGCCTGATAGTGGAGATGACGTTATTTAGCCTCAGAGAGGTTCACTGAGGAAACGTCACGTAGCTTTAAAGAGGCTGGTACTCAGGTTGGCATAATGAATCAAAAGCATCTGGTACAGCAGTATTAGACTGCAGTGGTTCCTAATTGGCTCTCTTAGACTGCAGCGTCAGTCACTCACTGAACATTGTATACCCATTCAGTTACTTGCTTTCCAGTTTTACAGCTATGGACCAGACAAAAAACAAGTACATGTCACACCACCTGTTAGTCCATGCTGAATTTAGGTTGGGAAAAAGTCTTTTAATTCCTTGCATGGCCAGTTTTATTACACACTTCTAAACTTAAAAAGTAGTTACTGACTAATAAGCCTTAGTATGTTATTAGCCTGGGACTTTAAGAACAGGCTTTACGAGTAAGACACAAACCACCGCCACCACCTTCTAAGATTACACCGTCGTAAATTAACCTTGGATTTATTAGTGGTCCTTTTACAAATGAACACCACAGTGGCTGATAAGTGGCCAAAGACCAATTAAAGAAGAAACCATGGAGACAAATTGAATGCATACTAATTTGAGTAATACTGCCAAAAACCAGGAGCTTGCTTTTGTCTGTTTGAATTGACACTGCTGCAGTTCTGCGATTAGTATGTTCAGACCTGTAGTATCTATGATTGCCAAGGATTTATAAAATGTTACTCAAATAAATAAAGGCAGCTTCGCCTTTTGTGAGGACTAAGCTTGGATATGCTGCTCATCCATTCCTCTTCGAATAAAAAAGAAAGCTATATCGCCTTTGAAAATACCACTCGTCAGCCTCTCAGAGAGGTTGATGAATCACAGTGTTGGTTAATTGTGTCCACTGTGTCTCCTCTCAATACTTTGCATTCAACATCAGCATTCTCACTTACTAGATTATACAAGTCAACAGCCAAACGCCACCACCATCCAGAGCCTATTAAGATCACCGGCATATATTATTATGCACTAATGTATCTGCACCAATGTCTTAATCACTCAGCTCCCCTATCACTAAATGCTCACTGGGGATCAATTTGCGGCTGTTTGCTCTGACCTTCAGGCCCACACGGACCCATTATGTCTATTGTTGGTTGCACATATTTCAGGGGTGTGATCAGATACAGAATATCAGCGGGCTGATGGTAATTGTGTGGTAAGGTGGAATCTGAGAGCAACTGAGTCATAAAGCTCTCAGTAAAGCTTGTTTTTAAATGAAAAGAGGAATATTCTTGCTCCCAGAGAATGATCTGTAAAGAATTATAAGCTCTGTCTATATGGCTGGAACCCATAAACATCACCACACAACGATGATGCTCTGCCAGGCTTTCACTGCAGCTTCAGTTCCTGCTTGTTCTTGGAGTGTTTTACCTTTACTTTTGCCTTTGTTGAGTGAAATGCATGATAGATTGGATTGAGGTCAAATGATTGACTTGATTATTGCAGAACATTCCATTTCTTTGCCTTAAAAAAGTCTTGGGTTGCTTTCACAGTGGGCTTCAGATCACTGCCCATCTGCAATGCGAAGCGCCATCCAATTAGTTTTGAAGCATTTGGCTGAATCTGAGTAGATATTATAGCTGTATACACTTCAGAATTCATCCTACTGCTTTTGTCGGCAGTCACACCATCAGTAAATACAAAAGTAACAGTTTCGCTAGCAGCCATACACCCATGCAGTAACACTACCTCCACCATGCTTAAAATGCCCTTAAATTAAAACAGAAAGTCTGCACAAAGTGAGCTTATGTTCATTACATAATTTTAGCTCCAGTATGCTGTTGTAGACAGCTAAAATAGCAATAACTTTTTCAAGGTATACATTTTTATGGACCTGACCCTATATGGAATTAATAAAATAAATATAAATGGAAAATACTGTTGGAAACCTGTATGTAATTCTGAAATGAAATATACAGCATTATGTTACATATATCTCCTGGGTATATCTACAAACAAATTTACATGTTTAACTTTTCTAGATAAAATAGAAATTAGGCAAACCAGGTTGACAAAATGGACAAAAATATAAAAACAACTTCAGGCTTCCGGATGGTTTCTGCTACTGTTTTAACTATGCTTGTATATTAGTCCATTTTCATGGATAACAGTATGTTAGACCGTGTCAGAAGCCACATATGCAAGTCTATTTGACATTATTTATTAAGTGAGGTTTGAGGTCAGTGTGATGATTTAAAGGGTCCATATAATGGAAAACTAACATTTCCTTGCCTTTTAAAGTACCATAGTTTAATGTAGCATGTATTGTTAAAGTTTTAAACAGTACCATTCATATGTGGAAACTAAGCCAGAAAAACAGCCCTAAAGAGAGGTCAAAAAATGGTCATTGTAAAAGTTAATTATGGCTGTTTTTACACACACACACACACATATAATATTAGTGGACCTCAGGGTATGGGTATGGGGTATGACAACACATTTTAAATCAATTTAAGGCTAACAGCTTTATTTTTGAGTTCTTAACTGAGCTCTAAATGTATTTTAACATTTATATATTGCCTGTTCCAGTAATTGAAATCGCAGTTTTATATAGCTTTGTAGCTTTGAGCCACAGAGACTGAGTTTTTTGAATAGCTTCTTAAACACAGAGTACAATATATCATTTGTCCAAGCTGTGACAGTATATTTACTGTATGCTGTGAGGGTCGTGACCAAATTCCTAATGAGTGATTCCGTGGGAATTTTGATGAATAAAATGTTTTATTTAATTTTACAAAAGGATTCTTTGTGGTCAAAATAAGGTTAATCTGTAACCATGTCAAATGATTGATTCTTCTGTGCATTTTAATTTATTGTAAGGCATACTGGAATTGCAATGTACGACACTGTAATCGTATCGGTTTTAGCATTTTGTCCATCTTGTGCTGGCCTTTAGTACTACAAAGTAGAACACAAGACATGGCTTAGTATTTGCATGTAAAGTTTCAATAGTGTTTTACTGTATGTTCTATATATTTTTGCCCTGAAACAACCATGAAACAAAAAACGTTTATGTTTTTTGGTACTAAATTGTTTTAATTGACAACCTTCCTAAAATTAGTTTATAAAAATTATAAATAGGTTCTAAGAAACGAGAAGCTGGAGGTCAGTTTAACCTGGATAGTAGAATGCTTTGCTGCTCAATCAGCTCAAACCACCTAAGTTCTGAACTTTATTTACTGTTTTTGCTTTATAGCAGTTGGTTGCAGAATCTAAATTAAGGCTTATTTACACTTGCATCTTGCTGTCTGTGCGTATCATTCTGTAGGCACGTGTTTCTGAATGTTTTAATGCTGAGGCAAAAAGGCATCTATTTCCACATTTTAATCTACTTTTCTACACTTTTCGACATTTTTTTTTTTGCTTTGTGTCACAAACTACCACTTGAGCAAGAAAGCAGTGGGATAGGAATATACAGTACCAGTCAAAAGTTTGTACGATATTGACATAGAATGTGATGTATAAAAGAACTGTTGGATATCGTGAAAACATTATGAGAGGAGATACATTAGTACTGAAATAGTGTACCTCTGACTGGATGTGCAATTACAGACTTTGTGCTGTGTAAACACAAATCTAACTAATCTCTCCTTTAAGCAAGTAGTCTATGTTTTTGTTTTCAATATAGGTCTACAAAAAATACAAACATATTCAATTCCTTAAAAAGCTCATTATGGTGATGCAGGTTTGGTGTTTCATACATTACTGCTTCATACATTGTACCGTACAGTCTATGCAAATTACACAACACAGAGAGTAAGAATAGTTCAGAATAGAGCAGTTTTTGAGCTGTGCATGTGTGTGTTTTGTAACTGGCTATTTAGCCGAAACATTTGTTGAGCCTCTAATGCTGTATTCCCCCTATCTAATTACATCACTTTGGCCCTGCACGTGTGGTAATTTGATCCATTCTGTCAGCACAGCCCTTAACAATGTGTTTATTGTAAAAATTCATATTGTGATAACAATTAATATAATATAATATAATATAATATAATATAATATAATATGCAAATTGGTGGCTATCTATGAATTTGTATTCAGTACAAAAAGAATAATTTTAAAATGGATCTATTATGCTAATTTTCAAAAACTCATATTGTGCATCTCTATTAACCCACTGTGTGAAACACTCTGTTAGAGCTCCTGTGTCTTTAAGCCCCACCTCCAGATGAGCCCAGTGTGCTCTGATTGGTCAGCTCACCCACTCTGTTCTGATCACCCACCAGTTCTGCACCTACACTGCTGTGGCAATTTTTACAATGGCGTCGGTTTGAGCCTGACAGTCTGGTAGAACAAGCTGGGAGACCCGCTCCATCTTCACAATCTAGACTAGAGCAGTACATTTCAGAGTGGTCAAATGTTTGTTGCTCTCTTGTGTGAAGGTGTACCAAGCTTGCCGCTGGAATTCCAATGAGGCGCCTCAGATAGCTGGGAAAAGTGGTTTCTGTGGGAGAGAGTTACTCCTTTACATGCACAAAAATCTATATAACACATTAAAGGCAATGGAAAAGCAGGAAAAACATAATAGATCCCCTTTAAACAATGTATTTTTAGACAAGTAGCTTTCATATAGAGTTGGAAAATGTAGAATTAGAGCCACAATCATTACATTATACCGATACAATATGTTTCTTGTTAAAAGTTATTTAGTGGACTGTCTACCCACTTTAATGCATTTCAGTCGGTCAGCTGTGTTGTGATGAGGAGGACAGAGTCTAAATAGCCCTCTTTTGTAGAAGGCCAGTATTTCTGACTGGAGTATTTCCTCATAACCCATTTCATAGTTTTGATGTCATTGTTGTTATTATTATATGATGATTTTATACTTCACATTTCAATCTCTTTTTTGTTTCTTTCGTGAAAAATATCAATATTAAGCATTTCCGTAGCAATGTAGCAATGTGCGTTCTCAATGTGTGCACACTCTCAGAAACTGTGGCAGTGCATTCACTAATAACGCAGCCTGATGTTTCTTTTATACAGTGAAAGAAAACACCTTAGCGTGCGAAAAGCTCTAGTTCCACATGCTGATCTACTTTACTATGGCCAGTATGGACATGCACACAGCCTGACTACTCTGGGGGCAGAGTTTAATGAGTTTAAAGTTTTTGAATGAATGTGCTATAAATTATATATATTAGATTTGATTTGCCTTCATGTTTTTCTCTCTTTCCCTGCCTCTGTTTGTGTTTGGCCGAACAGGAGGAGCAATGCGCAGTCAGAGGAGATTGTGGCGGAGCTTGTCTACAGCTTCCTCATTCCTGAGGTGCACAAGATCACTGTCAGAGAGAGAGGTGGGTCATCTAGCCCAGAGCAGTTTTCTAACACTAACACAGTTTTTCTCCAAGGCCTTACCACAGAGTTTAACTTTTGGAGCAAAGCTTACACTGTAAATACAATCATTAGAGGCAATCGCAAGAACTAGCGAAAGGAATAGAGATTTTTTTAAAAAGAACGTAAGCCAAAAATTGTGGTTTTGATTCAGTTTATGTCATTATACAAATGTACAATATCAACCTAATAACAATGTACTATACACTGGTAAGTGTGTACTAGTATCTCAGGTACCTTCCATAGCAAAACAGCACAGTGAGTTTCAGAAGGCAGATAAAATGTGCAGCTGGTGTCTAAATATGCTGAAGGAAGGTCAGCCAAGATTAATCGAGCAACATCCAGGGAAGAAAATCAGACAAAACCTTAAAACATTAAGACAACCACCAGGTTCCCACACATGCTTGAAAAATTCCAAAATTCCAGTCATGGAAAACACCTGGAAAATAATTAAATTGGAAATGTGTTGCACCATTAAGCCACCAAGATTACATAAGTTAACATATTAATGCACATTTTAGCATGGCTAATGCATGGCTAATGCCTTGTTTGAGTGTCCATTCATACGTGTTGTAGTTTGTTATGCTGCAGTGTCGCTTGTGAATAGATACATAGAGGCTGTGTCAAAACACCTGGTGGAATGAGCCTACATTAGGCTGGCTTTACACAGTGAACATTACATGCAACTAGTTGCAAAGTAATTTCCATGCAACTTGACAGTTACAGTAAGCAATTCTAAAACAAAGTTCTCTAGTTAGCCAGGCTCATATTTTTTGATACATTGTATTGAACACACTATAGAAAGCCATCCATGAGATGTTATTAACATATTTGCAACTTTTTTATCGTCTTTGTGTTATTTTTCTAGCTGTCATTTGCATTTTTTTCTGTATCTATGTCTCTGTCTTTTACCTATCTATCTGTGGTTCTTTATTATATATTAGAGTTTTTATCTGTTGTGTGTATGTTAAGCTTTTGAAAATGAATCTTTAAGTAGTTATTATGATTGTACTGGGTGACTCCTTCATCCTGTCCTAGAAACACTAGAACTTTATTAAGGAGCTCATCTGACGTTCCTCTTCTGTAATAAGTTTTATCCTTTGGATCCCAAAAAATCTGAGCTCTATGTAAACTTAGGGGACATAAAGAGAGGAGAAAATAAATCTAGCTTCATAAATCTGAATAACAGCAGACGAAAGAAGAAAAAAAGGTGGCGCAGGCAGCTGTTTAAACAGCTGTGAGTATTAGCTGGCTAGTTAACGTAGTTGGTTACAGAAACTCACGTGTTGTTATTGCTCAGGAAACTGACAAAATGAAAAACTACCAACCTTGACTTGCACATGATGCAAAATCTGTGTTTGATTAGTTGTTGCGTGACACTTGTTTCAAGAAGTTGAGATGTGTGCAACTGTTGCAGCAGAGTTTCAAACGAATAGCAGGATGATTTACATTATGCAACTTCAGTGCAGTTTAGTTTCATGTAGGTTTCAAGCAACTAAAGTTGCGTGAACGTTTCACAGTGCAAAGCCCTCCTCAGGATATACACGGGAGGTTCTTGCAGTTTGCATTAATTTCTAATATTTTAGTAGAACTTGTGATCAGCTGCTGAGTGGTTGATGAATTGTCTGTGTGAGTGTTAGTATTTCAATAAGTCATTAAGTGGTTATTAGAGGTTTTATTATTGACTTTAATGTTAAGGATGTCAGCAGTTGTGCATTAATTTAAGATGACCTTTTGTGAACAACAGCTGAATCCTGAAAAGAGAACAGCACATCTCTTCAAAACAAAATATCTGGAACTGACTGTGTGTGTTTCTTTTTTTTCAAAACTGTGACTGAAAAATGACCTTTACGATGACATTTCGTGAGTAACAGTTGAGCCCTGAACAATAAACAGTTTGTTTCTTTCCAATGGAACATCTTCATCTTTTTTTTTCTTCAAAATTGTCTGGAGCATAAAAGCCAGCAGTCTTTAGTAGAGTTTCATTAGCTCCAAACATCTAAACCAAATATTTTATGTTAAAGTGAGCAACTGAACATGAGAGGTTTTTTTGCATTTCCTCCAGTCACTTTACAGCTGTGAGTTGGTTGCAGTAGATCACAGGCATGCAGTTTATGGTAGCACATGACCTGAAGTGTTTTATTACTTTTATAAAGACATTTTGCACAGTGAAGTAAAAAAAATAAAGCAAAGAAATCCTAAATGTTGTTTCAAATTTAGTTGTTAATGTTGGCAGTGTACTTTGCAGTTCCACTGCTACCACCACAACTGTCGGAAAAAATTCTCTTAGCATCAGGTTTTTTTTTTGCTTAGCAACAGCAACCTTTGTTGTTACTTAGCAAATAGTGGTCAGCCATATTAGTATGGTGAAAAAATGTGCTGTTGTCAGACATAACGACACAGGTTTTCAACTAATCATACTGTGCAGTTGGGACTAACTGTTGTATAATGTTTTATAAACTGTGCAATTGTAAGTATGTCTTTGTTGTATTACTCTTTCATTCCTTACACATAATCCCCTGGGTCAACTATTACCGCTACCTTAGCTTACCTTCACCATTGGCTTCTTATTGTTGCTGCCTGGGCTAACCCTTAGAAAAAGGTGCATTGTTTTCTCAATGCAGCCCATCATATTCATGGCCCTGAATAGGCCTGACACAATTGTTACATAATTGCCAGATCTCAATAGTATGAGCTGATCTCAACTGTTCAAGCTGACCAAAATTATTTTCCCCAGTTGTCAGTTTTGCATTACAGAAAACACAATAGTCAGTTGGGTTGAGGTAAATCCATGTATTGAGACACGTCATTATAAAAATAACTCCTGAATGGTGCTGTGAGACCTTGTCAGTGGTGGGAAATGTTTGTTTATTTGAGCTCGAGTTGTGTCTGATGTCTGTTGGAAGCTGCTAAATAAGCTCGGAAGTAAAATAGCTAATCAGCCAGTTTGGTCATTTTAGGTTTGAACTTATTGCAGTTCCCATAGCGGTCATTTCGACAATGGGATGAAAATCATCTTGAACATTTATGTAGTTAATGTAATCAAAAAAATATTTTTTTTCTGTTACTGTTATCAGATTAACTAGAACACTGTTGGTGTGTGTGTGTGTGTGTGTGTGTGTGTGTGTGTGTGTGTGTGAGTGTGTGTGTGTGTGTGTGAGTGTGTGTTTGAGTGTGTGTTGAGCTGCTAGTGAAAAGGAAGAGGAACCCACTGCTGAGAGAATGATTTACACCCCTTAACAAAGATGGCTGTGCTGAGATTAGTTAGTCAATACGAAACAATCATGAACAACTACCACAATAAAAATGAGCATTTAAGACAATAAAAACACGGTTGACATGCTTGTTCACGTATGAAGATTAAAACCCAGTTTTTGTCTTTTTGTAAAGGGGAAAAATGCGTAGTTTCAGCTGAGGGACCTCCAGAAAAGGCAGATATTGCATTTTTTGGCTAATCTCAGTTAATCACCAACTAATGGTGTTTTACCCCCTAAAATCCCAGGCTTATTACATATGAATGCTTATTATTCAGTAACTACATGGAATACAGTGCAAACTGGCTGCGTTATGCTTAGGTTATAAAAGTGTGTAGTCAAACTTTGGACCCGCTGGTGGGTCCTGGCCATTTATTGCGATCATGATGGTTCGTGATTTTGACAGGCCTAGTCTTGAATGGACCATTGTGAACTCTTTTTGAATGTAAATGGAACAGAACTACTACTGCAGTTTTAGGACTTTACTTACAAGAATACTACTGCTACTGCTGCTACTCCCTATTTGACCATATCTGTAGTGCTTGTATGTTTGTGAAGTAATAATTCCAGAGCAAATTGTCTGTCATTTGCTGAACTGAGAGCTGCTATGATAATAGTAGTCATTTTCGAATCAACCTCATGGTAATATAATAACAAAAGCTGGTAATAGTCAATGGCAGCTCTGTGTTGGTGACTGGGAGACAAGGCGGGATGCTTGATTTGGCACAGTTCCTTTATCCTCAGTTTTAAAACAGGACTTCTGTACTCCACAGCATTTTTGGTGATGGCTTAATTAGAACGAGAATAAAATGACTTCTTGCAAGGCAGTGCAATTCCTGCCCTGCTAAGTCATATTTGTCAAAGTTGAACGAAGCCACTTTTCTAGCCTAATTCTATTCTGACATAAACTAGAAGTTTTTGTTCTTTATTTATTTGGACTCATTTAATTTAAATTTTAATGCTGACATGAAAATCTAGGCTGTGATGTTTTGTTCTGGTTTATCTGTGGTACTTTGGGGTAATTTCACAGATACATTATCTCACACGAATCGAGAAGTCAAATCCCATGCATAATACATTACCGGACCTTCTCTGGCAAAACTAATCCTGCATGAATAGGGCTTTAGGGCTTTTAAACAGAACCAGAGGAGTATAAATAACAGGAAATAATATTCTTCTTAAAGGCCCTAATGGCTTACTTGTGTTTTTTTTATTGCTGACATCCTATACTTGTAGAATTTGCTGCTGAACAAATGAGTTTAATCATACTTTATATACGGTTATTGTGATTTTTTTTTCTCTCTCTCTGCAGCCAGTTACACTGCGAAAGACAGCAATTTATTCATTCCATGGAGCAATACGCCTGCTGCCTAATTATCGTTCCCAGCTTTAAATGGCACTCTTTGGAAAATGAGGGCTGTCAACCAATCACAGAGATGTACATTAAGCAATCTGTGAGCAGCCTGATCAATTACTGCCATTTATGCAGGTTGACGAATGTGCTCTGACTGTGTATGATAATGTGCAGCTTTAGGCATTAATAATTGCAGAGACAGCACTAGTCAAATGAATCAGGTATCAGTTCAGTTATGATAGTGCAGGCCTGCCAGGTGTTATTAGGCTGCTGTTTCCATGGGAAAAGGTTAAGGAGGTCAGTTTCGTGGGCAGCCACCAGCAAACATCTAACTATTAATGGGAGACTAATGTTCTAAAGCAGGGTAGTTCAAACATTCAGACTGAGCAGGCTGGAATCTCAGCAGTGAATAAAGAGGTAAATAAAGCATAAAGAGAAAAAAAGAGAAATTCACTTGTAATTTGTTAAGAACTGCACCAGCTTTTTAAACACCCGAAGATGTTGAGCTAAACTGTGTTTGCACACCGTGTTTCTGCTGTGGGTTACAGTTTGTCTGGCTGCATCAGTGCTGATAATGGAGCTTGTGCTCAGTGAAACTGAAAGCTGCTGACTGAGAATCCCCACAGAGAGCAACACTGAACTGCTCCCTTATCTTTGATATCCTGTTTTCTTTCTTTCTTTCTTTCTTTCTTCCTTTCTTTCTTTCTTTCTTTCCATTATTTCTCTTTTTCTTTCTTTTCCATATTTCTCTCTTTCTGTCTCCTTCTTTTTTCTCCTGTATTCTCTCACTCCCTCATGTTAACTCACTTTCTCTCACTTTCTCTCTCTCTCATGCTAACCCTCTCTCGCTCTTTCTCTCTCTCTCTCATGCTAACCCTCTCTCGCTCTTTCTCTCTCTCTCATGCTAACTCTCTCTCTCGCTTTCTCATGCACTCTTTCTTTCTTACTTTCTTTCTTTCTTTTCCATTATTCCTCTGTCTTTCTGTCTCCCTCCTTTTTCTCCTGTATTCTGTCACTCTCTCATGCAAACTCACTTTCTCTGTCACTCTTTATCTCTCTTTCTCTCGTACTCTCTCTCGCTCTTTCTCTTTCTCTTTCTCTCATGCAAACTCTCTCTCTCTCTTTATCTCTTTCTCTCATGCTAACTCTCTTTCTCTCTCTCTCTCTTGCTCTCTTACTCTCTCTTCCTTTTTCCTATTTTTTCTTCTTTTCTCTGTCTCCCCATTTTTTCTCTTGTTTTCCATCTCAATCTCTCACACACTCACTTTCTCTCTCTCCCTGTCTCCTATCTTCTCTCTCTTGCTCTCTCTCTCTCTCTTTCTCTCCTTCTCCCTTTATGCCTTACTTTCTCTTTGTATCTCTCACTCTAACTCACTTTTTCACTTTGTCTCTTTTTGTTTCCCTTTCTCTTTCTGTCTTTCTCTAATTCATTTCTTTTCCTCTTTCTCTTATTTACTTTATTTATTCCTCCTCTCTTTTGTCTCGATTTCTCTTTCCTTTTCTCTATCTCTCGCTCTAATTCATTTTCATCCCCTCTCGCTCCCTCTCCCTCCCTCCTACTCTCTCTCTCACTCTCTTATTTTCTCCCCCTTTTTTCCTCTCCCCTTCTCTCTTTTTCCCTCTGTCTCCTTCTCACTCTCTCTCTCTGTCCTTCTCTCAATTTCTCTAACCTTTTTCTCTGTTTCCCTCATTCTCTATATATCCCTCTGTATATCTTTCTTCTCTCCCTTTCTTTATTTTCTCTCTCAGTCCCTCTCGCTCAAACTCATTTTTGTCTCTCTCTTTACCCCTTTTCAGTCAGGCAGAGTCAGAGAAAGCACTTGAGTGCAGCCCGTTCCTTCGTCCACAGCGCTGACGGCTCCTCCACAGGCAGTCTGACCCCGGGCCCCCGGCCCCTCTCCCCCTCAGCCAGGGCCTCCACTGCCCTGCTATCTCAGATACTCAACCAGGTCGAAGAGACAGTGACCACTACTCCAGCAGAAGCCCCACAGTCCAGCAGTGACCACCATCAGGAAGCCGAACCCACTGATTAAGGAAGGATGGTGAGAACAGAGATTTCAGTTCAGTACCATTATATACTGTATATGTGCCTGTGTGTAATTTCCTAGTATTTACTGTAGTTGCTGTTGTTCTTCTTTTTCTCATTGACTCAAGTGTTTTCTCTTGATGCAGAGGCGATCCTGAAGAGAGACGTGACATGCAGCCATGCAGCGGAGAGCGAATATAAAAGCAGCATTGTCCAAAGATGCAAACTAAAGGTCACCCAATAAAGCAGTTTATCTCCTAATGTCTGTGGCAAGTTCTGTTTCACATGCAGTAGTACTGCATTATGTCAGCAGGATACTTTTATTTTGTGCTTTAAAGAGGACAAACACTGATGTAAACATGGCCAAAGATATGTGGACACCCCTTTCTAATTGGCTATTTCAGCCGCACTCATTGCTAACAGGTGCAGAAAATGAAGCATACAGCCTTGCATTCAAACACATAGTTTGTGAATAGACAGTTGCATTTTTATTAACCAGCAGCTGTATCATGTAGTTTGGATACGGGTTCATCATTGAGAGAGAACATGAATTTTCACAACAAACAATGCTGTCTTGATTGGCCTATCACTCTCAGCAAAAAGGGTTCTATATAGTACTGAAAGGGGTTTTGAGTTGTTACAATAGTGGAACCTTTTTTGTTGAATAATTTTTAAGAAGGTTCTTTAAAGAACCATATGCAACTGGCTTTCAATCATAGAGAAGAACCATTTCACCATGTAAAGAACTACTAATGCATTCAAATGGTTCTTTAAGTGTTCATGGTTTATATAGAACCATTACCTTCAGTAAAGAACCCATTTGAAAAGCATTTCTTAAGAGTGAAGCCTAGCACTCGCAGGGAGGCTAGATGGAGGTCAGAGTGAGAGATGGAAAGTAAACTAACTTAGCTAAACTAACTAGTAAATGAACTAACTTATAGTTCAAGTGCTGTTACATAATTGTATACAATTATATATATATATATATATATATATATATATATATATATATATGTGTGTATATGTGCAGATATAGATACATACATGCACACACACACACACACACATATATATATATATATATATATATATATATATATATATATGTGTGTGTATATGTATATCTATGTATATATGTACATATGTGTGTGTATATGTATATCTATGTATATATGTACATATGTATATATATATATATATATATATATATATATATATATATATATATACAAGTGCTAAAGGGGAATTCCACCAATTTTTAAAAACATATACATAATTCAGTGGTTAAGATGCAAACAAAGTCATTCAGAGTGGTTTGATGTTAAATGGTTCCTTTGTAGAGAAACTTACAGACTCTATATAGTGGTGGTGATGGGAACCTGGGGGTCACGATATCTACAACACAAATACAGCCATTTTATTTACTATCCAAAACCACCACTGAACCCAAACATGCCTTCTGAGTTTTTATACGTAATGTTGATGATGGCAAAATAGTCATAAATCTGAAAGAAATATGTTTTTTGGGGGACTATTTGCCTTACAGTGCCCTGCATGTACCCCTCTGCTAGGAATGTATTAAAATAAAAAATAAGATGGATTAAAATACGTTTTAGGCCAAAGTTGATCACAGAACTACTGTAAAACAATATGTCAGACATAAAGCCGCTTATTCATAACCATTTCATGGAACAGCTTTCTGTGAGGGAGCTTTTAGAGGCATTAAACTCTTCAGACGTCTGGTTCCTATCACCACCAATGTGAGCAATTCTGACTGAAGTTCATCTAGAATTAATCATTTTACTCCGAATGACTTTGTTTACCTCTTAACCATTTAATTATGCAGAAATTTCGAAAAATCGGTGGAGTTTCCTTTCCTTTCTAGCTAGCTAACTCAGCACAATAATGTTAGACTGTTTATTGTCTCACTGTTCAATAAGTTAGTTAGTGGCAACTGCTGACAGCCACTGGTGTTCATTACCGAGCAAAAATCTAACGATTTCTAGGATAACCGGCTTTAATCTTTAGATTAATCTTTAGATGAATTTGTTACACTTAAACAGCGTAAGCGGGACTAGCCAATCACAACCCTTGGACCGTGATACTACTAGCCAATCACAGCACGTGAGCAGTAGCCAATCAGTGAGAAGGGGTGGAATTTGCCCGAATACGGGTGGGTAAAATTTCGCAGTTGTCAAGCGCCGCCGTGTCCACGTTGGTTTTACCTGCGAGAAGGACGAACTGCAAAACGGTCGAAAATGCGAAAAGTGAGCCGCTCCGTCGTGCCTCGACTTTTAAGACACAAATCGTGATGGAAATGTGAAGTTTGTACGCGGAACATGGCGAAAGCTGTCTGTACGTGACATGGTGAGTCCTGTGAGTGGAACGCACTGTACTCGACCTCGGTTTGTTTTGTTTTGCTCTGGAGAGACAGAGAGTTAGTTACCCAGCCGTTCAGTGTCAGTGGCCGCGATTATGAAATGGTTTGTGTCTGTAACTCGCAGCGTTGGGCGTTTAGCAGTGACCGCTGTTTAACAAGTGAAATTAGTTCAACTACGACAACTGACAGGAACTCAGCGAGTGTAACCTGTGCGTTAGTCTGTCCGCTGGTTCCTGAAGTGAAAGCAGATGAGATTTTGTCTGACAGTAATTTAACAGCGTCATGGTTTATGAAACTGAACATGTGGAGGAACTGATTTTCTCTGCTGGAAATGTCCGACATCGGAGGCTGACATAACCTACTTGAAACAAGACCGTAGGAACTGCGCACTTACTAATGAGATTAGGTTTATTAGTGAGTTAGTGGCGTTAAAGGGAAATTCCATCAGTTTTCCGAAATTTCTGGATAATTCAGTCGTTGAGATGTAAACACAGTCATTCTGAGTGGTTTGGTGTGAAATGGTTCACTGTAGAGAAACTTGCTGACTCTGATTTCTTTACAGTGGTGGTGATGGGAACCAGGGGTCGCCATGTCTACAACACAAATGTAGCCATTTTATTTACTGTCCAAAACCACCAGCGAATCTACACGAACCTCACACGAGGATATAACATATAAAACCTAGTTATAACATATAACACCAAGTTTTTATATGTCATGTTGATAATGGCAAAATAGTCAGAAAAAAAAAAAAAGTTTTTCTGGGCAGTATTTGTCTTACAGTATCCTGCATGTACCCCTCCGCCAGGAATGGATTAAAATACATTGTAAGCCAAAAAATCATCATAAAACAATGTGTCAGACCTCAGACAGCATATATCTAACCAGTTTATGTAACAGCTTTCAGTGAGGGAGCTTTTGGAGGCATTAAGCTCGCCTATCACCACCACTGTGAACAGCTCTAATTCGGCAGGTTTCTCTAAAACTGAGCATTTCACACCAAACCACTCTGAACAGCTTTGTTTACATCTTCACCTTTTAATTATGTAGAAAAATTGGTGGAGTCCCCCTTTAAGTAAATTAGCATAAGGCTACAGTATGTACATGGCCAGTGTACTTTGAGATGAGCTTTGAAAATAATGTGTCTAAAAATAATAATCTATATAAAAATAGTATATCTAGCTGGCAAACTACTGGCCAGGCTACATGTTTGAACCTGGGTAGCCTACATCATGGTCATATTGCAGCTGGTGTTTAGTGTGACCCAGTTGGCTGCAGTAATAGGTAGATTCATATCAGCTCTGTCACATCTCTAACGCATTCTGGGCTTTGGCCCCTCTGAGTTGCCTCAAAGTCAAAGCAGGTCCCCACAAACTGCAGCTCAGCTCTGCTCGTGCTTCCTCGATATCTCTGCATGTAACAGGGCGGACCAAACCTTCTGCTCTTCATAATGCTGAAGATATATGAACCTCTGACTAAACTGACAGTTGAACAGCACTCCATGACATCTGTCCATGAGGAGAGTTATAGATGTCAGCCTACAACTCAGACAGCAAGCATATCGCTGCTGTCGGAACAAAACCTCGTCAAAAGTCGTTTTTCAGTTTTTTACATAATTTGAAAGTACTGTTTGTCCTTTACATTGTTTGTGAATTTTATGACAAATGGACCAAAAGAAACAACCCAAAATTATTTGGAAAAAAAGTCTGGTTCCATTGACTTGCATTAAAAGTAGAGTATTTTTTTTCCTTCTCCTATAAAGTTCTCATTTTGGACAAAAGTTTTGTTCCGACAACAGCGATATGATGGTCCGCTGGCTGGAGAAAGTCAGCACCTCACTGACTGTTTGCCACTGCTGGTGCACATTCGGACTACCCACATAATTGTCCTGTATATGAGGTCTAACTGGTTTTTTAATCTCCTCAATGCACATAGTCTTTTATTTTGGAAAATAGACTAAGACAAATATTACAAACAACTGAGAGATTAAAAGTGGCATTTTGTCTAACCCTCTGCTTAACTACCAGTGAGCCACCCGGAAAATGCTGTGCAAAAAGCCAGTGGGCCGCCAGCTTCACTGTTGGTCCACTGTCCTCTTGCGGTCTGGGAATCTACTTCATTTATTTCCTTTTTTGTATATATTAAAGATCTAAGGTGTACAGCACCCTGTTTTGGCACCATTTTGACAAATTGGGCTTGACAGGACTTTGTGAAGCTTCTTTGGAAGCCACAGCCTTTATCAGATGTGCAGCAAAGTGGTAGCTTTTTCCTTCAGTCTCTTTCAACATTTCAGCAAAGCAAACGTCTGGTCTGCATGACTGCATCTGATAAGAGAGCTGAGCTGGTTATCTGTGGATGTGAGCATTACCTGAAAATAGCTTGTGAATCCTGGACTCTCTAGTGGCTTTAGTTTTTTGTGCTTTTTGCGCTGAGATGTGATTTTTAAATGCCACCTTTGTCCTACCATCTGAGGTATCTGAGGTAGCTTTACCCACCACTACAAAGTGATGAAATAATGAAGATGAGTCACTCCACAGTGCTTTATTCAGCTGCCTTCAGAGCTGCAGACATCATTACATTGAAGATTTTTTACCTTTCAATCAATACAGCAGTAGGTTACTAGGTTACGGGGACATATGTACCTAATGAGCTGGTAGCTCAGCACGGCTCTCGTCCTCCTTGACTGCAGCCAAAGCGCTTTTTCTCATCCTCTTCACAGTCCCAGCCAGTGAGCATCCAGCATCCAGCCATGGGGACCCTTTCAGCTCCCACGTGGCTTTGTGTCGTACAAGGCATGCGTGTGTAGGATTGGTACAGATTGGCTGTTTCACTAGTTTTCCAGTCTGTATTTTTGCAACTGTTTATATTCCTGTTGTTCTAGCTATTCTTCTGAGATTTGATCTGGGATGTTGTTTTGGAAGGACATTCATTTCTTTCTTTTCTTATTCATATTCTTGATTATTCTCTGTAGAATCTGTGTCTCACTTTTTCCACTTTTTTTCATGGGACTGGTAAAGCTGTGGGGGATTGCTGTGCTCCTCTGATCTGTCCTGATTGTTTTTATTCAGAGAATTCTGAATAAAATTTCCTTTTTGCTTAGATGTTCATGTTACAAGTTCTACTTAGTGAATTCAGGTACTTGGTGAATTCGTTTCTGACACAGGCATCCAGCTGCACACACAGCTTGCATGATCTAAATGGAGGGACAGTGACCAATAGAATGGAACATTTGGAAATAGCAGTACATGAGCCTAAGGTCACCGTGCCCAATGCTAAGTGTTGGCTAGAAGTGTGTAAAGCCCCCCAGAATTGGGTTGTGGAGCAGTGGAACTATGGAGCACCATCCAGTACCTTTGGGATGAGTTGGAGTGGTGTTTGTGATCCAGAACTAATCATCTAACATCAGTACCAGACCAGTGTGTGCCAACATCTAGTGTAAAGCCTTCCCAGAAGAGTAGAGGTTGTGGCAAAGGGGGACAAACTCCCCGTTACTATCCATGATTTTTTTTAAAAACTACTTTTTAAAAAAAACTTTAAAAAGCAACTTTTGCACTGTACAACCACATTTCTGAAAACGTTGGGATGCTGTGCAAAATCATTTAGTCTGTATATTTAATTGAAATACTACAAAGACAACAAATCAAATGTTGAAACTGAGAAATTTTATTGTTTTTTGAAAAATATATGCCCATTTTAAATTTGACGCCAGCAACACGTTTCAAAAAAGTTGGGACGGGGGCCTCTTTACCACTGTGTTTCATCACCTCTTCTTTTAACAACACTCTGTAAGCGTTTGGCAATCGAGTAGCCACTGCTGTAGTTTTGAAAGTGAAATGTTTCCCATTCCTGCTTGTTGTGCAGCAGTTAGTTCTGTCCATGCAAGCTGATTGGTTGAGAAGCGTTCTAACCGAGCTCTTATGGCGAAATAACAGCACAGTTAGAACGCTTTTTCCACAAACACTATATCACTCTGCTGAGATGCCGTTGTTAAGCAACGACTTTGACAGCAGCAGGAGATTTGAACGTTTTTATTTCTTACTTTGCCACAAACAGAGAACGGATACTTTTAAGATCACATTTGACCGACAGCTGATTTGGTCAGACTCTGAAGATGAGACAACACTAAATTCCCAAACCATCATCACCGCTGAGCAGCTTTTCAGTCAGCAGCTGTGACAGAAGAACACCTAAACAACCTGGAATCAGCCAGAAATAAACTGACTACCATTCGCCAAACAAAATGGGCTGTAAGATACTTTATAGACTGGCAGGAACAAAACAACATTAATATTCATCTGGCAAAAACTGACAAAACTGAGCTAAACTTGATACTGCGGCAGTTTTATGGCTCAGTCTGTACTTCAAAAGTTGAGGCTTACTGCAGACGTGAGTGGAGTTCGTTACTCTGACGTAGACCAAATCACAGCCCTGATGATATTCCGCGATAACACACTCCCTCTCGTGTTCTCTTGCTTAAATATAGGGTTTCAGCTGCTCAACAGTTCACGGTCATATTTTTTGTGTAATAACGCATCAAATGTTTTCAATAGGTGTCCGAACTGGACTGCAGGCAGGCCAGTTTAGCCTCTGGACTCTTTTACTATGGAGCCATGCTGTTGTAATACGTCCAGAATGTGGTTTGGCATTGTCTTGCTGAAATAAGGGCTTTCCTGACAAATATGCTGTCTGGATATGTTGTCTTATGAGTGCCACCTGAGGGCCCGAAGATCATGGCCAGCCAGTATTAGTTAGAGATTTTAGAGATTTCTCTGGATTCTCTAAATCTTTTAATGATACGATGTACTGTAGATGATGAAACACTATAAGCACTACACAGTCTTTCACAGAGTAGTGAAGCCCTCCCCATCTTTACTTCTGAAAGACTCAGCCTCTCTGAGATGCTCTTTTTATGCCCAGTCATGTTACTGACCTGTTGCGAATGAACCTAATTTGTTGGGCACCATTTAAATGAGAAAAAACGCAGGTTTATTTAGACTTTCTTAAACGTATGCCAGTTTGCAAGAGGCTAAGCAGAGTAGGGGTGATGGCTTCAGGGACAAGCATATACCAAAATAACAACAAATACTAATGATTACAAAAAACAAGCTAAACCTGAAAGCAAAATGAAACAAAAACACAAAAAAGCTAAGCTGTCTCCCTGCTTTAAAACCAGGGGAAAAGGTGACGGAAAACAAATGGCACTCGTCCCCTACTTCCCAGATATTCACAGAGAGTGTCATAGAATCTTACAATGCTTTCACCAAAATTTTTAAGCAAAGCGAGGCGAAGAGTGGTGTGAAGAGTGCCGGGCTGGTCTGGACAGGTGTTCCTCCAGGTCACGTCAGAGGGGTGAGAGCCCTGACCATCTCCCAGGTGATGGCTTGGTGACCTCTTGTATACAGGCAGGTGCTCCGGTGTACCATGTACCTGCACACAACGCAACACAAGACGGAACATACAAAATGACGGCACAAGGCACCTGAATGGAGTATTAGGAACAGGGGCCGTAACAGTCGACATAATTAAAACCCATGTGACCCATGCAGATCCCGTCAATCAGGTGTGGCCCTAATTCTCCCAACACAATAGACCCACACTGAGACATCTGATACGAAACGCTTAAGAGAAAAGTCATGTGGTTCAGAGTTCTCAGATGACAAAAAACAGAGATGCCATATATAATTGGTAGGAAACTCAGCATTTACTATAGGTTTCCTTGTATAGACTAGAGGAAATGTATGGAACATAATGACATTTTTCTGTTATCCAGCCACATTTCTGCAGATCTGTATTAGGGCATTAGTTGTGGCACAATCAGTTACTTTCAGTCATTTTTAAGCATGAGTGATGATCATTGCTGTAATTTGTGTTCTATATGTGATGGCATCTATTTCATAATTAGATTTTGTGCAGGAATGTTAAGTAGATTGAGAGATGAAGCGCAGGACATTTGTGTGTTTAACCTAAGTGATTCTTTATTTGAAGGAAATTAGATTCAACATAGAGTCTTGTAATTGCTGTGCTTGTTTGTGTGTGAGTATGTGCATAGAAGAGAAAGATCTCCGGCAGGAAAATTTTCTGCAAAAGGAATAGTTCCTTGTAAAGTGTCTCTCAACGTTAGACTTTTTTTGAGGCTGAAGTCGCTCCTCGTTCTCCAGCTTCTTGTTCGAATTTTCCCATTTTACCCTAAATGGTGCCTGAGGTGGAAGAATGTAACTGCTGCACTATTTAAGGTGGAACAGGAAAAATCAAATAAGAAGCTGGCGAATGAGAAGCTGACTACAGCTTTGTGACTTTTTAGTGTTTGACAGTTTCTCGTTGCAGATTAAACGTATCAGGAAACCAACTGAAGTGATTATAAACCCAAATAAGTCCATTCATCTCCAAATTATCCATGTTCATCTAAAATCTCTCCCTTTGCTGTTTCATTAGCTACTAGCTAGGCGAGACTGTTTTCTGCGTTGCTATGGTGACCAGCCATCTAAGCGCCAATCTGCAAGGTCAAAGGGTGAATTACCAGCTATACATTTGAACGCCAATGTTCAACACCATTTGTTGTTAAAACTGTGCTGAACGATCAGCAGAGCTTTATTTTACTGCAGAGGTGGATTATTTTACTTTTACCTAAAATCTAATTCTGCTGTGGAGCCGCAACAGGACAGTAAAAGAGCCTCATGTTGAGCAACCCTGTCTGTGGCTCCCGGGGAGCACTTCAGTCATGTCCTGTCAGCTGAAGGGATCAAACTGGGGACGTTCCAAGCACAAGGCTGGTACCCTAAACTAAGTTCTAACATAAGTTCTAAATGAATCAAGTGATACACTGGGGACATTAACTTTACAGCGTAGCATGAAAAACAGCCTTTGTGGCATGAAGTAGTTACATGTTCTCCCAGTTAGGAATCATTATCACATTAAAACAGGAACTAAGGATTATTAAGCTTCATTCAGAGTGTAGTCATTGGACTTTTACTGCTGCGTGAGCACCGTTTAAACACCAGTGTGCTTTTCTCTCCGGGAGCAGATGGAATGTTCTTTGTCTGATTAATTAGGTGTGAATGAAAGGTTTTCTAAAGGGCAAATTAACAGCTTTATAATGTTTCTTTGGTTAAGCCTGAACAAAGGCAAACTGCCCAGTGTAATTGCCTGTCTCAATTAAACTCAGAACCACGTCATCCTCTAAACTAATTAGGGTTGAAATAATAAAAACAGTCTCTCTCTCTCTCTCTCTCTCTCTCTCTCTCTCTCTCTCTCTCTCTCTCTCTCTCTCTCTCCTCCTCTCTCTCTCTCTCTCACCCTCTCCCTCCCTCCCTCACAAACACGCGTCACCGTTTCCTGCGCGAGTGCTGAAATAGATTGACACCTGATGTTATAATTGAACAGCACTTACTGCTGAATGTTCCAGTAACGTTTCTGGCTTTTAAGCCTGCAAACAAAAGAACCCCTGTTAGCCCCTATTTTCAAGACTTTTATGCTGTTATGTGCTATTTTGACTTAATGATAATCATTAAAGGTCCAGAGAAATGGACAGAGGAACATTTTGTTATGATTCCATTAGAGAGAGCAGAGCGAAAGAAATGTACAGTTTCAGATTACAATGAAATTTCAGATTTCCTGAGCTGAAAATAGACTTGTTGTATTGTGTTAGTCTTCGCAGAACACAGTGGCCTTTTTTTAATTCTGTCGGTCAAGATGGACCATTCTAACCATTTAATCGCTTCAGATTGAGCCGTGTAGTGCACAGCTGAAATCTGTCTTCACCATTTGTTCGCTCAGCCGTACTCGGGGAAGCAAAATTCTCAGAAGATTGTAAATTATGCGACTCAACATTGGGCTTAAAATCATTCTCAACTCAAGCACCGTGTGTTAGTTGCCCGAGCTCGTGTTTGGTGTTTTGGGGGCTGGTTTGTAATACGAGTCTGTTTAATGATAAAACCATCTTGGCCTTTTTCCTCGGGCACAGATTAAACTTTATTTTGGGATACATTACACAGTTGGATTGCCTCAGTTTGTGCCTGTTTCTGCTCAAAACTGAGAAAACAAAGGAGTTTATGGAGAAGTAACGTGAGAAGCAGACTGTTCAGGTAGTATTTGGCTGATGTGAACTTTGTTTACTGCTTAGACTGTTTGTAATCAGGCAAAGCAATCATAAAAATGTTATTCACATTTTCAGTATTATATCCCTTAACCATATTAACCCTATTTAACCCTGGGTTATGGAGGGGAGGAGGGGGGGGCAATATGACAAAAATATAACATTACAATGCTTCAGGATATTTTTATAGTACACAATATTCATGATTCTGAGGTTTGTTAAGTTGGAACAGCCAAAAAAGAAGCAGTAATACTATCAAAACTTATAAATACAATGATGTTCATTCATTGTTTCACATACTGCAGTGCACTAAATCCATGTAATCAGGACTAATGATGCTGTCTTTTAATGAAACACACAGTTTAGTACTGACTAGGGCTGGGTTGATACGCAATTTTTAAAACTTCAGTTGTAAATCATCACAGAACAATGCAGTAAACTGTAAATGGTTTAAGTGAGCATGAAGTTGAGTATGTAATTTTACAGGTGCTCAATATGAACCTCCTCCAGCTGTACAGACAACATCAACGCCATAGTCAAATTCATCCCATACTCAATTGAGTATGTCGGTGTCGCTGCACTCACGGCTCTTTCAGTGCGATTTCGGAGATCATCCAGTGTTGTGGAACCAACGCCGAACGCTCTGAGCTGTTGGAGGTTCATTGCTGACGACAGTTAGAAACTCTATGACCTCCTCTTTCTATTGGTATGTGATTGGTTCCTAAGTGCCTCACGGTTGTAAAATTATGGTGCTTTGAAATCGGATGAATCTTTTTGAATCACCCTGTATCTTGGATGACAAAGCCAGACAAAGACCTTTTCACATCAAGTTCCAGTTTTACAGCTCAAAGTAAAACAAAAGGTGAATTTTAAAAACTTGCAGCCGTCTTTCATGTCAAAGCTAATAGCTGCTCTTGTTCACTTCTTTTAATGCTCAGAGCTCTGAGCTGAAGTAGAGCCCCAGGCTCTTCCACTTACATACACACACTCACACAGCCTGCCTGCAGAGCTCCAGCTGTGAAACTTTTTCGGCAGTGTTTGTGGCTTTGGGTCTGCGTCTCTGAAAAATGTTAACTTTAACGCTGTCAGTCCTCGATGAATGCATTTTTTCATTCGTAAAAACTGACTTGATGTAAAAAAAAGAATTATATTCACACTAAAATAACATTACCATTGAAGCGTACTGTCTCTGATGGTGTTTTTACTGTGTAGCTGCGTGATCACTCACTCACAGGACAACTCACTGCCGCACATGTAAGACCAGAACTGGAGTTTCGGATCACAGATCTGAGTAAAATAGAAGGGAAATGATTAATTGACTTTTATCGATTATTGATAAATTGATCACCGCTCTAGTGCTGACGATATCCACGATATGCTCACAGTAATAATAAATACTGTCATATTTAGTGTTGTGGTACTTGAGTTTGGTCTTGTTCTTGAGACTGTAAATTAATGTAAATGTCTCTCTGGTCTCGATCTCAGGTTAAAGTGGACTCTGTGGAAATTTGTCTCGAGACGAGCCGAGTGCGATGCCTTCGTCTGAGGTAAATCATTGAATATCATTGTTTTATCATTACTGAACAAAACCTTAACCTTAAAACAGTTCTTTCTGTATCTGTTTGCTGCTGGTTGAGGATCTAATTGATCTAACTGATGAAGGCTTAACTGGGTATTATTTGTCTGTTGATGTTCAATGGCTCCAAAATTCAAACATCCCCTGAGGGCAGATCAATCAATGTCATTATAACTGTTTTCATTCACTAATAAAAATGTATGTATGCTGTTTGCTTTACATTATGTGGTACTTTAAAAAGTTTAAAGAGGTTCTCCACACATATATTTTCTGTTAAAATGGTTCTTTAAAGACCCTAAAAGATTCTTTAGGGAACCAGAAGTGATTCTTCTACCACCTTTTATATAAGTTTATATGGTCTCTCAGAGTTTAAAGGGTTAATGCGGTACCACATTATACTGATGCTGTTATTAGTGACTGTGTTGATTTACTCAAAGCATTTCTAAGCATTAGTCAATGAGTCAAGACAACTATGTGCATCATATCCATAACTATATATCATCGCTGTCAGGATGAAACCTTGTATCTCAAAAAAGTAACTTTACAGGAGAAGAAAAAAAACCTTCTTAACTCGGTGTACGTTAAAGTAACAAGACTTAATTCCAAGTTATTTTGGACCATTTCTGTTAATCTGTTCATTGTGGAATTTTTTGAAAAGCTGGTCATTTGAAATTATATAAAACTATAAACAATGACATGGTTTTGTTTCGTCAGTGATGATATACTGTATGTCAATACTGTCAAGCTGTAGTGTTTCCAAAATTTGGACATTAATCTAGAACGATCTTCGCCTATAATGAGGGTAGTTTAGCATAAAGGTGAACTAAAGTCCGGCGTTGTCATGCATCGCACTTATGTAATCTGAAAGCAGGCAAATCAGCCAAGATTAGTACTGTTGTGAAACTAGCAGTGTTACTCTCATTTAGACAAACCGAGGCCAAGCAGAGATTATATAAAGAGATAAGAAAAATAAATACTGAGGCAGACTGGAAATAAGTACTCGAATTTTAATTACCTGCAAACATATTTCTCAGGTACGTGACTGAATTGACTAAAAGTCTGACTCAGCAAGGACACAGCAGGTTACACCACTCTCACCTGTGTGCACTCATTCACACGATCATTGCTCCAGAACTCTGGACACTTCACCGTGAGCTCACTGCTGTGGACTGAATCCAGATAATCAGTGCCCACCTCGTGCTGCACTTCGACCCCGCTCTCTCAGCTTGCTCTCGCTTTTCCCCTAATACAGAGCTTAAAAAGGGTTATTTACCTTTCCTCTGAATAATGCATGAATAATAATAATTATTATAATAATTATTATAATTATTATTATTATTATCATTATTATTATTATATAAAAATGCTATATTCATAATAATACAGCAATAAAAAAATAATAATAGCATTAATAATAATATTAATAGTAACAGTAATAATAATAATAATCATCATCCTCATCATCATCATTATTATTATTATTATTATTATTATTTATTAATTGAGTTGAGGCTGTTATGACAAGCAAGTGTCTGTAAACTTTTGGACATGTAATAAACAATGTTACAGTGAACTTTAGAATTCATTCTTAAAGATGAAGGCAAGAAAAAGTTTATGGGAAAAATAATTGTTCATAATTTGCTTATGTGTTTGCTAAGTGTGCTAATAATTCTGTATTTTTAATGTTTTAAGGCCTAAGCCCGGAAATGGCTTGCTTTACATATTGTGTTATTTATACTATAATGTGTTATAATGCGTTATATAATGTATAACATATTGTGTTAATATAACATAACTAACTCGTGTTATTTAATTATTGATACAGCACACCATCTATTTGAAGTATTTTATATCATCTGATTCGGCACAAACTCAGCTTTCCATGTATAACAGTTATTAAACACATATCAAATATTTAAAAACAAAAATAGTATGTATAATGTATGTACTGTGGGGCTGAAAGATTAATCATTTTTATATCAAAGTTGCAGTTTGAAAGAGTCCAGTTTTCAAATAGTAAGGACTGCCATTTTAATTCTAGCCAACCTAATCAACAACATTGATTGAAGTTTTAAATAACTTGGAGCTTGTAAACTGCTTGAAAGTGCCTGAAAGCCTCAACCCAGAAATAGGGGATATGCTGCTCTTCTTACCCAACATAACTGGCCTGGAGTTTACTTTTTAGAAAATGATCAGAATTTACCGATATCTTCCCTAAATCTTTCAGCCCTAATGTAAAGGCAGACAAAAATGATCTTTTTTTTTGCTGAAAATAAAACCCAACAAAACTTATAAGTTACTTAAAGTCTCTACTGTATATATTTACAAATCTGTGACTATTTTTCTCAGCACCTTAAAAAAAAAACATTTGTTGGTTTTCAGCCCTCATCTTGAAGAAAGTCTTGCTTTTTGAAAGCTGAAGTCAGATGTTGATGATAGGATTGAAGTTGTGCTGGAACATGCTATCACAATGTGGGCAGTCATGGTCTGAAATGCAGTGTGGAAGGATTTCTAAAGCTAAATATTTGATTTGAATACACTAGGTGGTGTATTTTGTCCTCAGATTGGCTAGCAAGCGATGACAACAGCAACAGCGGTCCTGTGAATCCTGTAGAAATGAATCGAATGAACAGGCAATGTAGACGACTCAACAGTTGTAGCTTAGATCAGGCCTGAGATTCTACAGGAAAATACAACACACAGTACCACATTTGACATACTGTCAGAATGTCCTGCTTTACAGGCTTCTCTAGCTTCAGGTGGAATTAGATTTTTTTTTGGTACTTGAAATGCTTGTAAAATTTAAACACAATGTGTGTTCGGGTGTTATGAATGGGTCACTGGCATGACGTGTGTCCTTGTAGGGTTAATTTACAGAGGAATCATAGGAATGAAGTAGAAGGAACAATAGTCAGAAGAAGGGGTGGGAATCTCTAGGCACTTCACGATTCGATTAGATTACAATTCAGAGGCTGCGATGCGATTAGAAAACGATTATCGATGCATCTTGAAGCATCTTTTTTCTATACAGCATTTCTATTTTCTCACAGTGTGAGGACTTGGTACTTTTAAAGCAAAGTATTTGTAATGATCCATAATGCATTTACATCCAATATCTTTTATTAATAAAACAAATGGAAGTGATGTGGCAAGTGAACTAGAAGTCTCTCATTCACTGCTTTTGTTTAGAGCACATGAGATGCTGCTGCCACTCATCTGTGATAAAATGCGCAGTTACAGTTACGTAAGATCCAGTGGTGATGGATGTCCACGCAGCGCGTTACAGCTGTCTTACCCATTTTCTTCAGTGATTCTATAACTTCGGTTCTGGTCTCGTTGTAGAGATTGGGGGATCGCTGTGTCAGTAAAATATCTGTGTGCAACACAGCGCAAAAGCCCTGGTTCTTAATGACTGAGAACTGGCTCGCTAGTAGCTCGTGAAAAGACAAAGAGAGAGATTTAAGACGATCATTTGGAGATGAATGGACTTGTTCGCATTTATAAGCTCCGCAGTTGGTTTCCTGGTACGTTAAATCTGCAACGAGAGACTGTCAAACATTAAAAAGTTGCGAAGATGAAGTCGGCTTCTCTTTTGAATTTTCCGGTCCACCTTAAATGGTGCCACATTTACATTCTGCGCCTCAGTCAGAATTTAAGGTTGAATGGAAGAATTCAAACAAGAAGCTGGCGAATAAGAAGCGTCTTCAGCCTCGTAAAACAGTGAAATATCGAGAGACGTTTTGCAAAAACTATTCAACTTTTGAGGAAAAGTGTCCTGGCGGAGATGGGAGGAAAGCTTAAAGAGGAGTAAGTCCGCGTTTTTATTTATATTTTTAGCCTATACTAGGACATCAGCACATACTGAGACATACTGGACATAGAGCTGGGCAATATGGCCAAAAGTGTTATCATGATAAACAAAATTCATATCGTTTGATATCAGTACATATCTTGATAAATGTCAAATCATTATTTCTTTCAAGTTTGAAGGCTGATTTTTGCTCCTGAGTGGTTAATTGTTGTTTTAAACTATCGACAAACACTCGGCAAACAGTGGAACATTTCACAAATCTGTCATGGGACAGTGGGAGAAAGAGTCTGGTCAGCTGTTTTTACCAGCTGGAAAAGCACGGCCGCAGTTTTTGTAATAGTCATGATTTAAGAAAGAAAACAGATTATTTTAGCTGTCTGGTGTCGAGTGCTCGGCTAACCCGTTACAAATGCTAAACAAGTGGCCAACAACAGTGCTAAACTGTTTGGTTTCTCAACAACGTCAACTTAGTACAAACAGCACACATTAGCTGGCTCGGTAGGTCAGTGATGGATCACACCACCTTGGCGCTCCTACCACAGCCATGTCAGAGTATATCACAGTATTCAAACACCAGCTAGCAGACGACTGGGTTTCTGTATAGTAATTTGAGAGGTGAACTGCAATATATCAACACCAGACAAACAGAGTCCTCTTTTTAGGTATGTTCAAACTAAAAGCGGTGCTTTTGTCTTGTTTGATCTACAGTATCATCAATCCGCCTTTCAGCCGTTGCTAAAGTATACTTGGCGACCCTTTTTTTACTCGTAGCCCCCTCCCTCTCTAATCACGTTGAAAAACTCAGAAGTGCGCCCTCTCCTGGCGACAGCAGAGTGATGTCGCTTTCCTTGCAGTAGAAAACGCCACCAAGGCTTTCGCTAGAAGGTGGAAGTGTGAGAATGGTGTAGTATATCAGACATTTATCAAACCTTTCTTATCGCTCTATGGAGGAAAAGCTATATCGCGATAATTATCATTATCGTTTTATCACCCAGCCCTAACTGGACATAAAATGTTGTGGCTCCCAAGGTGGTTTGATTTTTGTTGAAAGTATAAAATGGCTCTTCTGAACATTTGTGTTGTGACTCCTGACCTAACCTGGTTTTAATGCAGAGGGAGCTGGTCGGATTTCTCACTCATCCAGTGGTGTTTTTGTTATGTGCCGCCACAGACTGTCCGGGCGCTGCACTTCCCCACTTCCATGTTCCGCCTTCGCGTTCCGTCAACATTACGTTATAAATTAAATGTTTAGAAAATCAATTTTTGACATTTGTGAATCGATTCAGAATCGTTCACGTCAGCATCGCGATGCATCTAAGAAACGAGTTTCCCCCCTACCCTTGTCAGAAGGGTATGTGTGACGTAAGTGAGGTGTGATGATGGAGAGCTCTGAGTGGGTGGTGTTGCGATTGCTTTGAAATGGAATCACTATTTCTACACCCTGTAACTCATATTTTACAGCCCTGGTAGAACCATTTATAGCATTGTTGTTCAACGCTAGTCCCTGATGAAATGTTATTAGCTGTGATTACTCACCATATCAAATTAAACCAGTTTCTTTTTAGTCTTTGTTTGGAATTAATCGTGGCCTTAACATTTTTACATAACAAATAGATTCCATTATTTATTCCTCTGTGAGGTGACAGCACACGTCATGATGATTAAGTCTGTTTTTATTTGTACATGTGAATTTATTTTTCCCATATCATGATTGAAGCCACAATCCTTGTGCCTTTATGAAGCTTTTTATCCGTTCTTCAGCTCCTGTCTCCAGATATTTGTAGACACCACCTCATCTAATGTTTCTTCGAAGATCAAGGGTGTTAATAGGGAGTTTGTCTCCCTTTTACTGCAGTAACAGCCTTTATTCTTCTGGAAGGCTGTTCACAAGATGTTCGAACATTGCTGTGAGGATTTTATTGCATTCAGCACTAAGAGCATTAGTGAGGTCAGGTACTGATGTTGGATGATCAGTTCTGGATCACTTTAACTCATCCCAAAGGTTTTGGATGGAGCTCCATCACTTCAGAGAACACAGTTCCACTGCTGCACAGCCCAATGCTGGGGGGGGCTTTATACTCTCTACCCGACACTTGGCACTGGGCATGGTGGCCTTAGGCTAATGTGCGGCTGCTCCAGAGCGTCCCACTCCAGTGAGTACACCTAGCTCTCTTAGGAGGGCTGGTTTGAAACATCTGGACATATAGTCCATTTCAATTATTTTAATATGTGCAATACATGCTGAAATAGCATTAATATTAACATTTAAGGATGTACAAAGGTTTGCTGTGCTTGAATGCCAGCATTCAGAATCCTCTGAAGTGAAGCCTGACTATTAGGATTGTGCTGATAGCCAATTAGCGTTAAAACAGTCTGGTGGTGGACTTGAGAGGCAATGATAGGAGTTAGTGGTCCCAGGTGGCTACCATGGTAACGTGGGATTCTAATCCAGCTTGGCCATACAGTTTACGTGCATTGTGTGTCACACTCTGCTCATTGCAGGGAAGGCCTTCCACTGGAGTGCTTTGAGAGAAAATGAAAGGAACCCTCTTACTGAGCCCCCCCGCAGGGTATGGCTACCAGGCTGTTCTACTGTCTGTTCTAACGTTCTGTCTCTGTATCAGCTGTAAGAAAATATTTTTTTCTTTCATGCTCTGTCCAGTTACAGGCTTTAATAAGCAAATTTGCACTAATTATTTATTCATACTATCGATAGAGTGTGTGAACTTGAATTTGAATTTGAGGCTTTTTAATTGCCTTTATTTAGACATTGTTGAGGCAATAAGACTAATTTAGTGTGTTTTATTGGTTTTTAATGAGAAGTGTTGGTGCTGTAAGCTTCAGTATAAGCTGTTAGCAAAGTATCTATAGCTCCATGTTTGTGATTATACTAGGGATGCGTCAGTATAGAATGCCTGGGCCAACAATAATAACTGAGAACTCACTGTTATTTATCAGATGCTCTTATCTAGGGCGACTTACAATGTTAGTTGCACTATCAAAACAGGTATTGCATAATTCAGTGGTTGAGATACAAACTCAGAGTCATTCAGGGTGGTTTGATGTGAAATTGTTCATTGTAGAGAAACTTATTGACTCAGAATTCGACAGTGGTCATGATGGGAACCAGGGGTCACAATGTCTACAGTGCAAATTTAGCCATACTATTTACTGTCCAAAATGACCAATGATACTACATGTGACTTCTAAATTTTGTATGCAGTGTTGATAATGGTAAAATAGAGGTCAATCTGAAAAGTAAGGTTTTGTGTTGGGACTGTTTTTCATTGTAACATTCTGCATGTACCTCTCCACCATGAATATATTTAAAAGAATGTGTTAGGCCAAAACTCATCTAACGTCTTAATGATGGTGCAGAAATTTAGAAAAATTAGTGGAATCGCCTTTAACTAGACACATTTTTGTGATCAGATAACAATATGGAACAAAATGTGTTCAAATAATTGACAAATCCTTCTTAGGACTGGGAATATAGGGTGAGAGTGAGTGGAAGAGAATGGAAATAACCACCACTAATGACTTACACGTACATCAGTTAAATGTAGTCAAATAGGTTGCTAAATTATCGATTGTAAATCAGCTGTATTTCCAATATGGAAACCATATGGTTTCATTTTCCCTTTTATCGATGTGTAACACACCGGCTGCTAATTCATCGCACACCCCTAAATTATATATCCCGAAGATACATCCATTTTGATATAGAATGAAAAGAGTAAGAGCAACGTCACACATCACTCATTCTAAAGTCAACTACAGGAATTCAGCACTTCAGTCTCGTCTACTCGATTAGCAAAATAACATAGAGCATATTGAAAATGTGGAAAGTAGAGGTTAAAAAGGCAGAGGGCTTAGGGGGAGTCTTTTTGGGTGTGTGACATGGGAGCAGTTGATGATTTTTACTTTTATTTCTGTTGCCTTTTTTCCCTTTAATTATTGTTTTTGTGTTTATTATTATTTATTATTTATTTATTATTCTTGTTTTGTACATTATTTTACTATGTTCTTTCTGCTTTTATGTTCTTATGTTTTTTTTGTCTGCTTTTTGTCTTCAAACTGAAGAAAATAGCAAATTTTCAGCAAGAAAATTCAGCAAGAATGACATTGTCTGTCTGTCTGTCTGTCTGTCTGTCTGTCTGTCTGTCTCTCTCTCTCTCTCTTTCTCTTTCTCTTTCTCTTTCTCTCTCTCTGTCCCACTCTCTCTCCCTCTCTCTCCCCCTCTCTCTGTCTCAGTGTTTGCCAGGGTTCAGTATGAGTAGGGAGAGTGAGGCGCGGTCACCACTGGATGACTCAGAAGTGGAGGAGGTCTTCAGGGAGGACCTGGACGAGGATGACGAGCCAAAATTGTGTCAAGTGTGTGGAGACAAAGCTACAGGATACCACTTTAATGCCATGACCTGTGAGGGCTGCAAAGGCTTCTTCAGGTGTGTACACCTGCGTGCGCACACACACACACACACACACACACACACACACACACAGATTTGTTTTTACACAATGTCAGAGTGAACACTGTGTCCTGTATTATAAAATATATAAGTACTTATGTAATAGGTAGGTCAAAGTTAACATGCTAATACTGTGCTGTAGGAGCGGGAAGAGTCGGGACCATTGGCTGTACATACTGTATGGTATGTGATATCTGACTCATCAAGCTAAAACAATATGTACTGCTTTTTAAACTGAAACAGACTTTCTTTATGGCTGAATTTGAGCAAATAAGACAACTGCGATTAATCTTTATTAGCTACACAAAGTGGTACGATTAATTGTGATTGATTCTTTTAGTGTTATTGTTTACGGTATGTATTATATTATTCACACACACATATATGAAGAGTTTCGTTTTAAATGCTGTATATCAGTTTGTAGCAGTTCTATTTAGAACACCTTTTTGAAAAGAGGAACAGCTGATGTATAACGGAAAACACATTTATTGTTTCTCTACTGAAGGTCATGTTAGTCATAGTAAAGCATTAGTATTTGTTGTGGGTATAAAGTTCACTCCCAACAACGTATACCATGAAAAGAAGGAAATTCTCCAAAGTGGTCTATAATGCGTTCAGGAACAAAACCCTTCACATTATTATTATTTTCATTATTTTAATACATCTATGAATGAGTCTAAAAGTAATAATGATATGCCCCCTTTGTACTGTATGCATGTAAGAACCTATATGTAATAATATGCCCTCATTTGTATTATGCATATGTGAGGAAAAATAATGTAATAATAATATAAACAGTAACAACATGCCCCATATGTGTTTATCTACCATAATTTTGTCTGTTTTTTCCTAAATGTGATAATATATGAAAACAAACACGCACACACACACACGCACATTCAACCTCACATTGAGAATGTGCTACTTTGAGTGTAGATAAGCGGCTTTCCTGACAGTCGTGCTACTTCTCACTCTGATTATCAAGAAAGTGTATTCAAACCTGCCTCTAGTGTATTGAGTACTCATTCAGGAATATGTACGTACTATATGTGTGTGTGACTCACGTCTTGGAATGTCCTTGGAGATGCTGTGCGTCTGAATCTCCTTGGTTTGGTCTCCTAGAGACGTTCGATCATCACATGACTTTCTTTTGTTTGGAGGCTCTGAAAGCCTGGTTTGAGCTGAGTGTATGAGGAGGCCTCAGGCTGTGTGTGTTCTCTGGAGTGATGGAGCTCCAGAGGGCGGGATAAGCCTTCAGTGATTTCTGTGATCCAGATCTAATCATCCAACATCAGTACTTGACTCACTAATGCTCTTGTTATGCGGACACAGCAGTGTTCCAACATCTAGTGTAAAGACATCTCGGAAGAGTTGAGGCTGTTACTGAAAAAAAAGGGAACTCCCTGTTAATACTCTTCATTTCAGAAGAAACGCTGGGTGAGCAGGTGTCTGCAAACTTTTGGACACACAGTGTATATTTATATTGGTTGTGCTGTATTGGTTCTACAATGTAGGAATCCCAGCCCTTTAATAAAAGTCTTCTCTTTTTAGGGACCTAAAAGTATAGTGTAAATAATCTTAAATAATATATAACAATAATAATAATAATGTTTAGTGCTTTGGTTACAGTACATTGTTTCATCTGAAAGATGCATTTGGTTGGATCTTTATTAGCATTGTTTGATTTCACGTCAGATATGTTGGGGTACAACAACATAAACACAACAACGAAAACAAGATCGCTGTTTAAGTATGCGAAAGATTGAATTAACATACTAATTAACAGAGGTGGGGGCAAGTCACTAAGTCGCAAGTCTCAAGTCTTGACACTCAAGTCCCGAGTCAAGTCCCAAGTCAAAATAGTCGAGTCTCAATTCAAGTCCCGAGTCAGTGAAGGCGAGTCTCAACTTGAGGCCCAAGTCATTAGTCCTAATGTTTGTGTCCTAAACTAGTCAGTCTGTGTTCTTCGGCTTATTTAAGACCACAACACTGAATGATGGTGACAGTACTGTAGTCTTTTAATGAAAGCATGTTAGTAGTGTATGGCTGTATATTAGTTTTTCATAATTTATTTATTTTTTTTACCCTTCCAACTGAAATACAAAATCCATGGTACACGGATAACCATGACACATATGAAGTTATTCACAAAGACTAGTGCACTAAACATGAAAATAATTTTTGAAAGTACTATTGAACTTTTAGAAAAAAAAACCTTTATATTTGAAGAGAAGATAAGATATAGAAGATATTTTTGATGATTTTTGGGAACGTTGAGCATACATGATTAAAATGAAAAACTAGTCCAGCACTAAAACTGACTCAGCCAACTAAAAACAACTGCTTTGACCTGCAGAAGCTGTTAAAATCGCTCAAATAGAGTGAGCTGTGTTTCTTTTGTTTTGCTACCATGAGGAAAATGGTCGTTTCACCTGGTAAGTTTCTTCAATAAGAGTTTAAGAGGTGAACTGGGCTTATTGATGTTGCTTCGCTTGTTCCCAGCTTATGGAGGCAAACTTTAGCTCTAACGCTTTATTCATCTTCCGAAATAAAATAAGCTGAGCATAAGCACAGTGACAGAGATCTGACAGCGTTGCTTTTGATTCAATTTACGGCACGAAACAAATTCAGTTACATAAAAAGCAATCAAACTGTGTAGAGTCCCGTCTGCAGTCAGACACCTGTCCACGTTTCTTCCACTTTGAGTCTTGAGTCTTCCCGAGTCAGAGTCCGAGTCACTGGTGTTCAAGTCAAAGTTGAGTCACAGATATTTCTCGGTTTTCTTGAATCGAGTTTAAAGTCATCAAATTCGTGACTCGAGTCACATGACTTGGGACTCGAGTCCACACCTCTGCTAATTAACATACTAAAATGTGGTGTGTGTAAACGTTATGGCACATTTTATATATTTATATTTTTCCTATATGTTAAACTCAGCAAATGAATAGAGATTATGCATAAAAATGTATGTCCACATTTAGGTTTGTTACCTGTAGATGATTATTTTCATATAGAAAATCAACAAAAAGTGCAATCTGACTGGAGATGGTCAACCTTTTACATATGACTTGTGTTGTCTACCCTGTGTAACATTTCACATTTTGATACTGACGAAGTTACTGAGTATCATTTTGAACCTCAGACTGACAAACAGTGTCCTCTGGACTTTCAGCCTTATCAGACCCACATTTGCCATGGTAGCAGGTGCAAAGATATTTCATTTGTCTGGTTCATTAATGACGGGCATTACAATCTGACTTCACTTCCGTCCACCGTGGTCTCTGGAGAATGAAATGATTGCAGTGCACCACTTCAGCCCACATGAAATTGCTTTAATCTAATTGTAGTTCTGTAAGGGGGATTTCTGTGAAAACACTGTATGTGGGTTTCTCACTGTTCTCAAGATTGCCAGAACATGGAAATACAGCTTTTAAACTAATGATTGAACGTTTCTCAGCAGGCCTTTAGCCTCCCTGCTCTGTGGTTTCATCTCTCCAGTATATGGAAAATACAAAAAAAAGTAAAAAAAAAAAAAAAAAAACAGTGTTCATCATTTATGTTTGACACTTGAAGGAAACACACAGTCCCAAAGACTCCATCAGCCAGAATTGCCTTATTTATCTAATAATGTGTCTTCATGCATAAGAAGGAACAAATGCATTTAACTCCTGGGCCTGTTTGACCCTGTGAATTTAATCAAAGTGCTTTTCAAAAGTCATTCAACAACAGGTCACTCGTAAATGGATGTTATCAGAGCCATTACTTGCTGTGCAGTATGCAGTACTGTGCAAAGGTCAGAAACCCCTTCATTTAGTTGTAGTTAAAATGACCATTTAGGCCATTAGATATCACGTAATCCACCTGCATAAGGAAGGAAAAAGTCAATGGAAAAAAAAACTGGAGTTCTGAAAATCATTAAAAGCTACAGGGAAAATGTCCCTATTAAGAAGACCTGGTAGACCACCAAAACCGTCCCCGTCAGATAATACAGCACTTTCGTCTATGAGAGAGAGGAGAAAATTAAGTTCCACTATTTTTATTGTACTCTATTGGTAATGTATGTTATTTATATAGCCTGTATTGTAGTTTAAAGAATCTATTTCCACCTCTGCTCCTCTTGAGTGTTACGTGAACTACTTTATAAATGAGGAGTATATTATATGTCCTTGCCCTGTTGTGACTGAGGTGTCATAGGAAGGATCCTCCGTGCAGACGGAGCTGATGGGCTGCTGATTGTTTGTGTTCATAAATTGCTTTTTTGGCTCTTTTGAGGAGAAGAACATGAGAACTTGAGTGAAACTGCACACCAGCCTGTTGTCCTCATGACCTTTTCACAGCTTTATCCACGTGTTGTGGATAGTTTTAGTCCAGCACAGAAACCACTGACTAAATTGGTCTGGTCACAAAACCTAGACTCGAGCACACTGGGCTTTACTATACCTTACTGTCTTTGATCTGTCTATCTATCTATCTATCTGTCTGTCTGTCTGTCTGTCTGTCTGTCTATCTGTCTATCTATCTGTCTATCTGTCTATCTATCTATCTGTCTATCTATCTATCTGTCTGTCTGTCTGTCTGTCTGTATGTCTATCTGTCTGTCTGTCTATCTGTCTATCTATCTATCTGTCTATCTGTCTATCTGTCTATCAGTCTATCTATCTATCTGTCTGTCTGTCTGTCTGTCTGTATGTCTATATATCTATCTATCTATCTATCTATTTATCTATCTATCTATCTATCTATCAGTCTATCTATCTATCTATCTATCTATCTATCTATCTATCTGTTTTTCTGTCTTTCTTGTTTGTTCTGTTTTGCTTTTTTCTTTCTTTCTTTCCTTCTTTCTTTCTTTCTTTCTTTCTTTCTGTCTTTCTTTCTGTCTGTCTTTCTGTCTTCCGACATACTGATCAAGTTTGTTTTCTTTCTCTGTCTGCCTTTCTTCCTGCTTATTGTGCAATCCTGATTGACCTCACTATCTCCTGTGAGGAATCATGTTGTACCAGTATGTGTGACGTTGTATTTGTTATCTCAGAGGCTGTGTGCATGGGTGTTTACACACACAGACACACACACATACTCACGCACACACAGAGCTGTGGAAAAGCTTTAAGCTACAGTCACACTGGACATTTGTAGTTGATGTTGTAAACAATATCCCTTATGTTGATGCAGTCAACAAACTCACTAACTTGCTAACCGCGAACAGTAATGACACAAAAATGAACATCATATACTACTGTAGATAATGTGGCAGTGGGGTGACGTGTGTGGAGCCACAGTTAGCTAATGAACTAATATAGCAGTTAGCAAGTTGGCTAAATAGCCTACTATAAACGGTAAAACACAAAAGGGAACATTATTGTATCAGATGACTGTGTACTCACCACAGCACAATGCTGCACACTGATCCATAGCAAAAACCTGTACATAACAGATATGGTTGGTGACAGTAGGGTGGCTTGTGTGCAGCTTCAGTTAAGCATAGAGATAACATCACTGTTAGCAGACTGGCTAACTTGTCTACCACAAACAGCAAAACAACAAAGGATATATTGCAGCTGACTGTGTATCATACAGTCTGTCTTTCATGTGTTTATTTATAGGCAGTCAGGAAGAAGGTTTGTACTTTGTTTATTTTGTAGTCTGGTTAAATTAGCGTTCCCCCCCATTTTGGAGGTTCCTCTGCGAAAGACAAGGTTCTATGATGTGAAAACGCTCTTTGTGTTAAAATCCACCGAAATGAATGTAATTTCTCTCCTGAAAATTTGCTGGCAAACTCTAGTGTGTCTGGGCCTTTAGGAACATGAAAAATCTGTATTTAAAAAGCTATTTAAATGAGCCACAAGCATTTATTTTATCAGAACAAATATTACACTAATGTCCTTTTGGCAGCTTAGTATTATTCGTTGTTATCATCCAGTTTCTGATTTGGCTCAAATTAAATCAAGTGTGCTGGCTTGAATTTGAACAAATCAGTGTGCTGGCTGGGGGCGTTGGAGAGAAGTCAAGAACCAAACCTGTGTCAAGAACCAAACCTGTGTCCTCGCTCACAAGATACTGCCTTTTTTTAAAAGACAAGTATGTACTGTATTTGTTTATTTGTGTTTATTCTAATGTTATAAGGTGTTTTTACTGGCTTACTGCTGAGATAATTAGTTTACCTTAAACACGCTGTAAACATGCACGTCCTTGTCCTTGTGTTTTCTAGAGTTTCCAGACTGTGAAGTTTACAGTCTTTGTTGGTGTTTTCTAGGCGAGCCATGAAGGGACCAGCCAAATTCCGCTGTCCGTTCCAGAACAACTGCATCATCACCAAGAGCAACCGGCGCCAATGCCAGTTCTGCCGGCTACAGAAGTGTCTCTCAATCGGCATGCTCAAGGAACGTGAGTTTGACAGCTGTCTCGGTTCTCTCTCTCACTGTGAGAGCACGCTTACCTCCCATCAGCGTGCATCCTGTTCAGCCTCTTTCCGTCTCTGAGCTTTCTCACACTACTTTCTCTCCCTTAAGAGTTTAGTACAGCTTCTTTCTCGAAGCACAGCGTCATCGCCCCCACCGGGCTGGAAGTCCTTCTGGGTGAAGACGTTTTCTTTCACATACATCCCTTCCTATATGTGCTGAAAGTGGCACTGTGCTTCTTAATTAGGCCTCTATGCCATCTCCTCTTATTTTTCACATGCATGTTGTTTCGGTGCAGTGAAATATAGTGTTGCTAAAAATTATAGTGTTAAATTAGCACATACACTGTAGATTAGCGTAACTACACAGTGGAGGCAAGTTGAACATTTCAGGTGTTAATTTGTGTTATTTTTAACTTCCGTGTTACATCTGTGTGTTGGCAAATATGTTAAAGTACCTCCTAAAGTCATCATTTAATCCATAAAAAAGTAATCTATGTTGAATAATAAATTGTTAAATATTTTTATGTATATATTTTTATGCCCAAGAAATGGGCGTAACTACTAAAAATGACACATGAGCATCACTAAACTTTAAAGAGGAATCACTAAGATATAAACAGAGACATTCAGAGTGGTTTTATGTAAAATGGTTCAATGTAAAGAAACTTGCCAAGAATTGTTTACAGTGGTAGTGACAGGAACCAGACATCTGAAGAGTTTGATGCCTCTTGAACCTCACTATTTTATATATCTAATTATTAAAAGGGTATTCCACAGAGTTTTCATAATGTCTGCATAATTCAGTGGTTGAGATGTAAACAAAGTCATTCAGAGTAGTTTGATGTGAAATGATACCATCTATACAAGCTTATAGATTCTTTACAGTGATTTCTTTACAGTGGTGGTGATAGGAACCAGGGGTCACCATGTCTACAACACTATATGCATGACTGTAAACAGCCCCTTGCATATTTAATATGCAGATTGTAAACACACCCTTGCCTCTTGGATTCCAAACCCCACCCCTTTCACTCCCCTCTACACTGTGCTTTTACCTTTGATGAATGGGGAGCACAGCTTTCTGTGTTTGACCAGACACAAACTAAACTCCCACTGTAATCTTAATAACCAGAAAATAAACTAGCGAATATTCAACTCCTCACCAGTAACTGTTAAACCATGAGCCCCTGTTGCTGAATGTCGTACAGTGCTAAAGAGAGCACAGTGGTGCTGACAGCAGAGCCAGTTATGCTAGCATTAGCTTAGCAGGCAACAACTTACCTCAACACATCACAGAAGAGGTTAGATTCTGCGTTTTTGTCACGCTAACATTTGACCTCATTCCCTCAGTTTTAAGTCTTTATCCTCTAAACATGTGAATATAACCCTGTGTTGTGGTGTCTGAGGCTGCTTTAATCTGCTAACTATGCTAACACTAGCCTCTGATGCTAATAAGGACAGTATAGTGGAGTAATAGTAACATTAGCTGAGGTAACAGCTCCACATGAAAAAAAAAAAAAACGGTTCACTGCCTCGGATTTGAGTCTTTATCCTTAAAACTTGAGTCAGTGAGGCCTCGGTGAGCAGGAATTGACCTTGCTGTGTTGTGTAAAGCTGTTTTAGCCTGCTTGCTAAACTAATGCAAGTCTCCAGTGCTAACAAGGACAGTGTAGTGGAGCAAGAGTAGCTTGGCTAATAGCGCCATGCACACAAAAGCAGGTTAGCTCTCTCAGATTTGGGTCTTTTCTCTCTGAACGTACATCAGTGAAGTTTCAGAATCAAACCTGTGCTGCTGCTGGGACAGCGCTACACCATATTTGACAGTTTATTAGATAGATGTGGAATATAATTTAAAATATCACCATCATTTATCTATTTTAGCTAACTGCTGAGTGTACAGTACAAACAGTAAGTTAGCTACGTTAGTGCTTACTCTGCAGCTATACGTTTCCTGTTGTCACATCGTAATTTTCTCATTATCAGTCTTCTCTGTGTTGGACCGTGACAGGTTCATCACACACAAAACCAAGCTGCTACGTAGTGCCCCACAAATCGCTTGTTTACTGAGAAGGTACTAAGAAAATCTGTGTTTTCAGTGGGTAGATGTGAACTTTGCACTGTGGTAACATATTTGACACAAATATCAAATATCAAGTAATCATCATCATAACAAAAATCCCAGAGGAGTGAATGGAACAGACTATACGATTGCGTGTTTCAGTGATCATGTCAGACGAGGCTGTGGAGAAGCGGAGGATGCTGATCCGGAGGAAGAGGATGGCAGAGGAGCCCGTCGTGCTGTCAGAGCAGCAAGAAGTTGTAATTCAGGAGCTGCTGGAAGCGCACAGGAAGACCTTCGACTTGACCTTCTCCGACTTCAACCAATTCCGGGTCAGTCTTTTACCCCCAGGCTATTAACCCCTTAAACTCTAGACTTGTTGCCAGTTCATGTCCTTGTCTACTGCTTCACCCAGTACTTACTATGATTTGTTCCGTACCTATAGTTAAATGTAATGCATGTAATTATTAGAGTAACTGAACTGAGTAGAGGAACTGAACTGATTTTCAAAGAATCAAGTGGCAGGTTAAAGGGGCATGAATAAATTGTGCTACATAAAGACAGCTGCTGTTAATGACTTCTTTAAGCAAGAATTCTGTTGAAGTAAGAAGGTTAATTCACTTGCAAAGCACCATTTTTTCAGTGCAAGGGTCAAACTCTTGACCTTTAGTGCAAGGGTTCGAGTCCTGGGGCACAGCACAGTTTTGTGATTTCCCTGCACAGACACGCCTGATTAAAGTGTCAGTTTAAGTAGAAGTGTGGGAAATACTGGTTGGACACGAAGTCAGTTGCACATGAATAAAATCAACATAATCGGCAAATGAGGTAAACTAAAAAACAATGATTGTATTGATGCAACTTATTAAAATCATGTGCAGCTGACATATTTGAATCATGTAAATTCAAATCCACTTTCACTGCAACAAGGAAACAACCACCCTGTGTTGTACTGTGGACAGGGATGTAGGGAGTGGGGGTGCTGAGGGGGCTGCAGTACTCGCACATTCCAGGAGCGTTTAACTTTTTAAAAGTAATTTCTAAATAATAATATAATAATGTAGGTCACAGTAAAGATCTACACCTGCTTGTTTTAGAGTAAATTTTTTTGTTTTATATGATTTTAAAATCTATAGTATCTGTGCACTGTTTAAGTTAATGCTGCAATTTCATTACCGTGAGCCGAATTGCTTTCCTCACCAACATCTAGACACTTTAGGAGCATCAAACACAAGCCAATATTGTTTTGTTTTTGTTTTTTTACTAACAATTTTATAATATCCTAAATACATAACATTTTCCTTTTTTCAGTCATTATATATCTACCATATACTATACACGATCAGGCATAACATTATGACCACCTCCTTGTTTCTACGCTCATTGTCCATTTTATCAGCTCCACTTACTACATAGGTGCACTTTGTAGTTCTACAGTTACAGACTGTAGTCCATCTGTTTCTCTGCATACTTTGTTAGCCCCCTTTTACCCTGTTCTTCAGTGGTCAGGACCCCCATGGACCCTCACAGAGCAGGTACTATTTGGGTACTGGATCATTGTCAGCCCTGCAGTAACACTGATGTGGTGGTGGTGTGTTAGTGTGTGTTGTGCTGATACGAGTGGCGTTTTTAAACACTGTGTCCACTCACTGTCCACTCTATTAGACATTCCTACCTTGTCAGTCCACCTTGTAGATGTAAAGTCAGAGACGATAGCTCATCTGCTGCTGCACAGTTTGTGTTGGTCGTCCTCTAGTCCTTCATCAGTGGTCACAGGATGCTGCCGACAGGACGCTGTTGGCCAGATATTTTTGATTGGTGATTAGAGAAAACAGAAAATTTTCAGGGATCTTGTGATGAAACATCTAAATACTGAGATATTGTGTACCTCTGTGTCATTGTTGATATTGTCAAATTTGTGTGCTACTAAAGCTGTTCTGGTGCTATTAAATTCAATTTTACTTTAAGTAGTTCTACCAACTTTTGAAAGCTGGAAAACAGCAAACTTGAACCAGTATGTCCAATGCTATACGCGATAGCTCGTTCTCTGATCCTGTTTCCTGGCCATTGATGGGGATGAAGGGAACTTGTTTACTCTAAAAAGTCTCAGAGTCAGGGCTAGCTGCTCTGCTGTGATACCTAGTCACTTTAGCTGGCCTTTTCACTGCAGAAAAAGCACGATGGAGCTCCATAGCACAGCAGCATTTATTGGTTTCGTGTACTGAAACTAAACATAAAATAGAGAATTAGTAGCTTTGAGATGGACAAAGCAGAATGCTTTTTTGGGGAAAAAAAAACAGCCCAAAGGTTCTCCAGAGATACAGTCAATTATCCCCACAGCATAATGCTGCCACCCCCATACTTCACTGTTAGGATGGTGTTTGTTAAAGAATATTTTCTTACATAAAACCAAGATCACTTTAAAATAATTAATTTTCAGGGACAGTCTTTTAAAATAGAACATTGCCTAGCACAAAACATCAAAGTGTCATTTGTAATTCAGACGAATCTCATGACTTTTAAGGGGATTGAATAAGGCACTGTATTAATAGTGTTTCTTCTTCATTATCGTCATATTTAATATTATTGGGATATTTATTCTAAAATATTAGTAACAACATGCCGGTCAGACTATTTTAGTGTCTCAGTAGAGAGAAAATGGTAACAAAATTAGACGTTCAGAATGGAATTTACATCACTATGGAGGTACTTATTTTTAAATTTGTTTAATGATGGATACAATAAAAAGCAGCTGAACTGTGAAGTATATTAATGAGATTGGCATGATACCACATTTTCTTTTACAATAAACATACCGATCTGATATTTTTCTTTCTTTAAAAACTATTAAAATATAAAATAATGTGGTTACGGATGTACGTTTTATGGCACTACAAGCAATTCTGTGCTATTTTTAGACTAGATCCTTGGCAGATTCATATCAGACTAATTATTTTCTTTTATAAGATCTGCCATTTTCTACTGAAATTGACCTGATATCAAATCAGAGTGGTGCTTTTTGTATTACATTCTCCACGAAATACAATATGGTCGTGTCTTAATATGATCGTTTTTTCTGTACAACAAAAATATGGACTGCCTCAATATGTGCCTTGTGTTTAAATGCTAATGTTACTATGATAATGTATTATTCAGTCATAGTCTATCTGGGTGTGACAGATCAGCAGGGTTACTTAAAAAGAGTGAGGCTTCACATCTGTCACATTATTGCTCCTCCTGTTTTCACTGAAGGGTTTTGTGTGATGCCCACAGCCCATAGACCGGGATCAGAACCCCATATCCGAATACATTCAGGAGTCCATCAACTCCCAGTCAGTGAGAGCAGAGAGGTCCATCACCTCCCAGTCTGTGAGAGCAGAGAGGTCCAGAGAACCAGTGGTGAACCTTCTCCCTCACGGCTCCTGTTCCTCCAGCGTCTACCACCTAGAGGACGCAGAGAACGGTGACAAGGAAGGAAAAGCCGTGTTCACCACTCTGCCTCACATCACCGACCTGAGCACCTATATGATACAGAATGTCATCAACTACGCCAAGGTGCTCAATCCTTTCAGGTGGGTTAATACATTCTAATGTCGGTACTCCTTCTCCATGTGTTGATTAGGCATTATGGTATCACCCTACACTGTCAGATTCGGTGGGGAAAAAAAGCCCAAAGGTTCTCCAGAGATACAATGGATTAGAAGGGCTGTGTTCTATTATCTGATTCACAGCGATGCGACAATCATCCGCGGTTGTTTTATTTGCATGTAACTGCAGTCAGTCTTATCAACAAATTGTATTAATTCACACTGATGGACATCTCTGTTTTGGGTGTTTCCTGTTCATTGCATCTGTTTAGTGATGTGTTGTATATTGTGTGTGTTGTTTATTTTTAACTAGTGAAACCAAAGATGATTTTTCTGCTTTGGCTGGACAATAAAGAGTCAGAATTACTCACAGTGGTGGTGATAGGAATCGGACGTCTAAAGAGTTTAATGCCTTTAAAAGCTCCCTTACAGAATATTACCATGAAATGGTAATGAATATACTGCCTGATGCCTGAGAAATAGTTTTTTGATGGTTTTGAAAAAGCTTTGGCCTAAAATGCATTTTAAAATCCTTTCATGACAGAGAGGTACATGCAGGGCATTGGGAGGTAAAGTAGAGCCCAAAGGAGGCTTAGTTTTTTTAAGGTTTACAACTGTTCTTCAATATCACATATAAAAACTGAGAAGACTTGTAGGTTTTGGATAATAAAATGGCTGCCTTATGTTATAGACATCAAATTTCAGTCAAGTTTAATATTCACATTTTTAAGGCATTTGAAAAATGTTCAAATAATAACCCCCATGAAAATAAAGTACAAATCTTGGCTATAGGCCGCTGCCTCAGGATACAGTGATCCACTTAGTATCTTACTATTACTGTACTATATTAAACCTAAGCCTAGTCCACAAAGCCACAATAGCTGACTGGTTCCTATCACAACCATTGTCGGCAAATTTCTTTACAATGCACCCTTTCACATCAAACCACTCTGAATGACACTGTTTTCAATGCATTCATCCATGAATGAATGGAAAGTGATGTCATCAGTGTTGTATGTTTTGCAGGGCTCTGACTATAGACGATCAGATATCGCTGCTGAAGGGCGCCACCTTTGAGATGGTACAGATGCGCTTCAACATGACGTTCAACGAGAACACAGGGATGTGGGAGTGCGGCTCGCTGCGGTACTGCATGGATGACGCCAAGCGTGGTAAGGGTCTCTCACAGTCCCCCAGGACCAGCGTTTATGATGCTGTAGAGGTTTGAACCATTTTACTGTGTACTTTTTGAATGTGTAACGGTCCTCTGTTTCAACTGTACTGTTTACAAAAAAATACCCTGAAGGACAATCACTACAGTTCTGCACAGATCTGTTTACAGTTCCTTTTTTAAAAATAGATTTATAGATCTGTTGAAAATACTTAGGAGTCAGTAAGTCACATTTAGCATCACAACTCCTGTTGGTTTTGTGAGGGCTTTTGAACTCACACTGACTCATGGCAAATACGTAAAATATGTGCAAATCAAGGAAGCAATGAGCATTACTATATTACTAAATATTGCAATTGCGGTGTGTCTGGCAGTATATTAACACCCTGGTGAATCCATGATATGACATGGTAAAAACTGGTCTGCATAGTTTTGACTAAAATTGTGTTGTTTGAGTCATATGAATGCCTTGATTCATCAAAACACTCACAGAACATCTGAGGGATGCTCATAGTAAGTGTTAGAGGGCTCATTTCTATAATGCAGCCTACTGTGATATCAGTATTGTAAAGGCAAACATTAGTAATGTCAGACTGATATGATGCAATTAAGGTATCTAACAGTTCTGTAACAGTTACTGTTCTGGCCTTTTAGATTTCAGGGCATTTGATTATCATCTTTAGTAATCTCTGTCCATGTTTATAGACATAGCAGAGTAGTGTTTGTCACAGGGATGGTCAAGCATTTTAGTCAATTTAATATTAAAATTTTTAAGGTGATATTTGAAAAATATTCAAATAAGACCCCCCAGTGAAAAAAAAGTAGGAGTCTTGGCTACAGGCTACCAGATGCATCAGGAAACCCCTGGATCACGTGACCTTCAACGGGGATGGCTGCTTACCTCTGTGGCTCTTGACCTACTTGATACAACACATCCTTAAATATAATCCTAGTCTTGAGAAGCCGTACAAAGTTAGTAAAACTTATTAACTTGAGCATGGCTTAATGCCAACTGTTGTCTCTGAAGAAGAAACGTCAAAAAAGCAACAACCCTCGACAAAACGATGTTGCGCATTGCTGTAGCTGATGAGCTAAGGCTGCAACCCGATAACGTTCAAGAAATGTTTAAAGAATTTAGTCTTGTCTCTGAGAGGATTGACATGCAGGAAAAAGAGATTAAAGCAAGAACTTCGAAAACATGCAGTTAGCAATTCAAAGTATTATCCACTGAAGTGAAATTTGCAGTAGAGGCTCTCCAAGCGAAGATGGAGTCAATGGAAGACGAAAGCCGTTAGTTGTCATCAAATTTCACTTTACACTGATTATATTTTGCTTTACACATCAAATATTGCTGATTCTGTTCATGAGTTTCATAGTTGAAAAACTTGTAAAGAGTTTATATAATAAACCTGATGAATTCACTAAGTGATGCTGAAAGTTTTATTCCATTAAATCTACGTGAGCAGGGGGGAAAACCTTTGATTCGATTACGATTCAGAGGGCTGCGATGCGATTATAAAACGATTATCGATGCATCTCGATGCATCTTTTTTCTCTATACAGGATTTCTATCTTCCTACTGTCTAAAAACTTGGTAGTTTTAAAGCAAAGTATTTGTAATGATCCATAATGTAAATGCATTATGGATCATTACAAATACTTTGCTTTAAATATCTAAAATATCTTTTATTAATAAATCAAATGGAAGTGATGTGGCAAGTGAACTAGAAGGCTCTCATTCAGAGACGCTGCTGCCACTCATCTGCGATAAAATGCACTGTTACCCTGAAATAAGATCCAGTGGTAAGGGATGTCCACGCAGCGCGTTACAGCCATCCTTCCCGTTTTCTTTAGTGATTTTAAAATTTCGGTTTTAGTCTCGTTGTAGAGAGGGGGGGTGTATTTTCGAGACTGGACGCTGAATCTCAGCTCCAAAGTGTGCAGCATAGCGCGAAACAGCAGGTCACATAGCCCCGAGGTCTGGCCTCACCAGTAGCGAACGAAAAAACAGAGATTAAGACGAACATTTGGAGGACTTATTCGTATTTATAAGCAGCGCGGTTGGTTAAATCTGCAATGAGAGACTGTCTTTCTCAAAAAAGTTGCGAAAATGAACTCACTTCTCTTTCGAAATTCCCGTTCCATCTCAAATGGTGCAGTAGTTACATTCGGCGCCTAAGGCAGAATTTAAGGTGGAACGGGAAAATTAGAACGAGAAGCTGGTGAATGAGAAGCGACTTCAGCCTCGTAAAACAGCCGGACGCTGAGACATTTTACAAGAAACTCTTCTAGTTTTGAAGAAAAGTTTTCTGGCGGAGATGGGAGGAAAGCGGCTATAGCTGAAGCTTAAAGCAGAGCGGAGTAAATCTGCGCTCTCTATTACATTGTTTAGCCCATACTAGCACATTAACATGTACTGGACATTAAATGTTGTGGCTCCTAAGGTGGTTTGACTTTGTTGAAAGGACAAAATGTCTCTTCTTAACATTTGTGCTGGGACTCCGGACCTGACCTGGCTTTAACGCAGAGGGAGCCAGTCGGATTTCTCGCTCATCCAGTGGTGTTTTTGTTATGTGCCGCCACAGACTGTCCGGGCGCTGCACTTCCCCACTTCCAAGTTCCGCCTTTTACGGTCGGTCAACAATACGTTATAAATTAAATATTTAGAAAATCGATTTTTGACAATTATGAATCGATTCAGAATCGTCCACATCGCGATGCATTTAAGAATCAAGTTTTTCCCGCACCCCTAATGCTTACTGTGTACTATAGCTGCATTTTTTATTATCTGTTACCTGGCTCCAAAGACCCTCTGCAGGTGTGGCGCAGAGCTTTTCATCCAGTGTTTGGTATCCTTTAGCAGGCTGCAGTAGTCTTCTTGTGCGTATGTCTTTAATGTAAACAAAGCATAAGACGCAGGCTCTTCACTTCTCTCCGATGGAGTAAAGAGTTCAGTCAGCTCATGGTCCTTATGAAAATGGAAGGTTAGAGATCAGCTAAATTGCAATCAAAAATCCTAATTTGCTTTTTGATTTTTTTAAACTTTCATAATTCTTATTACTTGATATTCTAAAAAGTGAAGTTCCCATATGTTAGTGGCGTGCCAGTCACATAAATACTCATCTTTTGTTGTTCAGAACTACAGATGGCACAATATCATTTTTCCTTTCTGATACCAACATCGATATTGAAAGCTTGAGTGTCGACTGATGTCTGTCTGCTTATTTTTTCCACTTAGTTTTCCTTTAAAAGTGACTATGCTGTAAAATTAGCTGTTTTTAAGTGTTTCACTTGAGCATCTAAAAGTTGGCTATCATACTCAAACTGCTCAATCACTCTACTACTCCACAGGCAGAACTACACAGCTAACATCACACAGCTGTTTCAGGATAGATTTGTCACAGCATTGGATCAGATTCATTCTTCATTTTTCTCCCTAAATATCTGATCCAGCATTTTATGCTGATATTGGCCTTATTTGGAGACTTAGTGCTGGATCGGTGCCATATGTATTCAAAACACTGAGTGCGTATGCCAAAGAAGAAACCTTTGGCACTAGAAAGAGGAAACGCAGTTGGAAGTTAAGTTCACTGACATGAAAAGGGAGACATTGACCCAAGAATCCCATTTGCACCATCATAACTTGATCTAACCAAAAATAGCACATTTTTCACTTCACAAATTTGATTTATGATTTGGAAACCACATGTAAGTCTGGTGTAATGAGCACAATAGTTAGGGCTTAGAACACCAGAGGAAAGTAGTCTAGTCTAAGGAGCTGATTTTTTACTCATTTTAACTTATTTCTTTTTCCTTATGAGAAAGCAGGAGGAACACTTCAGCTCCTGTTGCTTACTTCCAGATATGGTCAGTATGATAGTGGCCTCCTGTATAGATAGCCAGCATTATTATTCAGGCCTCACCATTAGAGCTGTCACCCCTGCTCTCCTCTGCTAACACAACACTTCCTGACAGGGTTAGATTGTGAAGGTGAAGGAGCTAACAAGCTCCTGCCACGCTGAGGGGAATAGTTGGGGGGGGTCTCCAAGAGTAACGATGGAGAACATAGAGGCACTGAGCCTGTCACTCAGACATGGCCTATAGAAATAAGCCTCTGAGTAAGTTTGGTTTTGACATGCAGAATAAGCAGGCTGCTCAGAAAAGGTCACACATGTGCAGATGCCATTGCAAAGGCGGTTAACATGCCTAAGTCACTAAAAGGTTTTACTGCCCTGTCTTATCGTGCTCAGACTGGTCCTCAAGAGAATTTCCCACATATATGTACACTTAAACAAAAACACTGCGCTAGGAAGATCAAACTGAGACTCACTCTGCCTGTGGTCTAGCATAGCATAAAGCTTTGGGAAACTACCAGTTTTTCATTAGTTTCTGCTCTGCATTTACACTGACCATTAAAAAGGTTAAGGATAGTTAGTGCACACTTTCTTTGTTGGATTGCAAAAAATGAAGATATTAAAGACCAACCGGTGAATAATTGTGCACAGACCAGGTGTTTAAACCACATTTATACCAAGCAAGACACTTTGATGAACTAAAGTGCATGAAATGTTGAAGAAAAAAATACCCACCGGATGTTTAAATAGCTGTTTAATATTGTAGGTGTTGTTTCTAATTTGAAGGACCCACATCTTTGAAAACTGAAACATAGAAGTTTTAACACATGTAATTAACTCTCTAGTCGGCATTATCATCATTCTCTTTGGTGGCGCGCTGTTAAGCATGTTGGTTCACCAACGCAGAGGTTGAGAGTTTGATACTATTTATTTGTTTGTTGCCTCCCCGTTTTCCTCTTAAGTTTGTAGTTTTCTCTCTGATACTCTCTGCTTCGTCTCGTCCCTTCATTACCACCCTCTATTGTCCACCTGGTGGTTCATCCCTTAGTGCAAGTCTATCAGCTAGAAGATCATGGGTTTTTGCGCCTCACAAAGGAAGAGCCACTTGGCGTGTAACAAATAGTTTCTTGATGAATCATAACTGGATTGAATCCTCAGAGATTTACATTTCTGGTCAGTAGTAAAGTACTATCCTTTTCTGCTCATTTTGAAGGAATATGTGATGCCTGCACTCCACACTCTGAGAAGGCGTCTTCTTACTCACTGTGTCTGACGCTGTGACCTTTCCACAAACAGCAGGTGGTGTAGTCTCCACAGCCTACAGCTCTAGTGTGACACAGTGACCGTGGCTAGTACAAAAAGCTTTGTTCAGCTGATGAGCAAAAGCCTGGACCTCGTTAGCTTCTCTTTTCTAACCCAGTTCCCATAGTAGCTGCGCAGAGGAGATCATTACATCTGTTTGCTGACTAATTACTGCCGATCTGTGTCGTTCTGCACATGTAACTGGCCAGAATACATACTAAAGACACTGTAAGTGGTCAGAGTACGTAATAAAGATCATGTAACTGGACAGAATATGTACTAAAGACATTGTAACTGGCTAGAAAATGTACTAAAGGTTTTGTAATGGATCAGAACACATACTCAAGATATTGTAACTGACCAAAGTACATACTAAAAATATTGTAAGTGGCAAGAATACATGCTAAAGGTACTGTATTTGGCCAGAATACTGACTAAAGATTTTGTAACTGGACAGACACTGACCAGAATACATGCAAAAGATATTGTAATTGACTAGAATACGTACTAAAGATCCATAGTAAACATATTGTCATATGTACATATTTACACTGTTCTGACATCTCCAAGTCTCCAAGCCAACCAAGATAGACAGTTATACAGTGACACATGCACTCAGCTCATCTTTACTCCTGGCTATTTACCTTTAATTAGTGCAGGGCTTACTGAACAGATTCCCTACACAAAGAAAAAAACATAGCCACACTTGACAGCCACACTTGACCCCCACACATTTAATCGTTCTAGAGTTCATTTTACAAGACAGACACTTTTTTATTGTGGTTTGTTGTTAATAGTTATGAATCATCTATTATCCTTAAGTCCTGCTTCCTCTCAGTGGTTCTTCTTCGTGTTCTTAGGGAGTCTTTCCACTGTCTCCCTCAGCAACACTCGTTAGGGGACTTAACCTGCATTTCTGGAAAGCTGCTTTGGGACAGTGTTTGTTGAAGCAAATAAAATTGATTTGAGATGAGTTGATTTAAAAGCTAAAAAAGCCTGTGCCATATGTATTGGTGTGAATGTGTACCTGTCATCTATCCCTGTCTACAGAGTCAGTCATGTTCTAGTTGGTTGATGAGTGTCTAGCATTATGCAGTGATGCAGGCTCTGTTGACTGTAATAGAGAGGTCTAAAGTGGGATTGATTTTCATAGAGTGAAAGTTCTTTACATTAATAGCTTTTCTTCTGTGTGTTGTAATATGATGTTCTTATCTTGTTTTTCCTCCACTGCTCTCTCTCTCTCTCTCTCTCTCTCTCTCTCTCTCTCTCTCTCTCTCTCTCTCTCTCTCTCCTACACTTCCACCCAAACAGCGGGTTTTCAGCCCCACCTGCTGGACCCTCTGATGAAGTTTCATTTCACACTACGCAGACTACACTTAGATGAGACGGAGTATGTGCTGATGCAGACGATCTCACTCTTCTCACCAGGTACACTACACACATTTACAATCAAAGTATTGCAAAACTGGGCTGTATCTATTGGTATTGCAGTTTGAGTGGTATATAGCAATTATGTATTTTTAGGTTTAGCAATGTTGATAGGTAAGTTAGTTATGTGCCATTTTTGATTATAATTAATAAATAGTACTTTTTAGATTTTCAATGCTGTGTAAACTTCCCTTTGGAAGCACACAGTCCATTCAAAACAAGCTATGTCAGGTTTATGTATTCTTTAAGCACTCAGGACGTATGGGTTCATTAACTGTATTAACGCTAACTTGGATATCATCTGATACCATAACATATTTGGAAAATATCATATCAAGATCACCCAGCTGTACATTACTTTGACTGTTTCACTATCATCCTGTTTTTGTCCCATTAGATCGGCCGGGTGTGACGCAGCACAGCGTCGTTGATAAGTACCAGGAGATGCTGTCCTTAGCGCTGAAGACCTATATTGAGACCAAGAGAAGTGGCCCAGAGAAATAGTAAGAACATTTAGAGCTGGTGTTCTACATACTGATTGAGCCTAGAGTCTTAAGTAGTGTTTGGACAGGATTAGTTTTCCATGGGAAGGTGGGTGATGCCAGGTTACCACAACGTGTCTGTAAGGTTTGTGATCAATTTGCCTGGTATAAGAAGTCTCAGTATAAATGACAGAGATGGGAGTGGCTATGTGGTTTACACACACTGCCTTTATTCCAGAAACAGCAGAAAACGTGTCAAAACATTTCATTTAGACGCTCTTCTGTTTACCCTAAGCATCTCTCATGCCATCTGAAGTGTATGCACTTTTTCATTATCTTGGGAATTCACAGCCAACAGTCAACATCACAGCATAAAATGTAAAATTTCTGTCATTTTTATGTTTGAATGTTTTTACACTTTAGGTAAAATAGTAACGTTACATATCAGCTTAATTTTAGCCTCAGAGAATACAAGTAAACACTTCTTTGGGTGTCTCCATACTTTTAGCAAAGGATGTCTGTAATGTTTATGACCAGTTTACATAGGATAAGAAATGGCAGTATAAATGACGGTGATGGGACTGGCTGCATGATTTACACACACTGCACACTCCAGTACGAGGCTTAATCTGTGTCCAGGGCTCTGTCTGCACAACAGTGGCAAAGCAACATGACTACTAGAAGGTATTAGACGATGACAATAATAATAATAATAATAATAATAATAATAATAATAATAATTTAACTTTATGGTGGCACCTCTCAACATAGAAATGCAGCTCACTAGCCAAAAAGCTGTGCAAATAGAACAAGCAAAACAAAAAATATAGAAACAAGGAGGTGGTCATAATGTTATGCCTGATCGGTGTATATATATATATATATATATATATATATATATATATATATATATATATATATAGGCTTCTTATTTGAGACACTGTGTCTTGCCACTTTACAGACACACACACAAACACACACACACACATATAAAGCTGTCAACACCTTGTTTCTGACTGTGACCTTTGACCTTTCCTTCTGTCAGTTTGCTGTTCCCCAAGATCATAGCGTGTCTGACCGAAATGAGGACTATGAATGAGGAATACACCAAACAAGTCCTGCAGATTCAGGACATCCAGCCGGAGGTGTCTCCACTCATGCTGGAGATAGTGAGCAAAAACAGCTAACCCCGCCTCCACTCTTCACTCTCCAGCTGCCTCACTGTGGATCAGACTTCAGCAACCAGCAACAGCAACGTCAGCCAGAGCTGCAGCTGAGTGTCACATGTTCAGATAACACCTTATTTATGGATATCCTTTCGTTCTTAAGGCGTTTTCATACCTAGTTCGTTTGGAGGAGTTTCAGATCCAGAGGCCATTTCCTCCTGTTTGATTGGTTTGGGCCAGTCATGCTCAAATGTGGACCAAAACAACTGGGCTGAGACCCTACTGAGATGGTGGTCTTGGTCTGGTTTTAAACAAACCCCAGAGCAGTTCGTCTAAACACAATCTGACTGATCAAAATTGGGTAAAATGTGCATATATTAGGAGGACTCTCTCATTATTATCTTTAACAAACCCTCACAATTTGCCCTTGAGGGAATCCCCTTTGAGGGTCAGTGGAGCAGTGGACAGCTGTTAATAAGCTAAGGAGGAGTTATAAAATACATAATGCTTATTTTATATAAGTTGAGAACCTCTGTATCTGTTTGGGCAAAGCATTCTGACTCATTTTGGTATCTGAGCATCCATAAGCATTCATGAATGGATTTCCAGTCAACTGGAACAAAAAAGAAAAACAGATTTCAACAGAAATGAAACATAGAGCTGTGCCTTACCATTTTAAATGACAGCAAATAGCACCTCGAGCGGTTAACCGAGTTCAAGTATCCATGCACATCCCTAGAAATCTGTGACCACTGATACAGATCCCCCAGGACATCACTTCAACTGGCTAAACTGTGCTTGCTGCTAACAGTAAGCACTCCTGTTGAATAAACTGCTCCACCCTGGACACTACATCCCCTACGCAGCAATGGCCACTTGTGATTTCTGAACTGTGAGGAGAAGTGAACAAGTATGTGTTAAGAGCACCAATGAAATCCTACTACACTGTTGTTTGTGGGTAAACAGGCTACTTCAGTTCAGTGTGTTGAAGATTGACCTGGACCAGTGAATAAGTACTTGGGCAGATGACTCTGCCAGCTGCTCAAGGAATACAGGAGTATGTGGTCATTTTAGGCTGTTGTAGATGCTCCATTTTCAATTCTCCAGGGGAAAAATTGTTACTGCCCTCCAAAATGTCCACATGGTGTGAAATAATACAGTCTAGTTCACTTAAAATTTTGCCAGATCAATGCAACTGACCCAGTAGAGAATTGTTAGGCAAACGGATTACAGGTCTGAAAACGCCTTTTGTTTCATAGCTAGAGGGCAGAACTGGACATGGTCAGGCCTTTTTCACTTCTATGCATTTACGAGGTGAAATTTCAGTGTTAGCAGTGTGCTGCCATCTAGTGTTCTGGAGCAGTACAGCTGAACTTCTTACAGCACAGAATTACAGATATGCATGCTGTTTGCTTTATGTTCAGAAAAATGAGTCTGGATATCAAAAGTGTATTTTGACCATGTCAAAGCGTTAAAAAAATCCAGTTTATTGATTTGTCTACAAGCTATTTTGGTCTCTATTCAGACTAGCAGTTTATGTCTAAACAACGCAGCTGTTACACCAGCAATCCAGTCCAGTTCAAGATGGACGAATGCAACTGAAACACATCCTCCTTAAAAAAAGGCACTCTTTACCTTTTGATGATGTGAGAATTAGAGAACAAAAGTGAGATTTGTCATCACCAGAGTGCCTTTTATCAACCATCTAAAGAATATGAGATATGATATATGATATATGATACTTGCGCCCTCTAGCTATTTAACTACATTCACACATAATGTACTTTCAGGGAAATTATGTTTCCAACATCAGCCAAGATCTACGTGTGCAAGACTGTCCGTCATGTAGCACTGGATGTTCTAACACTCAGAAGTGACCTGCTAGTAAGCATCACTTCCAAGGAGGTATAAATCCCACCAAAGCCAGATGAGAATGAGCACCGTGAGTCTGTGGACTGCTGAATCTAAACTACCTACAAATTTAGCACATCCTGTGAAAATGTATTTTTATCTCGTTGGTTTTGACTATCTGAACTGACAGGGTAGCTTCTTGCTATGCCAAATGTATATAATGCTGAATCTTCGTAAAGCACATGTTTTATGCTGTAGAACAATCACAGAGAATAATCACGTTCCCTTCGTGCCCTTGCCTTTGGAGAACAAACCTCAAGATGTATGTTATTTTCATATCATATGTACTGGATCTGGTATGACAGTAGATTTGATGCTGCACCACTCAGTCATCAGGTGTTGGGGAAGGATGAATGTGTGTGTGAAATGTAGGTCAGTCATTTTCATGTGATGAAGCAAAATAACCACGTAGACATGACAAGGCAAGGTTTACTAGTAAGGGTGTAACAGTATACTTTTGATTTTCAATACTGAGTACGCGATTGGATTTTGTTCAAAAAAATTTGAATGAACAAAAAAATGAAGACTGTATCTGTGGTGTTGCACAACTTACTAATGAGACTAGTAGTCTTTAGTAGCTCTCTGAACCAGAAACAGTTACAATTCATTCCACGAGATTAGTGCCATGATAATTCAGAAATTCATGTCAAGAAATCAGTTTTTCATCCCCTGCAGTCTCAACTGCATATTACTCTAACCAAAAATCAGATTTTTTGTGCCAAATAACACAGAATTTTAATCCCTGTTATCAAAGTTAGACTAATTTACACAGTTTTTCTGTGAATGTTGCACAAAAAAATTCTCTGTCCAATTTGTGCGATGAGGTGGACGTAATGCTCGACAGACCCTGTCAAAAAAGAAAAACACAATTTCATTATTGAGTTACAACAGAATTTACCAGCGGTTGAACTCCCTTAAGCTCCCCTGAAGGCTTAAATTGTCACTTGTCATATCTTAATTTAATGCAACTAGATTATTTTTTTGTCTAAATAAGTTGGTGTGACGAGAGAAGCAAAACTCAAGGATAGTTTTGCTCCTCTCTGATTTTTTTTCTTAAAATCAGTGTTTTTATATTACATGATATATGAAGTATCAATACACAAACATATATATTAGAGCGTGGCAAAGGTTTGATGACTTTTATTTTGTAATTTGAAATGGCGCTTCAGTGACTGTCTATAAGGACATGAAAATGCCCATATACATAAAAATATATATTAATGAATATGTTCAAGCTTGAAAGACACTTACAAGCAAATTTCTGTCCTTTATATGTTGCCTCAAATGTCATGGACTGAAATGGCTCATTAGTGATATCAGACATACTGACAAATGGCAATGGTTTTCACTATTCTGTTAAAAACACTATGATGATCCTAAAAAAAACATGGAATTAAGAGAAAAATCTCCTGCATTGCACCTGAAATCATTTACACTTTAGAAGAATGATTTGGCAAATATTTTCCACCCAGTCAATCAACCAAGACATGTTTAGAGTCCAAATTCTGCTTTTTAAGTTTGGCTACAAGGCTAAAGTTGCTAACAAACACTCGAAATCAATAGTCACCCAAATCTTTTCAGTAAATACATGCCCAAAAACGTCTCTCAACCCACTTAAACTGCATCAGGAGTTTCATTAAGATTCAGGACAAAGTATGACATACAGTGAGTATTAAAATAAACAAAACCTCACCGTGTGACTTAATGCAGCAGGCAGATACTTTAAACAACAGGTGCCTCCCTGCAGAATTTCAATCCCCTTCTCATGCACACATATAATGCAGGTGTATGGATGCTAGAATACATTAGAGATTTCTGTTTTTATGTTTATATATCACTCAACAATAGTTTGTAGAAAATGTTTGTATTATTTGTGCCAGGCATTGTGTCTCACAGCTTCTAATCACTGTGGTCTTGCTTTGGCAATTCAATCAATGTTGCCATTACTGTCTGACCTCTGTATCGAAAATGTATCATATCATGGAGAAAACACTGCGATACATATCAAATCGTTTCATCCCTATTTGCAGCCTTTGGTGCTCAAACAATACAACTGCATTGTTCATAGAGTTAATAGAATGCGTCTGATATTGTTCATCTCTGTGATGTGCACAGTCACATTTATGTATCATGATGTATTGTTACACCCTTACTAAAGGTGAGCCCATGCTGTGTGTGGTTCACGTTACCAGATTAACAGTTAGCAAAATTGTACCAGATCCAGGAACATCTACAATGACCTCATGAAAGTAAAAGCCATTAAGGTAACTCGAAAACAAGAAATATATATATATTATATTATATTATATTATATATATATATATATATATATATATATATATATATATATATATATATATGAATGTAAGAGTGATAATTTTAAAGGTTTATTGTGGCACAGGGAGGCACAGAAACCACAAAAACCTGCTGTACATAAGCTGTGTGCTCATGTTGATTAAATGTATGTGGTGGTGTTTGTAGTGGAGGAAAACAGGAACCATTGGAGAAGCCTTGCTGTACATGCAGCACATAGAGTTACTCTGCTTTTTGCAAGGATACACAGTGCCAACTCTCACCTACAGCTCATGCGTAACATTTACGTCTTTGACCTGTGGAAAGAAGCTGTCTGTTTAAAGCGAAAATTCAACATGATGCCTGGCTAGAAAAATACATATACATATATAGGTGTGTGCTGGCAAATTGAAGATTTTGTTATGTGATCGTGAATTAGTTCTCCTTTTCTTGTGACTTGTAGATGTTTTCTTACTATAAGGTAAATGATTTAATACTATTTTGAAATGGCATAAGAGATATTGTTAAACACACTTGTATACCTCAATGATCAGGACAGACAGGTTAGTCGGAGCTTATATAACTAAATAATGAGCTGAAGTCTGTGTGTAAAAAGCCTCTCAGAATAAAGATGGACTTCAGCCCAGAGCATGTATGTTGTAATAAGTGCATTTACAGTCGTCATGCTTACAGGTCCCCAGCAGCTGCTAATTTCTAATAGCTGTGGTTGTTGTGAAGTTCCATATTTCCTTACAGACGCCCTACATACCAGCTGAGGTCAGTCGTGGTTGGCTTCTCCTGTGGTGTATGGTGGGAACACGGCAAATAACTATACTGTTTGTAGAAGCTGTGCAGCAGTTTGTGAACGTGTTGAAGGGAACATAAGTCATCACAGCCATTCAGCACGACAGCACATTTACAGTTACAAACTCCACCGTTTGTGTAAAATAGTCTGTAGAATTAGAGAAAAGAACAAGACAAAGACGACACAGTGTAGACAAACAACCTCAACTAAAAGTAGCTAAGTATTATAATAATGATCATTATGAAGTAAATCAATATTAATGATGAAAATAATAGTAATAATGTAAATAATTGTAATGATTATTATTTAAATAAATACAAAGTGAATAAAAAGTACATAAAAACAAGATTAACAAAACAAAACAAAGGTTATAAAAAATTTTAACCCTCTTTATGAATTTATGTACTGATTGTCTCTGATACATTGTTTTTGGTGCAATAAATAACATCAAACATCACATTTGGATGAAAATAACATTGAGAATTACTGTTTAGCACTATTATTATTATTATTATTATTATTATTATTATTATCATATAGTGAACCCACCCTGTGCTTTACATTATTGAGGAGCTTCTACTTCAAACATTACAGCTTTCGAGTCGCAGCTTTATCACATCATTTTCTGTAGTCATAGCAAAGCGTTTATTTTGAATCTGTGAGTGATGATTGTCAGGCCTGTGGATCAAATGATGCACAGTCCAGTCTTTGTAGAGGGGGACAGAGTTGTATGGTCATCTAAAACAGCTCAGATGTGCCTTTATTATTGGACTGAGGAGACCCTGAAATGCATGTAAGAGAATAGGGAGTCTCTCTCAAATGGTCCTCTTATGCCTAAGCAGCTCATTTCCGGTTGGAAAACAAAGTTGGGGGCCTGAATCACCTGCACATGTGTTTATTGGCCAAGAAAATGGCCTTGTGTCCTGCCTCTTTGGCTCAGAGTTACAGTGCCATCTGCTGGACAAACCTCTAATTGGGCTGCTTTAAAGAATCATTCCAGCATTTTTCAACCTAATTTCTATCTGAAGCATCTGTATCATCCAGGCTGCTACAGTGGATAATTTCAACACATTTCCCCTTCCTTAAGCCATCCATCCATGTTTTGGAACATGCTGTCCAGGGTGGAGACTCAAAATGGGGCTTTCTATGTGTTTGGCATTGTGGACGTGATCACATTTATAGGTAAATTTGGCATTACTTTTCATTACACCATAGTGCAGAGGAATATGCAGCACTCTGTTCTTTCAAATGGGGCATCAACTCAACTGCAAATATTAAAAATACCTCAGTGATTCTAAAGATCTGGAAAAATCTAACTCCATAATTAAAGGAGTTACAAAAATTTCTGGCAGAAATTTGACTTTTAATTTGATGTGGAATATCTAATTACAGAGCTCTGCCAGGCTTGCACAGTCACTCTGCTTCAGCTTCACAGTGCACCCTATATTTTGTGCAGTGCACATGCTTAGTGTTCTTATGAAGGTGTGGCATTAAATTTGAGGTACTATCGATCCACACATTTGGACAGAGAGATTTCCGAAAAACGCTGTTGGTGTCAAACCTCTTGTCCAAGGTAATCAACTATCTGCAACAGATGTGGCAGACAAAGTGAAAGGTGCTGGAGTCTTCCTTTAAAATGCTAATCATCAGCTTCAACTGACCATTCAGAAGCAAAATCTGACCTTAAGGCAGGACATTTACAACACCAGGTCACAGTAAACACATGCAGCACAAACATAAACCAGATTTTATTAAATGTTTCTCGAAATGTGAGTGTGTGCGAGTGTGTGTCCAAAGCTTAGCACTGAATCGCTTTAAATGTAATGTGTTGGTTTATTCAGACAAAACTGTTTACAGATGGTCAGAGTATCCAGAACATGCTACACAGAAATGAACAATCATCATCATTGAAGCCATTTGCGTCTGTTGTCTGAATACCTGTTTTGAATGTGACCGTTAGATGTCGATGTCCCTCTCAGGAAAATAAATGGAAGATTTAAGGTAAATGTGTCTGGTGTTTATTAATGTCTGTCTTTCAGTAGACAAAACATCTGTGGTCCAAATAGTACAAAAGAATAACGAAACACACCATTAAGGATGTGTGCGACACTTTATTCTGAGTGGGCCTTTTAGATTGAACAAACACTCAACTTACGCTCAGTAACATGGCAAAAACATATGAGGGTCAGGATTAGGTTTTGGGTTGAGGTTAAGGTCAGGGTTAGGATTGGGGCCGGGGTTAGGTTTAGGTTTAGGTTTTGGGTAAGGTTGTATAAGGTTAGGTTTTTGCATAATGGAAGTAACATATTAACTAAACATCTACTTAATGTAAGTAATGTATCAACAGAACATCTACAAGATATTTACTTCAGTGTATTCAGATGCTTCACTACTGCTACTTCACTGATATGTTGTTGATGTGTTACTGATAATCTGTTAAGAGTTTATTAATCATCTACAAAGGATCACTCCAAATAAAGTGTTACCAGGATGTGCATTATGACTTTGGTCATCACTGATTAACCACAGGGAAGGTTTAAAAATAATTTACTGAAATTAATGTAGGACTAATGGCTTACCTTTATTTAGGCTACAACACCGGTGTTGCACTAAAACATTAGCAGCACACAGAGAAACGCCCTTCAATTTTTTATTCAATAGCAGAGAGAAATTGGTAGGTTATCATGTTGGATGAGAAACAGAGGCTCTTCAGATAAGCTAACACAGCTAACATGCTGATGAAAACACTGTCTACTAACGTGACCTTTTCTCATCAATGGACAATGTGGCAACGTGTTAGTCAGAGAAATATACAGGGTGATTCAAAAAGATTCATCTGATTTCAAAGTGCCATATTTTTACAACTGTGAGGCGCCTAGGAACCAATCACATACCAATTGAAAGAGGGGGTCACAGAGTTCCTGACCGTCACCGGAAGATGGTTCTCCCTTCAGCCTGCGAGGAGATGGAGACCCTTGAGCAGAAAGCATTTTGCATTCTCCACCTCAATAAGAGTGAAGCGGTCATAACTGTGCAGTGTGATTTTCATGGGCAATGAACCTCCAACAGCTCAGAGCATTCGGCGTTGGTTCCAAACACTGGATGATCTCCGAAATCACACTGAAAGAGCTGTGAGTGCAGTGACGCCCGACATGCTCAATCGAGTATGGGATGAATCTGACTATGGCGTTGATGTTGTCTGTACAGCTGGAGGAGGTTCATATTGAGCACCTGTAAAATTACATACTAAACTTTATGCTCATTTAAACCATTTACAGTTTACTGCATTGTTCCGTGATGATTTCATAGTGATTTTCAAATCATTTTGAAATCGGATTAAACTTTTTGAATCGCCCTGTATTTTCACTGTTTTTGGACCTATATAACATCAGCTAGAGGAACTTAATTCAGTTATGTTAGTGATAGAGCTTCATCTTCTCGGTCATATTCTTAACAATGCGTCTGTGGCAACGCACCCATGTTAAAGCCCTCCTGTTTCGGAGCAGTTCCCACTATGGTTGCTCTGTTGTTCCCACAGTGGACAGATACACCGTCCAGAAAAAAAAAAGGGTACAGTACATGTATATTTTGCCCCTCACCCTCAATGGTACAACATGGTCTTCACTGTCGAATTGTCTTACTTGTGGAACTTATCTTAAATGTGAAGAGGCATATTTACACTAGGGATGCACAATGACATCTGAATCAAATTGGTATCAGCAGATATTTGCTTAAAAATAGATCTTAATCGTACAGATGTTTAGATTTAACCAATATTTGATGACATATCTGCTGTACTCTTGAAGAGCAGGAAGTTTAGGCAGCACTGTGCTAAAATGTGTGCGCTTCATTCATTTTACTGCATTTGAAACACTCTAGAAATAGATATTTCTCTGTGATGCCAATCCAGGTGGATCCAGTTCCAGTTGCTATCTGCATCAGCCCACTACTTCCACATCAGTGTATCCCTAATTTCCTGTATTAAATAACTGTTTAATACAGGAAAGTAAACAGACGGACTGGAGTTGAGACACTGTGCCTGTTTCTTAAACTTTTTAGTTCATCACTTAACTTTAAAACAAACATTGAGACAACAAAAACATCCCTTTTTGTAGATGAATTTTCTGAAGTGCACTATCAAATCAAAAACACTGAAAACAACTGCTTATCCAACATTACTTCTGAAATCAAGTATATTAAAATAGTGACTTTGTCCCCCTTTACACTGCAGTAACAGCCTCTGGATGTTGGAACATTGCTGTGAGGATTTGACTGAGCATTAGTGAGGTCAGGCACTGATGTTGGATGATCAGTTCTGGATCTTGCAGCTCATCCCAAAGGTATTGTATACCAGAGAACACAGCTCCACAGCCCAGTGCTGGGGGGCCTTATACCCCAAGAGCTGATTCCTTGCATTGGACATGGTGACCTTAGGCTTATGTGCAGCTGCTCCAGAGCATCCCATTCTATTGGTCAGTGTTTTCTACCTGTGTCAGCACTGGGTGCACCTTAAAGTTCCTGAGTTCACTAATTGGAAGAGATGTCCAGATACTTTTGGAGAGTGTACATCTGAAGTCTTTTCACTGATGAGGCTACAGATCAAGAGCGGTGAAATCAGACAAACAAGACATGGAACAAGCATTTGTTCATTTCCAAGCTATCCTACTCTTTATTTAATGCAAATTACAGTACCAGGTAACTATTCTCTGAATCCGAGTCACACCAAGGACCAAAACGGACATATTTACAAGGAAAGGAGACATTTAGCATACCTTCACAGAAAAAAGTATATATTTAAAATAAAATAAAAATTTCAGTCACAAACAGAGGCATTCAAGTAGTAGTAATGTTATACAGATTGGATTTTTTTTCCTTTTTTTTTTTGTTTTAAACCAAGACAGCTTTCCCCCAACAACGTACGTCATGTGATGTCTGTATACAACTGACAGTCTGTAAATATTTTTTGTCTTTTCTGTTTAAAACCTTTGTGTCTTTACATTTTTTTACTTATTTAACTTTAGTCACAAGAAGTGGTCACACCGTCCGTGGAAAGAAACACATCTATGAATGCAAATCTTACAAGCAAGCTTTACACACGGGTTGAAGGAATGAAGGACTGACAGGTGCTACGTGACACCCCTGAGCGCTGCTGCTGGCTGGCCATTGCACTGGTCAATGGAGAGAAACATACACATACAGACATTATTGCCCATGAGGATGTGACTCTGGTAGGACGAGATTAAGAACGGACATTTGGGTCCAAAGGGACAGTTCTCTGTGATTTTTCTTCGTCTACAAGCACAGCTCCACCAACACAAAACACAAAAGTAATAAAAATCCTTATCTTTGATAGCCCAGGTGCGACGATTTTGATCAAACATTTGTTCTTGATTATTAAGAATTAATAAAAAATGCAGTATGATAAAAAAAAAGTATAAAACTGCTTTTTATTGCATTCTCAATCTTTCTCTACTCACGAACAGTTACTGGACACCGAATTCGCAGGACCAGTATAAACATTCACTATTAAAACATGTAAATACAGCCATGATTTATTTAATGCTACCGTGTTTGTTGCAGCTGAAAAGCGGAACATGAACAATCAGCCAGTGGGTAATATTTTTTGACGACAGCTCCATTTGTGATGGCGTTCAGGAAGTCGACTACACATATGCCAAGATACTTTGGTGAAAAAGTAAACTGCATATTTCACCTGGACAAACAGCTCAGTGGAGTTTTCCCCAACATGGACTCAAAAAAGATGCTTAAAACTTTACTTGAACCTGTGACATAACAATGGTGTAGCCATACCATTAACAAGTCATGCATGCAGTCATGAACTGTCTGATAGATTTTGTTAATGTAACTGTGTCATGTTGCCATTACCAGCAAAGTTATGACAAATGCCCAAATGGATAATGTCATGAGATCTTATGTCACATGCAAATTTTTTGCTAAATGTTCTCAACATAGTTATCAAGATATCAAAAATGATACCAAATATAGTCACAACCTTGCAGTGTGATTGGCTGAGAGGCATTCTAGAAGTGCCAATATCTCCTCATAATGACCCTGTGAACACACCTCCTTTAGTATCACTCTGCCTCATTCGCCTGTAGCTTAGAATGAGAACCACTTGTTCAAAAAGTATCAGACAACTTTTTACAAGTATCAAGCCTGCCGAAAAAACTAATGACAGCAAGCAATCCAAGGACAAAACCAGAACACTTCCATTGTAATCAATAAATGTGTGTATACCAGACACGTATAGAAGAGCTCCCTGGTTTTATTTTCGACAAGTTACGTCACACTGTGTTGATGTTCCACCTTAAATACTGCAGTTAAGCCAACCGCCTTTCATCAAAACACTGATAAACCTTTCTCTAACGTTTAGAAGGAGACAGTTAGTCTAGTAGAAGCTTTAGTTAGTAGTACTGTATTTAATCTGCTGTGAGCGATATTGCTGTTAAATGTGTTACACAAAGTGTGTAGCCAGTTCTGTTTACTGTTTATGTTTCGTCTTGACGAGCAGTTTAGATACCCTGAATTTCTTCGGTTGCTGTACTTTATTTAGGTTACGTTCACATTACAGGCCTCACTGCTCAATTCTGATTTTTTGCTCAGATCCGATCTTTCTAACTCGATGGCTCACATTCGTATAGTGTCTCAAATGTGTCAATGTGAACAAATCTGCGTCCTGAAACAACCTGCAGGCGCACATCCTAATTAATAACATTACATGAATGAACACATGCATCAGGAACAATAAACTATCCAACTGAACAAGCCTTTACCGTGAAGATAATTTACTCTGAACAGCTCTCGGCTGTTCATTATTACAGTGAGACGAAGGCGTAAAAGGGTCAGATGCTTTTGCAGCGTTTTGCACTGGCACTAACTTCAGGTGAGGCGCTCCTGCCACGTTAACACTGAATGATGGTGCATGTGCAGTGAAAAATGAATTATGACCTGACCTTTCTCATTAAGGTTGCATGGCCATGACATGGACATGCATCTGATGTAGGACCACATATGAAACTGATCTGAAAAGATCAGATCTGCATGTCCACACAGCTCTGAACACACAAGGCAAAAAATCTGGTTTGTGCCACTTCAGCCTGGTAATGTGAACGTAGCCACTGCAGTGTTTATATGCAGCAGTTCTAGATCAGAGCTGTTTTCCTTGTTGTATGATAAATATCCCAAAACCAAATAATAAAAATGAATAATCAGTATAAATGCAATAATACACTCAAGGTTGTGCTATACCATGACATAGACTGTGCGACTGTGCTATGTCTACTATACGGAGGGCTGCAGTCCGCCTATAATTACATACAGCACTGTAATTATGACGTTGTGACTACTGGTAAGGGAAACATCACACTGGTCATATTTCGTTTACGTCAGTGTTATGCAGCACGGTTCAAGTGAAGTGTTACTAAAAGCATATTTAAAATAAAGTGATGATGACAAACAGTGGGGGCTTTCTCAGCTGACCAGTCAGCAGCATCTGCAGAGGCTCACTCAGGAAGGGTTACAGTACTGCGTGAGTAAAGGGTGATGGGGAGAGGAGGTGTATGGAAGCAAAGGCACTCCAAACTATAGATACACTATACAGTTACTACTTATTGTTACAATATAGCTGGCACCTACTGTACAGAGAAGATTGAACTATATGGCTGGAGAAAGCTCCTCATCTACAGTATCCAACAAACAGTTAAATTTGCCCTGATCTTCTCAATGCTTTTCTCAACTTTTTTGAGCTTTTATTATTATTAATTTTTTTATATTCTTTTAATGTTCTCATCTTTGTTTTTGCTCATTAACAGTTCTCAGGTCAGCGTATGTACATACCATGAAAACACACAAAAGAAAAAAAATAATAAAATAAAACTTTTTATATATATATATATATATAGATATAAAAAAACAAAAAAAGTACAAGCCGGAATTTGGCAAGGAGCAACTGTGCTGTACTGTATTTACACCTTTTGCTGCTTTCTTGATTTTCTTTTACTGCCATGATTTAAACCTTTGCATTAAGACGTTCTGAAGAAAAACAACAAAATGTACAGAGCTTTTCCCACTCATAAAGTTAGAGGATGCTGAGTCAGGAAAGAAAGGCAGAAAACATTGCTCAAGTAGTGGTTACAACACAGCCTCAATGATCAATGATTCAACATGGAAAAAAACGACATCCCCATCATCGCTGACAGCCAGCATAGTCTTTAACTTAACGACATTGACCGTGTATCGCCTCGGCTATGACACCATTCATGTTCAGGTACAAACTAATATTACATCGAAGTCTACTGAATGCCGAAGCTTTCAAGTTCCGCACTCAATCTATTTGTTTATTTTTATTTCTTTATTTGTTTTTTGAAAAGTGCAAACAAACTTTTTTTTCCTTTTTCTTTTTTTTGATGCAACTCGCGGTGTGACCAAAAAAGGAGGCCGAGCACAAACCTGAGGACTACTGACACAGAGGTGACCAATAAATAACAGAGGAAAAAACGAGGGCTAGAATTGGATCTACAGTCCTACAGGGTCGACAAAACTGCAGAAAGGAGGGGCACATTAGCGAGAAAATCCACCGTTCCTGGCTAAACGTGCCCCCATTTGGATCTGTATGTGTGTGTATATATATGTGTGTGAGTAAAATCTGAGTCGTCAGCAGCCAGTTGGCTACCACATAAAAACCTTAACCTCTGGCCTTGATGATCTCTGAATCGATGAATACTTGATATATATCTATATACTGTATACCTATATATACTTTTTACATAATGCAAAGTAATATATAAACTGTGTATGTATTTATATATGTATATATATATAATACAAGAACACAGAAACAGAGACATGTCAAACACGTCTCTCGTGTCAATCAAAACATCTGCCCCTCCCCACCCAACCCCATAAAGTTCCCATTTTTCAGTACAAAATAAAATAACACAAACATAAAATCATACGTGAGGATTAAAAACTCCTAAATAAAACTTCAGACCACACTGATCTTTTTTTCAGTTGGCTTTGTCACTGAAACATGCACGGCTGTTGGGCTGCTTGCTGCACACAGCAAGAGTTATTTGTATATACGATACATAAAAAACAAAAAACAAACAAAAAAAAATGGACTATCATGTTAGCAATTCCTGGACTCCTGTATGCCGCTTTATTTTACCTGCTAATATATTACTGGATGCTCCCAACCAAATTCAAGCCATGCACTCCTGGACTTGCCAGAAGGGGGCGTTGGTGTGCAGGGAAGGTGAGAGGAAAAGGAGGAGATAAAAGGACAGAAATGAGAGAGAGAGAGAGAGAGAGAGAGAGAGAGAGAGAGAGAGAGAGAGAGAGAGAGAGAGAGAGAGAGAGAGAGGAGCCCATTTGAACAGCAGGCTCGCTAAACTGAGATGGAAGAAGATGGATTTGGCTACCGGATTGCTTTGTGATTAAAAGATTGTCCACTGAGAATGAGAAATGTTACCTACACAACAGGTCTGATACGGGGTCTCCCCCCCGTCCCCTCGCTCACTGCTCTCTCTTTCACTCTCCTCAACTCTCTCCAGAAATGACACTCAGAGCTGCTTCCATGTACGTTGGTGAACTCTTTCTGGACAGTGTCGTAAAACACTTAAATAAGGGTAGGCTCTTGCAGTCTTGAGTAAGTGTCGTGGTTAAGATGATTCAAACCCCACCCAGTTCAGCTATGGAGCAGTGGGGCGTGGCCCTGGAGGGCTGGGCTGGATGCGACTGGCTGGGGCAATCAGGTGGAGGTGTTGGAGGCGGAGGCAGAGGCTGCAGTGGTGGTCTGACCACGATCTCCACTGATGCCATCTGGACAACAAAAAGAGAGAATCTTTACTGTAATGAACCCCACGATCACAGAAACAGTGCATTAGAGCAGTGAAGGCTGGGGGGGTTTCAAAAAGCAGGATTTCACAGGAAGCTGCTGACTTAAAATGTCTTTAACTTAATCTCTTTCTGCAGCACCTGCACCACAATTTCAACACGTCTCTGTACACAGTAAAACACACTTATGATAAAAGGTGAAGCACCTGGCCACTGGCTTCTCCAAGAGACAGCAACTCTCATGACTCGGTTCAGACTTGCGACGACTCATGACTCGACTCAGACGCGCACTTAACCAACTCGTAACACAACTCTGATTTAATGGACTCTGACTCACTGTGAACTGACTTGTGACTCAGATTCACTCTGACTTGACTCAGGACTCGACTCCGTCTTAACTGACTCATGACTCAACTTGGACTGACGCTTAACTGACTCATGACTTGGACTCATGCTTAACTAACTCATAACTGGGACTCACGCATAACTGACTCCTGACTCTGACTCCATTTTAATGGACTCATGACTCAGACTTGCACTTAACCAACTCGTAGCTTGAACTCTGAACTGACTCGTGACTCAGACTCTGTGTGAATGGACTCATGACTTGACTCAGACTCACACCAAACTGACTCTGACTCGTGACTTAAGACTCAAAGAACAAAACAGACTGCCAATCTTAATGCGGTACATGAATAAAATCTCAGTTTTACAGTCATCACAGTGTTGGGGTCTGAGGTCATTGCACTGTGGGTACTCATCCTTTTGAGAAAAAAGAAACTGCCAAACATGTGAGTATCAAACCAGAGGGGCAGGAAAGTTAAACTTGCTCTGCTCTTACTCACAGAGACTTGAGAATCAACCTGGACTCACATGAAGTGACATGAACATCTCTGGCTTCTACTATAAGTTATGAGTTTCTATTTTATTCTGTGTACAAAGAAATTTACTTTCTCTCAAGTCCACTGCATGTTACAGAGCAGCAGACAGAGATTAGGTTGAAAATTGACAGAGTATTTCTTTAAATCAAGAGAGATTTTACTACTGGGCTGTACGATCTTTAGCTATCTGGTCTAAGTTATCTGGTTACCTAAAAAAATCCTGCTTTGTAAAATACCACCCCAGGTGACTAATACAGCAGTATTCCTTAGCTAACTGTTAACCCTGTCCTGAGATGAATCTGATACACTGGCTACTAAGAATGGTGTACCCAGAGAGAGAGAGAGAGAAGGAGAAGTGGAGAAAAAGGAGACAGACCAGTAGTGGAGGAGGCATTGGTGGGGGTGGAGGCTCCGGCCTGATTACGCGCATGAGCAGGAATCAAGATGGTGGCCAGGGATGGGTTACTGGACAATTCTGTGAGAAACAAAAAGACATGAGTTTTTAGTAACTGCATTTTCAGTCTTCATTATCACCAATGATGACAAAAGCAAAGTGTGATATTTCTAACTTACAACACACTAAAAATTCTGCAGATTCCTTTGAAACCACATTTGTGTTTGTAAGTGAAAAGAGATGTTTTAATATTATATGTATCTGATTATGTCCATGCATGTCCAGTCTTTCCAGTTTTGTCAGAAAAAATAATGTTATATTTGTCATGTTTTGGTAATGCTTTTCACTGAATTAGAAACTAAAGGAGTGCAGACCTGAACTTGTCAACACACAAACAAAAGAACGCAAACAATTCATTATGTAGTTCTTCATGTAATCACATTTAAATATTACAACAATATACAAATAATATTTGACTCTAAGGATTAAATATGTGGTATAATGTAACAAATAAAAGTGATCATCCACATAGTTTCTTTGTATGAAAGCAGTTTTAACCTTGAGTGGTGAAGTTAAATAGCGATGGCTTCTCTCGCCCATTGGGGAGTTTGATGTTAGGGTCCCGCAGTTCGTCGAAGAAGGAGTGTGCGCAGGCCTCGAGGGGTGTGAGGCGGGCGGTGGGTGTGTACTCCAGCAGCCGAGAGCACAGGGCGATGGCTTCGGGGGGCGTGCGTGGCCGGAACACCTGCAAACCAATCAGCAGAGGGCACAGTTAGTGAAGACATCAGCACACAGGCCGCAATCTACCAACCAATGAGCGCAAGGATTAGCAAACAAACAAGTGCGTGCAGTATCAGTGAGGAGACCAAACAGACGAGCTCCAAACAATCCTCATTCAATAATGAGAGGAAAAAACAGGACATTCAACATTTACTTCTAGCTTAACCAGTCTTATTAGGATCCTGTACAAGACACTCTCCACTTATTTGAGATTTCCTGAAACTAAGCTGATGCTACTCTGCTCAGACATTTATTCAGCTGATTAAGGACCTATGGTAAAGCGAAGCCTTTGTATGAGCGTGTGGTATTGACCCAGTGCAGTTTTTCTCAGTGTATATACATACATTTTATCAGGTCTTAATTGGAGGGGGGATGCAGGGGAATGCCACCCGTCCAGTCAAAAAAAATCTCCATTGCCAAAAACAGGTAGAGGTGTAAGTATAAAAAGGGCTAAGATGTCTACACGTTCACTTTATACTGAATTAGAGTCAACAGTCTGCACTTTATATTGGTGGTGGGCAATATGATAATTATTCATTATCATCAGGCCAGTCACGATTATTACATAACTGCCTGATCGCAATCGTTTGACATAATCGCAATCATTTAATCTGACCACAATTATTTCTCCATCATACTGCATTACAACATGCATAATGTGAGCTGGACACATTTTGGCTTGAGCCAAATAACTGTAAATAAAAGAAAATCAAAGAAAGAAAGTCTTTCAGTTTTAACTTAAAGTCCTCACTTTAAACTGTGTGCTGTAAGAGTGTAAGTTTGTGCACTGCAGTATATTGCATATATAATCGTTGAATAAAAATCCTTGCTTTCATAGTACATGCTTTAACATGGCTCTTTGAGTTCTTTTTTCCCCTCTGTTCCAACTGATCGAATCTATCGTCTTCAAGTATCATGTTTAATACAATGTGCTGGAATCCAGAGCAGAGATAACACAACATGTGTCACAGTTCAATTATTTATCACCTATAGTGTTTCAGCAATGTCTGTATTTATTGAGTTTATGTGCTGCATAATGTTTCGGCTTTATATTTTATAACTGCCACTCTATCACAGATAAAGTAAGCAAATAGAGTCTAATGCCTTAAAATTTTTGTCCAGAAAAAAGAGGGAAGAATAGAGCAGAAAAAGCAGAGAAAGGAAGCAAGAGATTAAAACTGATTCCAGTCAGACTAGGCCTCTTGTGCTATTGTATGTACTGTGGGGAAAGACCACCAGAGGGCATCAGGCAGCTCCCGACAATAAGAACTACAGATACCCTGAACTGGGCTGAACTCTGATATACAAGACTATTTACCAGCTTTAAATGTAGATTTTTTTTTTTATTTTAAAACTAGCAGTTTTTTATTACTGGCCAAAAGAAAATATTGATATTTGTTGTGACGTGTTGTAATGGTGCTGTTTTTGTGGATGCTGTTTTTCTCCACATGCAAAGATTCACACTAACAGCTAATGAGCTGAATCAGGCATGTTAGTGCAGGACTACTTCAGAACATAGGCTGGGCAACACTGGGCTAAAGCTACTATTCAATTCTTCAACTTCTGATTCTGATCAACATAAATGACCTACAGTTAAAAATGGCTCAGAATGGGAGAGCAAATGCACTATATACTGGCATAACACCTTGAGAGTTGAAAGAACAAATAAAAAGAGCCTTTTGGCTTAATCTGGATTTTTATTTATAAACGTGTACAAGGACTAAAGAACTAAAGTTGTCCACCTAAGAATATGGTAAATGTGTATTACTGTGAGCACTGTTGCTTCTGTTTGAACATTTCTACTGCTGAATAGAGAGTATTTTAGCACAGTAACAGAGTGTGTCAATGTTTTAAAAATACAACTTGGTTGTGGAAAAGATTTTCTTAAGAGAGAACAACCCTACCTCTGTGCCTTAGGGACACGACAAATGAAGAGAAATAAATTCATCTGTGACAGACGTGTGACAAGTAACAGCCTGATGATCCATACCAAACCTTTGGCTGCTTCATTAATTGTACGCTGTATGTCCGAAAGTATCTTGACAGTTTTCTTCTAATTAGCAAATTCAGCTACATTAAAATGCACCCACTGCTGACACTGGGGTTCAACTGTGCATGCTTGCATGTATATTCTCCATAGAAACTAGATGTTCTGGAGCAGCTACGCATGAGCTTAAGGCTGCCTTCAGATGGTGGAGCCCAAAATGCCGTTATATCCTAACACAGGACGCAGAATCCACAGCCTCTACATTCCGTCATGTTTTTTCACCATCAGCCAACGTGTTTTTCCTCCACAGATCTTTCACACCAGATTTTTTTTTTTTAATTTTTACCCGATTTTCTCCCCAATTTAGTCGTCTCCAATTCCACCCGCTAGTTAGGACTCCCCCAATCATCACGCTAGGAGGGTGAAGGCTAACACAGGCTTCCTCCGAGACCTGTGAAGCCAACCACCGCTTCTTTTCGAGCTGCCGCTCACGCAACGTCATTGGACAGCCGAACGTGCTCGGAGGAAAGCGCCAACCGCCAGATCTGTTACGTCAGCTAACAGATGCCTGCGCTGGCTAGCATCGCACTGAGTGATGGGGAGAGAAGGGCAGCCATCCCACCCACCCAGAGAGAGCGAGGCCAATTGTGCTCTCTCGGACTCCCGGCTACGGATGGCTGTAGCATCACCAGGGATCGAACTCGCGATCTCCTGATGATAGGGCCAACGCTTAGACGGGTGCGCCACTCAGGAGCCATTCACACCAGACTTTTCACAAGGTAACCAATCAAAAAAGAGAGCAGGGAAAAATGAACTAGGCTGTACAGTCAGACACTGTGGCTCACACTAGCACAAATAAGCGCTCACTTCTTTGGTCCTTTAATTTTGTGTAATGTGTGATGTATCACTGAACTTCCCATCCATAACATTGTCCACCAGATCCGCTCCTCCACTGTGCAAAACTTGTCCCATGCAGATTCCCCACAGTTCAGACGTGCTTTCTTTTACAGAATACACTCTGTCCGAACACAGCCTAAGCATCGACTACAGAGGAATAAGGCTGCCCAGCATTTGACTGTAGAGCAGTGGAACATCCAATACCTTCGGGATGAGGTTTATTGAACATCAGTGGCTGACCTCACTAATGATCTTGTAGCTGCATTCAATCAAATCCTCACAGCAACATTCCATATCTAGTGTAAAGCATTCCCAGTAAAGGAGTTCAAACTCTATTAATACCCTTGATTTCAGAAGAAATGCTGAATGCGCAGATTCTACAAACTTTGGGATGTACAGTGTACACACACTCAGTGAGCCTGGAATTGCTGTCACAGACAAATCTGATATGGTGTTACAGAAAAATGCATGAGCAGACTGGAGAGCCTTAAACTAATTCATGTTTCCAAATCATGCATGGTGGAACTGATCAGGATGGCCTGGACATTTGATAGGAGAAAGCAGTAACAGACTGCATCCCTGCTGAAAATTAATACAAACTGACTAGAATAGTCAGCCGAACAGGAAAAGCTCTGAAAGTAAAGAAGAAAAACAGCCTTGTCATCAGACTGGCGAGGATGAGAGTGATCAGCATGCAGTCCACTGTGGTTTGCCCTATAGACAGTGGCCAGCTAGATTTACCTGAAAAGCCAAAGCAAATAAACCTGTCTGCTCACTCTGGCAGGACTAGGATCAACAGAAACCATATGAATGGGATGGAGTCAGGACACGAGTGGCGAGAGATGTGAGATGGTTTTGAATGGTGGCAATGACGTGTGATGGCTCTGAAGAAAGAAAAACAGATTTTCCTGTACCTGTTGACTCACCTTAGTCCATGGGTGGGCCTTTATCTGGGGAAACTTGAACTCAGTGTAGTTGGGGTTCATCTCTCGAATCTGTTCACGAGTGGGTGTACCCAGAACCTGAGAGATACACAGAGAGAGAGAGATACAGAGAGATACAGAGAGAGAGAGAGATACAGAGAGAGAGAGAGAGAGAGAGAGAGAGAAAGAGAAAGAGAGAGACAGAGAGAGAGAGAGAGAGAGAGAGAGAGAAATTTAAAAATGTAGCACAAGACCCACCTTTCAGCACAAAAGAGTGGTTTGATTTGAAATGCTTAATGTTTTAAGCCAAAATCTTTCTGTACAAATGATCATAAAACAGTGTTTCAGGCATCAGGCAGTGTACTTGTAATCACTTCGTGTAATAACTTTCAGTAAGCCAACTTTAAGAGGCTTCAGACATCTGGCTCCTATCACTACCAGTGTAAAATCTGAGTTGGCAAGTTTCTCTGCAAAGAACCATCTCACATCAAACCACCCTGAATGAGTTTGTTTACATCTTAACGACTGATTTATGCAGAATCAAAAAAAAAAAAAACCTGGAATTTCCATTTAACTTCTTTGCTTTAATGGCAAGCAAGAATCATCTTTTCTGAATAAACAAGAGCACACATAACACAGACACACGGACGCACACACGCAGAGAACCCTGCACAGCAGTGTAGAGGCGCCAGTACCTTGATGATCTCTACCAGCTGATCCACTCCGCTGTCGCCAGGGAAAATTGGTTGCCCTAGCAACAGTTCAGCCAGAACACAGCCAGCCGACCACACGTCTGGATAGAAAAGAGGGTCGAAGGTCAGAAACAGGAGCAGAGGGTGAAGAAGGGAGTGTGGCTAATGAAATCAATCACACGCCACACCACACACACACTTTGTAGTCAGAGATCAGGAGCTCCGCAACACACACAAAGAATCTGAGTGAGAATTCCTCATATCTACACAGTTTCAGACTGTACGTGTCTGTGGAACTTTTTTATTTGTTTTAAACATAAAATATTCCCATACGTCTATATTGTACATGCGCTTTAATACTAAAAGGGACAATGTGTACCTTTCTGTAATGAATCTGAAAGAGTTTAACTGATCAGGAGAATACAACAGAATAGCTATAAATCATTAGGAAAAAAAGTCTTGCAAGCCAGACTTCTGCCCAGCGCCAGATCAGTCTGATGGGTTTCCTTGCCCAGCGTGGCCATAAACTGCTTTAACAGGAACATATCATGAAAAAAAAACAACTTCCCCCTCACTTCTTTGAAAGTCTGAAGTAGTATATAACACTGTTAAAGTCTCGACCCATACTGTTCACTCACCAGTCCATATATGGGAACTAAGCTGCAAAACAAGTTGTATTCAACTGTATTCAGCCTGCAGCAATTTAGTTCCACTCGTTCACTGAAGTTATAAGGAATGTTTCAGCTCTGAGTGCTTTTCGAATGAGGCACAATAAAGGACAGCCAATCAGAATAGCAGCCAATTTGCCTGCATCAGTCTTAAAGGCATAGTAACAAAAACAATCTATTTAAATGTAATTAATAGGACAAAATGAATGACAATTTGGGTATAAAACCACCCACTGACAGATGTAGAATATGGGCCCCTTTACAGGAAAGGGATATTTGACAAGACATGAAAAATTAGGAGTCACAGATAATTTAGCATGACATGTATGGTCTCTGAAGTGAATTTTTTTTTATTTTATTTTTCTTTTATTTTGAGTTATTGCAATTTTAATGTGAATAACATAAGCTAGCAGGGTGCACTCATGCTGTATTTGAATGTTACTGCTTAGCACACAGTATATATATCAGATGGCCTCATGTGTGTCTGAGGGTGGAATGCCTGAGGTGGAGGCCAGAGATAACGTTATCCTATCTATACTGGGTGGTGGATGATGGACAGTGCTAGCGTAGGAGGCAATAGATAGTGTCACTCCCACAGGAGCAAATGCTTGTACTTGAAATGTAATATCTGAGCTAGCAAGCAATAGCGCACCTCTACTGGATGTGCAGTGTAGCATTTACAAAAACCTGCTGCATGCTATATAGGCATGTATACAATGTGCGATATGTAGGATATGCAGTTTATGTGAGTTAGCTTCAGCATACCTATGCTGGAGGTGTAGTCAGTAGCTCCAAAGATGAGTTCAGGGGCTCTGTAGTACCGTGAGCAGATATAGGACACATTCGGCTCTCCACGAACCAACTGCTTAGCACTGCAGGAAAGAGAATATAATATAGCCACGAGTCAGAAATCAGACGCTCATAAATCTTCTAAATAATTCTCATCAAACTTCTGAACCAACACAACTGTAACTGTAATGACCATCACATGGCTACAAAGTACCAGCAAAAAGGTCACATTTATTAATTATTAGCCAAACATCTAGGAAATCTCATGGCTGGTTGAAGGCTCAGGGTTGAAATGTATGCTTATCAGCACAAGAAAATCTTAGATGAGGGGGTTTCCATTTTGGATAATGTAATTTTTTTACAACTAAAACTTGTGACAGAGGAGTTTCCGATGGCCGCTGCTGCACTACCAGGCCAAATTTAGATGAGTTACAGCAGGCCGGTGCTTTTCTACTTTCAGTTCCTGGACTTCTGTGGGACTTTAGCTGTGCTGTAATTAATTATTATTATTTTACTATAAAGAAAAACAACAGTTAAGTCTTCAGACCTTAGATATTTACAAGGATCACATCATATATTTAAACTCAAGCTATTAATCGAGATGGCAATAAGCTAAACGTATACAATATCATCATTCATAGGCTACTTTCTACTGGGAGGTGTCTGTCCCAAACCCTAATCCTTAAGTTCCCACTTGTCATATCTACATTTTTTGTATTTCTTTTTTTCCAAGTGGTTTTTAAAATATCTTAATTTATTTTAAAGCAAAGTTGAAAAATGTTGATTTCTCATTTAGATTTATCATATTTTTTATTCAACAACTTTGCCTCACATTTTCATTTTACTACCAAAACAAAGTTTCAGTCTGTAGGCAGAGACTTATTTTAGCCAAACACATGCATTTTAGAGCAGGAAGTGAGACTGTATCCCTGTCCCTCATGGCCATATGGTGAGTAGCTAAATCTCAATTTTTGAAGTAAATGTGTCCCAAAATCCAAAAATCAGTAAGTAACATCAAGGACAGGCACTTCCGAAACACATTTCCTGCAACTACGTAAATTTTCTTGTATTTTAAAGACAATATTACAATTTCGTGTGTGTACAACTGTTGAAAGCTGTGTTTGCTAGTCATGTACTGGTTAGCATTTTTGAGTTATGTCTAAAATTAGCTAAAACTGTCAGACTGCATCTAAATTCGTCACACCATTATTACTGTACTGATACTGACAAAATGGACTGTTCAATCATTTATTCATGTTCAATCATTTATACTCTGACTAATTTAGCAGAATGATCCATATAACTAATAACTACACAGCTAATCAATAAAGATGTGTTATTTATTTGGTTAGTTTCAAGCCAGAATCTTATTTAGCAGGTACAATATTTACTTGGTATAAATAATACAGTTAAAGTGCCCCTGAAGTCATCATGCAAAACATAAAATCTGCTGAATAACATTGTTAAATATGTTTATGGTGTCCCTAAACCTTAACACTAATTAGGAATACAAAGATTCATGAATTTGCACGAGTATGCAAACTGTAAACACCCACTGTCTTGCAGTTTTCCACACCTCTTAACTTAACAGTTATATAGTATACTGATAGCACAGTATCGTGTAATGTAATTTAGAAATCAGCAGATACATTTGGCTGCATTTTGTCTGATTAACTGTATGATTATCTTCAGACCCATTAGCTGGGGTTTGGCAGACACAGATGTCTATAAAGTATTTTAATTTATGCCTAATTTGTGAGGACAAAGAAGGAAGGGAGCAAAACAGACAGTCAGTTCAAAATAAAGAGACAGAACATTCGGACATGACGGATACTATTCTTGATTCCAGTCGTTATAAATTTAGCAAAAGACATCACAGCAATGTGAAGACAGAACTCAAAAGACGGGAATCTGATGTGAAACAGTGGGCTAGAAAATCCAGACCACACAAGTAGAATTCAAAATATCTGTCTGCACTTGACAGGACCCGACTACAGTCCATGTCCGTGTTTGACTGGTTTCGTATATCATTTCTAGAACATTTATTAGGGATGAGTTGAGCTCAAAGTTCACATGTAGGTTTCAAGCAGCCAGCCATTCCTGCTTCCTAATCTACCAAGTTCTTAATCTGGCATGCTGTTGCAGTGAGAACAAAGCTTTATGTCAAGCTCATCCAGACTGAAAACTTTCAGCATGTTTCTGAAAGACATTAATTGCTGAATAAATAGAATTTAATCTTAATTTTGGATACTAAATAATAACAGCTGTCATCGTTGTAAGGTTACTTGATGTTGTTGGTTTACTTCGTCTGTTTGTGGTTCAGGTTAGGCTCAAGTTTAGGCCCTGTTCGACCTAAATATCAGTTAAGATTAAAGCTCTACACACTGACAGACCTGCCAAAGTCGCAGAGTTTGAGCACGGCCGTCTCGGGGTCCAGCAGCAGGTTCTGTGGTTTGATGTCCCGATGGCAGATTCCAAAGGAATGGATGTAGGCCAGACTCCTGAAGAGCTGATACATGTACAACTAGAGCAAAGGAGACAAAGCAAATAAGCACGTTAGATTTACTTATATCTGTGCATGTTTCCTTGTATTACCAGCTTCATGGGGACCAACTGAAAGTGGTACTTTTAGCATCTGAGGTTAAGGTCAGGACATTTCAATAACAAGCTATATACACAAGACAATGGCCAAAGGTCCACAGAAAAAAAAATAAAACAAAGAGAATATAGAATACATTATCTACAGAATACATATAGGCTGCAAACATTACATACATTAGATACAATAATACACAGGACAACAGCCCCACAAAACCGGAACACAAGGATGTGTAGCCCAGCCCGACTTCCAACGCTTGCTATATCTCACAGTAATAATATGTGCTACGGTTAAGCCTGCAAAGTTTCCTGTCTGTAGTCTCTGAATGTGTGTGTGTCTTTGTTCCTGGCTGCAGCAGGAAGGATATGGCGGCACACAAAAAGTAATGATGTCATCACAGCGGGCCGAAGAGTGGTGACGCAGGATTGAACAGGAGGAGAGAGAGGAGATTTATGCCAACACACACACACACACACACACACACACACACACACACACACACACACAGAATGGCTGATGCTTATTCACACTCCCTTTATTAAACACAGAGCAGAAGCACACACTCATATACAAGTGTTCACAAGTTTGAATCATTTCTCATATGAATATTCAGTTATTTTATATACAATACAATTTACAATCATGCGCAAAAGTATAGACACCCGGGGTCAAATGGCATGTTTTGTTGATTTTCTAAGTGAAGAGAACACAATTCTGGTCTGTGCAAAGGTTATGAAATTTTAGATTTTATGTTAATCTCTGCAAATAAACAGAAACTGTACATTAAAATTTAAGGATAAATGCCACATCTAAGTTTGTTCCCTGAAGCTTTTTTTTTTTTATTTAGAAAATCAAGAAAATGTGTGATCTGACCAGGGCTGTTCAAATGTCTGCATACAACTATACACAATGCAGATTTTAAATATCCTAAACCAGACAACAAAAGGTACCTTAAGATGTTGTATTCAATATTTAATAAGCATTCTGGCAACAGCAAGAAGTTGATATCAAAAATAGATAATATACTGCAATTATCTATTTTTGGGACTTATTATCTCCAGATGTGAGTCACTTTTGAACACTCGTTCTTTTACAGAGTCCTATTAACTATGCAACTATATAACTATTATATAGTTATAACTATATAATTTAGAATCATTTTATGCATTTATCTGCCACTATGGGTATTTTATATAACCGAAAACATTCATTCCAAACTTTTAAATGCTGATTTCAAACTTCTGAACACTAGACAGAAAACCTGCCATTCATGAGCGCAGACAGACAGACAGCCAGACAGACAGACAGACAGACAGACAGACAGCGGGCAGAGACAGACGCAGAGACAGACGCAGAGACACACAGCGGACAGACACACACACACTTTACTGTATAGCTAGGGGATACACACCTTCACATAAACCATGGGCAGGGTCTGTTTGGCTCGGCTGTAGTGTCTGGCTACTCTGTACACAGTCTCAGGAACATAGTCCAACACCAAGTTCAGATACACCTCGTCCTTCTGCAATAACAGAACAGGAGAAAAAGTTTGATTAACCAGAGAAAAGAGAGATTTACAACAATAAAATTACAAAATATACAGTTTATGTAATTAAAGTTTTTATTCTTGCACTTGAATTGGACAGTGAAAGAGTCCACTGACATTACAAGGGCTGCAACAACTAATCAACATTACTGATAACGGTGATAATAAATAGCTGGCAATAAATCAAGTTATCGATTATTTGGCTGATGTTTGCGCTTCTCATTTACATCTGTGACTGACAGAGGGAAATATAGACACACTGCAGTCAAAGATTATATATGCTGCAGCTCAAGGTCTTGCATGAACTAAAAAATTAAAAACTATGAAAACCCTGATGACTGTACAAAATGGGGCTTAATCAATATTGTGTGTTAAAATGTGCAGAAGTGTGTTCTCTGTAGAGGATGTGTTAACTTGCTTACAATTCGAAAACCAACAAAACGTCACTTGAGCGGGGCACCCAAACTTCTGCATGTGACTATGTGAAAGACTCGTCTTACATACATTTGTGTCTTCACCCCTGAATGGCTTCCCTGTGGCTCAGAATATAGGCTGCCATAACGGCAGCACAAAAACAGGCTTTTTCCGCCATGAAGTCATTGTGGTTGTTGACTGGTACGCATTGTGTAGGCCTCTCCCCGAGGGAGACGGAGCATCACCCCCACCATCTTTACATAACACGAATATTTAGACGTCGAGGTCACATCCTCACAGGCCATTTAAGGGCACTAGGCTTGGGTGGACCGGAGGTTTTTGCCCACTGGGCTGCCACTATCCTGCATCTGATGTCACGTCTTTTCTTTAGCATCCCTTTTCCTTCCTCCACTTGAAATGGCCCACATGATCTACTTATACTCACATTTTAGTGAGTCTGGTTCCCCTTCATTCTTTTCAGGAAGAAGGGAAACAAAACCACAGAGCAAAAACTGTATTATTCTGCCATGATGTAATTAATCAGCACTGCTGAAATTACTTAATTTTAAGACTTAAGGCACAATATGACCTGAATCCAGTGTAGTGTGTTTTACTACAAAGCACAAATCTCACACTTCTATCAAAACGTAAGATCAGAACCAGTGCTGCAAATGCCAATATATCTAGAATTGGTTAAAGGAGAATTCCACAGATTTTTCAAAATTTCAGTATATTTAAAAACAGTTAAGATGTAAACAAAGTTTGAAACATGTCTGAAGAGTTTAATGCCTCTAAAAACATTTACATATAAATTACATGTTTAAATGTACACTATTTAATGACAGTTCTGAGGCCTAAAGAATGTTTTAGTCCTAAAACATTCTTCATAATTCAATGGCAGAGAGGTGTATGTAAGGCACTGTAAGGCAATATGGTGTCCAAACTGTCCCCCACCAGATACAACTCTCCATTCTCAATATTAAATATAAAACTGAGATGATATGTAGGTTCGCTGGTGCGTTAGGATAATAAATAAAATGACTGTATTTGCATTGTAGACAACAGAATCTCTGGTCTCCATCACCACCACTGCAAAGAAATCTGAGTCAGCAAGTTTCTCTACAGTGAACTATTACACAAGAAACTGCTCTGAGTGACTGTTTACATCTCAACGACTGAATAATCCTGAAATTTTGAAAAGTTGGTGGAATTTCCCTTTAACCAATGATTACTTTTTCAATTAATGGACGAACGTAACCAGGAAGCAGGTTCCTAACTGAACACAGTAACCTGCCGTCACTGCAGGACCAGAAACATGTCTTTTTTAAATGTTTCTGCATCGCTGATAAATATTGTTTCTTTTACCAGAAAATCACAGATAATAAAAATCCAGTGACATTTTTCCATAATCAACTCTGTCCACTAATCGTTGCAGCCCCAGGCAGAGTGTAGTACGTGCAAAGAGAAATCAGCACTCAGCTCAGTTACCCTGGCAACCCTAATGGTCACACAGTACAGTCTGACCTCACAGCCCACTGCTGACCCTGTGATTTGTCAGCTGCTGACTTTAACAGAATCCCACTGACAGGATACTTTCAAATACAAGAGAGAGAGAAAGAGAGGAAAAGAGATTAAGAGCTAGCAACTCAGAGGGCAAACAAAAAGGATTCCTTGACCTTTTTGACCTCCTGATTTAATCATAGTCCACTACCACTGCAGCTGGGGTCCCCCTCCAATCTGTCCACCAATCACGTCACCACTGGTCTCCACACATCTCTTCCAACATGTGAAGCTGGCCTCCATGTCTTCTCAAACTACCGTGTGGCCACTCAGTCTAGATCTCATCCAACCGTCCATTCAATCCTTTCCTCACAATGAGGAAAGCCTGGCTAAGGCCATCTCAGAGCACTACGGCCAATTATGTTCTGGCCTGTGTCTTGCTGACCTCTATGCAGTGCACTGTTTGAACAAACCTCAAGAGGTGCTTTTCATACAAAACTCGCAAAGAAGGCAGTAGATAAACAGGACTGTAACTGATGCTGAAGTTTATGAATGTGTATGTTACTGTTTATATGTTTGTACAATTCACTGAGATCTTGTATACTAGCATGAACACTGACCCTGACGCAATAAACACTCATCGTCCACTTTATTAGAAACTCCTACCTTTAACTTCCACTCAATGGCCACTTTATAAGCTCCACCTACTTTCTAGGGCCACTATAAGATGTGCAATTACCGACTGTAGCTGTTGTCTATAACTGCACACGCACACATTTTTTATATATATATATATATATATATATATATATATATATATATATATATATATATATATATATATATATATATATACACACACATACATACACATATATATATATATATATATATATACATATATATATATATATATATATATATATATATATATATATATACACACACACACACACACACACACATATATACATACATACACATATACATATATATATATATATATATATATATATATATATATATATATATATATATATATAAAAACCTACTAAGCAGAAAATAATTTGAAGAAATCAAAATAGAGGTAGAGGAAGGGAACGTTATACATGAGAGATGCACTAATTAACAGATTATCTATAGATGCAGAATTTCCTTACATAACACCTGCTGGAAGTCAGGTGATTATCAACAGTGTTAGAATTTGGGTTAAGTACCATGGTTAGGCTTAGGACCAGGGCAAGGGTTAGGATCAGGTGTTCGTTAAGGTAAGGGTTATGCCGAGGTTAAAGATAAATTAAGGTAACTGTAATTGTTAAAAAGCAGACAGTAAGCCAACTGCAAGATAAGAAGCATTCACATCTAAGAAGCATTTACAGTGGCCTATCCAAATAATGAGTTTTATTAGCCCCATGTTTAATACTTGATGACAAAGTTCACAGTGTGTAGACTAAGTGAACACATAACAGAACCTGTACTTTTTATTAGTCAAAGTTGCAAAATAAATAACAATACTTGCCCTTTAATGCTTCAAATGGCCATTTTCTATTCTTAGAGGAAACATCTGATTCGTCAAATCAAAATTGATCAAAAAAAGTTTCACATCAAAAGTAAACAGCACCTGGCTATTCAGCACAAGCTATGCATATGAAGTAGCCTTTGAATATAGCATGAGTGTTTTTTTTTTATTCACATTATTTACATTATAAACCGGCAAGACAGGTGAGCCAAAACCAAAATAACACACTGGTCAATTGCCAATCACGTACTTGGAGCCGAAATACCCTGAATACCCCTGCTCTAGCCCTTTATCAATGACCCGTTCTGACCACAGAGCTGCTCTTGGCTGGTAATGTTTGGGTGATGGACCACTCCTAACAACTGGCTCATGTAAAACTCCAGCAAACATTGCTGTGTCTGATACACTCATCAGTACAGCCATATTAGTGTCACTGATGTGCTGAGAATGGTCCACCACTCAAATAATACCCACAGCACAGAGCACCAGTCCTGTGGTCAGAAACTGACCAGCGATGAACAGGGTAGATAAACTGTTCATGACAACCAACTGGCTACACTCCGTAATTGTACACCAATGCAGTGGCCTTATAAGGTTGGTGGAGCTCAAAGTGGTCAGTGAGTTGAAGGCAGGGGATTGTAATCAAGCGGATGGAGCATCAGGAACACTGTTCATGTTGGGATCTCAGTGCATTACACACAGAGCTACTGCTGGCTTTTAATGAAATTTCTAAACACTTTAGAAATTAAATTTCAACAACGAAATAACACACATTCAAAAACACATCAATTACAATACACATGCACACAGTTCTGTATTTTCCCATGCATACAGCACTCCATCTCTCCCTCCACTCTTTCTGCTGCATTTTGAGCCTGTAGGCTGATCTTTCATGACAGATGAACTGGCTCATTGAGGAAAGATTGCTGTATAAGACTGAAAGCTGGGAAGAATGGACCCACTCTGCCTTCCGACAGCGCTATGTGGCTATAATTAGTCCAGCAGCCGATGAGTCACTCTCCTCCCTTGCTACGGCAACAGCCGCACTTCCTCAATTACAGCTGATCAGGGCAGCTCAAAGCTGACTGGCTACCGAGGAGCTCCAGACGAATCACAGAACCACTCGATTGGCTCATGTGCTGTGATCTCATGACCACGTGTGAACACTGAAAGAGTGAAGAGAGAGCAAAAAATAGACAGAGAAGGCGAGAAAGAGAGCAAGAGAAAGAGTGAAGCATGCATTTTTCTCCCAGCACAAAATGATAATGACACAGGCATGGTAACGTACGACCTTGTGCCTGACTGACCTACAATAATGACCAGAAATGAACTACTGCTGGAATTTACATTCAGTGTTATTTTCAGCAGTCCAATACACTGCAGATACTGACCCTAAATATTAGGGGGAATTTCTGATTAATTTCGAATTTCTGATTGGTAAACAACTGAATGTAACAAAATCTAGATTTAGATTCAAGTATTTTTTATTAATTATTAAATTTAATTGTAAAAATTATTAATTATTATATTGCTTGTATAACAA